GGGGACCGCACCAAAATGGTCCACAGATACAGTTACAGTCACAGTCAAAGCCACAACTACCAGTCCAACCCTTGTTAGCGATACCCCCTATTGTTTCACCGACCCTTGATACCCAAACTACCCCGCTCACCGGAGCTACACCTAGCACTTTACGCGTTTGTTTACAAGAATTGGAGGACTGGACGCCTCCCCAGGCTATAGAGGACAGACACGTTGTCTTGAGCGCGAACACTATGGTCAAAGGCAAGCAGCTTGTCCAAGGCCAGCAGTTCGTTTTCAAGTGCAAGGTCGCCACTTCGAATAGCTATATTGATACGGAAGCTTTGACTGACTCTGGTGCTACTGGAAACTGTATCTCCACACTATTTGCGCAACGACATAACCTGCCGACGTTTCGGCTTAAACAACCTTTGCAACTACGACTTGGCGACGGCAATTTCGCCATGGCGCCTATCACACACGGCGTCCTAGCCCCCATCTCCCACGCTGAACACGTTAGCGAGGAACTCTTCTACAGTGTACCTATGACGACTTACGACTTTATTTTCGGCACTTCATGGCTAGAAGAGCATAATCCACACATCGACTGGAGGGAAAAAACTATGCGTTTCAACAGCGAGCATTGCTACGCCAACTGCCTACACAAAGGCGAGCAAGTCACTGTTCGCAGCAGTCGACACCGACGGGCCGCAGCAAAAGCCAAAGAACGGAACCCGACCTACGCGAACATGGACATACACCATGTGTCAGGTGAGGCCGCTGCCGCACTGGCATCACGACCAGAGAACGGTACTATCTGGCTGTACCCACATGATTTTGAACAACTCGACAAAGATGACAGCGATGACGCCGACGAGAGAGCCCAGGCTAGCCGCGTCTTCGCCTCACTATTTGCCATGGACATGAACGCCCTATCTCAGGAAGACATTGATAAGTTCCACCAGAAGCTGAACTCGCCCGCTAAAACTCGCGACGAGGTCCTAGACAAGTTGCCCGAATGGCTCCACGATCTCGCCCACCGATTTAATCCTGATCCCGCCACGACAGACTTGCCCGCTCGACGAGGCGCGGTCGACCACAGCATTGACATTATCCCCGGATCAAAACACCCAAACGCTAAGATGTACGGCATAAGTAAGGACGAAGGCCTTGCCGTTAAAGCTTATGTTGAGGACATGAGAGGACGCACCTACTCTCATGTCATGGTCGTGATTGACCGGCTAAGCAAGTCGCAACGGTTTATCGCCCTAGACAGCCTTGAAGTTGATGCTGTTGTCCGAGCATTTGTCGATTACGTCTGGAGAGAGGAAGGTTTCCCTACTACAATTGTGTCTGACCGAGGGTCACAGTTCGTCTCTCATTTCTGGAAGGAGCTGTGTCATCGACTGGGTGTTACACCAAAGCTCTCTACAGCTTACCACCCAGAAACAGACGGCCAGACTGAAGTCGCCAACGCCGGACTAAAGTGTTACCTGCGTGCTTACACGAACTATATGCAAAACGACTGGGTAGACTGGCTGCCACTAGCCCAGCTCGCCATCAATAACAGAGAAAACGTGTCCTCTGGCGTCGCACCCGCGCTTGCCACCAAGGGCTACCTACCTCGCATGGGATCGGAACTAGTCACCGAAGACTCGCCCATTACCGACGCCCGTTCACGCGCAGAACAGTTGCTCCGCGAAGACGCCCGAGGCACGGTGAAAAGGATGACCGACGTTATCCGTTTCATGCAAGAAAATCTTCGCTGGTCCCAAAACAAGATGGAACACTACGCCAACCAGCACAGACAGCCCGCTCCAGACTACCGCGTCGGTGACAAAGTCTATATTGATGCCCGCAATATCCCTACGATGCGCCCGAGCCGCGGTCTCAGCGCAAAGAACCTTGGCCCATACAAAGTGCGAGCTTTGCCCAACCGATATGCAGTCGAGCTCGCACTACCAGACTGCTACAAACAAGTCCATCCAGTGTTCCACCCATGGTTACTACACCTGGACGCCGATCAAACAGCTCGCCCAAGTGAGGGCGTCATCGCTGAGAAACACCCTGACGGAGAGCACGACTACTACGTAGACATGGTCGTCGACTGTCGCATAGATAAACGACGCAAGGACACCCTCACAAACAAGAAAGGCATGCTCCAGTATAAGGTTAAGTACACCAACTCCCCAGACTGGAATGCCTCGCCCGCATGGCAAGACTATACAGACCTGTGGGGCGCAGAGGAAGCGGTTGAAGACTTTCACCGTCTCTATCCCGACAAGCCCCCACCTCACGAACTGTATCGAGACCTAGCGTTGTATCTCAACCTAGTCGCCGCATATTCACTTGGTCGCGATGATGTTGAAGTTGTTAGCGTACTAGACAGTTGTGAGCTTGCCCTATCACCTTCGCATTCACTGATGGCACAGCTTGGACCTGGGAAGGTGGCACAACTCAGGACGTCTGTCTCCAAGCAGAAGCAAGGACCCGAAGGATGAGACACAACATAACTGCTCGGCATCAAGCACAGCGTCATAAAATAAAAGACATTCACGGCTTGCAGGTGCAACCGTCTTCTGAAAGGGGGGGGTAATGTTACGGATCCATAGACTCGCTCGGCCCATGGCCCCCATATCGATAAGATCCTTATCTTATCGGACTAGCGCCTTGGCGCCCACAGCATAAGTTCGGGCTCACAACGTAGATAGCTCGATAGCTTGTATCTTGTCAGCTCCCAACGTAGATAGCTCGATAGCTTGTATCTTGTCAAATCCAATCTTTCTTGATCGATCCCTCACAGATAGTAGATAGAGATGATAGAGATGAAGGCGTCGACATAGCCGCGATGTTGAGATAGTCTGTTTGGGCTAGGATCTATCTAAGCGAGCTTGTTCCGCCAAAGCCGCAAGACGCTAACCATACTAAATACGTGGCTGCCAGCACTTTTCAGAGCGAATTTGGGGCAGTCTATTAAGAATTAGAAGAAGCTACTTTAGCTTTTATGATAGTTGGGATGACACCGATCAGATTCGTTCAAGAGTGGGATCATTGATTGCTCTAAGGACCAGAAAGATCAGACGGCTGGTCCGGTATTTGTACATGATGGATCAGTCCCTTGGCACGGATCCGGAGTCTCAAAGACCCGATCCGATCACGTGATCATCCGACGTCCAACATCAAGTCCATTTCCGCGACAGCTTTTATTACTAGCACTAGAATCGGAACAAGAAAATGGTACCAAGGACAGCTACCAGACGACACACAGAGAGACACTGTATAAAACTAAAAAACACTGCCTTCCCCTTTGCCATAAGAGCCCGCTGCTACATCTCTTTCTATTCACCAAACTGCTCTTTAGCACCAGGCACTAGCTAGACACCGAGTATCTAGCTAGAAGCAAGCCTAAACTGCCATAGCCAAACAAACACCCAAACTGTACGATAAACAAACCAGATAGAACGGCCCTCGGCCCCAGTCCTACATAGTCTCTGACTGAAAAAAGGACTCAAATGGAATAATAATAATATTAAGAATTAGTACTTGTGGTAAGAAACTTCCTCTGCTTCTTGCAGACTCAAGACTTTGTCTTTGAACCCATAGCAGAAAAAGTCTCCGGTATCCACACACTCAACAAGTACCGAATATAATAACAACTATTAATAGTCCTTGTGCATCTAATACTAATAAGAAACTTAGTAATATCCACAGCCGTCTCCTGATTGACAACCTAGTACAGCCACCACTTATGCCCAAATACAATCAAGCCTAACAAAGGCGTGCACACCAGTTTTTCTGTGAGTCGTAATACAGCGACCCGATTCTGCCACGCGGCCACCTACATGCCTAGCTTAAACCTAGCGTCCTCTTCTTTATAGAAACCCTTCTTTGTTTTAATAGATATAGCGGTGGGCTTTTTATAAGCTTCGTTGAGCGTCTAATTAATAGAGAGGAACTGCGGGGATTCGTGGAGGAGGAGCCCATAAATAGCGGATTCGAGAGAAGAACTATAGGGAGGGACGAGATTAATAGAGAAGTTAACAATCTTAGGGCCAGAGGGATCGTCCTTGTAGGGCGGGGCGAAGTTAGGGATAGGCTTTGCCGAAGTTCTAGACACAGGTTAATTAAGCAAATATATTCGGTAAGAGAGACAAATATATTAATCAATTCGAAGCGTGATTTAAAGGGCCGTAAGGCATATAACAAGATTCGATCGTGTACTTTAGTGTTCTATCGTGCCTTGTGTAACCCGCTGTCCGCACATTGTTAAGCCTCTGTGTAGGTCTTAAGCAAAATCTCGTATTTAAGCTTAACTCCTTTGTAATTTGCATTATAATTAATTATATTCTTCTTGTCGGATCGTGAGTATCGGTAGAGACGTCGGCTGCTTGACACTTCGGCCCGACTTCGGCCCACCTTGCGCAGAGCTTAGGTATACCTTCGTAGCACCTATGTTCGTAGAGAATACCAATACCAGTCACCAGAAGAACCTCGTTGTTGTTATTCACCCGTACGATCGTACAAGGCCTACCAACAATGTGGTAATATGTAAAATATGACTAATGCTAAACATACTTTACTACATCCCGTATCTTCCCTCTCTTCTCGATAAGCAAGCGCCACACAACCTCGTTGCTAGTAATTGGTCTAGATATTGTCATGTAAATACATAATCTCGTGAATTAAATCTTTGGTGAGGTGTTACAACCATCACTTTCCGAGGAGGAGAAAAATCCTTAGAACCGTGTTCAGTGGAAGTAACGAGTAATTATACACTTTTAATTCTCCATTTATTCTCAGGTCTACCCTCCAGCGTCATCGTCATCACCATCATCCAGCCCAGAATAAGTCCTTAGAAGAATCATGCAAGCATGACAATGCATTTGTTGAACCACGGGGAAGCTAACAAAACCAAAAGAAAGGGGAGGAGGATGAGGTATAAGCTCTCCGTTTACAAAACCGTTATTTCGCCGGCGTATACCCATGAAACCTTTACACACTTTGTCCAGAGTAGGACCTTCTTAAGCCTGAATAGCCCGTCCCAAAGCACCGCCAGTGAATTGCTGATTCCGTCCTCCCCTTGGTCCGCCTCCGCCACGACCACCGCCGCCACGGCCACCTCCACGGCCACCGCGGTTACCACGGCCGCCTTGCCTTTCAAAGGCGTTGGCTGTACCTTGTGTGCGTTGCTCGAGCGTCTTTTCGTTCGACTCGATGAGGCCAGAGGCCTTGTCTGACAGGCTGAGGGCAAGCGTCTGAAGTCTTGACAGCTCCACACCTTTCCTAAAGATGATGGCCGAGTTGACTTGGTCGAGAGCGGCAGCGAGCTCCTCATGAGAGATCATCTTTGAAACCACAGCCGAGACCTTTCGTTCTGAAAGCTCAAACATGCCAGCTAGTGTTGAGATGGCAAGAGTGTCGTAGAAAGGAGCGTAGGTGAAGAGATACGTCCGTAGACCCTCCTCTTGGATTTGTGAGGACAGCATCTCCTTGATCTTCTCCGAGTTGGCCATGAGTTCCCAAATCTTGATCGAGTTGATGAATTCAGCAGCCTTCTTCCACTCACCAGCAGACAGTGCCTTAGATGCCTGCATGACGTGATCACGGGTGTTCTCGGGCGGGCCAGTGAAGATTTGACGCTCATGGTACTCTAAGAGACGGCGGTAAGTCTTACTGATTACTCGCTTCCTTAGGTCTGGTGACGAGCCAAGTTGTGCGAGGAGAGGAATCTCAAGCAACATGGAGCATGTCAGGTAGACGCACTCTAGTAGCTCAAGGTTGATGTGCATGTGAAAGGGAAGTTGTCGTTGACGCTCAAGACGCTCCTGCTCGGGAGAAATCTGCGAGTATCGCTGCATTTGCAGACCTTGTGCGAGAAGCTCCTTCTGCCTGTTGCTACCACAGATCTCTTGTAGTGAGGTTTGGGCCTCGTAGACAAGGCCAGCACGGAACGCGCAGAGGCCGACTTGGACGAGCGCACGGTTGAAGAGAATCTGGGTATTGACGTCGAAGTTGCTGATGGTCTCTTGCAAATGCGACATGAGCATCATGTCACGAGCCTTGTAGTACTGGTCGTGTAGAGACAGGAAGTAAATCTGGCACAGCATCGCCCTGGCACGGATAATGCCCTCGCTGTTCTGGAAGAGGTATGTGCAGAGGGTTTGGACGAGGGAGGCGGTATCGTTGGAGATGGCGCGAGGAGTGATTTCAGAGTCGAGGCTCTCGGGGATGGCCTTCCATACGTTGTTCTCAAGGATAGTGATGACTTGCGAAGGCTGCATATGTTAGCAATGGTGCTTTCCCATTAGCAGAATACAGACGTACCTTGAAGTAGACATGCTCCAATCTCCGCATAACAATGCGGTTGAGTGGCTCTTGTGGAAGGTCTAGGGCAGGGTTCTTCTTCATGCTCTCAACGTATACCAGAGTGCGCACAAGCTGAGCGTACAGCAGGGCCTCGTCAGTCAACCGCTCGATGTACTCAGAAGTGTGGGGGTCAATGTGCTGGAGTGAACGGGTGAGCTCGTCATCGAGCCTCTCGACGAAGGAAACGATGCTTCCTGGGATGCGGAAGATCTCGCCAGGTGTGATGGTGGGCAGCTTCTCGTCATCCTCCCACTCCTCGGCGTTCTCGATGACGACGATCTCTTCGCTGTTCTCGAGGATTTGCAGGAGCTTTCCGAACTCTTGATCAGCCCTGGATGATTGTGAGTATATTGTTGTTAAAGGAGGATATGGATATACTTACAGCTTCCACTGATCCTGGTGCATGTGGCTTGCGGTACCAGAGGTCAAATCGAAACGTGTCGAGATGAGGGTGAGCAGAACGCGGACCTTCTGGTAGTCGTTGATGGCGACATCGAAGAGCTTCTCCAGGGTTCGGATGTGCTCCAGCTTGTCTGAGTTCTTGCGACCACGTTGCTCGACAATGGCCCGGAGGTGCTTGAGGATACCCTCGGGAGTGTAGAGAACAGCCTTGCCACCAGCGCCAACGGTGATGAAGCCGTCGTCTGTGGCCTCATCAACGACCTCAGTACCGAGTTGTGGGATCTTGTTCTTCTTCTTTTCCTTGGGCGCCTGGATGACTTCCTCCTCCTCGCGCATGAACTCCTCCTTGTTCTCCCGGTAGGCGTTGATGTCCTTTTCGTAGTCGCGGTTGTGCTTCTTGATTTTCTGGCGGACAGCGTTGAAGCCACGGCCGTTGACGGCGTTCATCTTCTTGGGTGTGACCTTTTGCTTCTCGTGTGTCTCGACCACGACCGTCTCGAGATCGGCGACGGCCTGGATGTAGAGTTTTGGGATCTTGCCATCGTTCTGCTTGGTCAGGGTAGGGACCTGGCGGATGAGTTTGTCGAACTCTGCATGTCTTTCTGTCAGCATTGTCCATGTCCAAGTGCCCCACCACGTCGTTCACCCGCCCATGTTCCAGATAGACGTACGTTCGGAGATAACCGCCCAATCATTGATCTTTTGCGCATTCTCAATGAGCCTGATGGTCGCTTCCAGTTCGTCGAAGCGCTTGTCCTTGGCGCTCTTCAGCACCTTGTTCACGTCCTCGTCGTCGCTCTCGCTCTCGCTGTCGGCGTCCTTCAAGAAACGGTTGGCACCGGTTTCCGAACCAGAGTCGGAAGAGTCGTCGTCATCGGAATCGTCGTCCGAATCCTTGTCGCTGTCTTCCTGTTCAGACTCCTCGTCGTTGGAGTAGAGCTCCTCCTCGCTGGACTCGTCCGAGGAGCTGTCGCTGGCGGCAAAGAATCGGGACGCCATGGTTGCTGGTCTCGAGAGTGTAGATTTGCCCGAGGGATCGAGAGTAGAAATGTGGCGGGCGCCGTGTGGGTTGCTGAGGTCACTGCCGCCTTGTTCAAACTTTCCAAAACCGAATTTCGAGCCAGTGCCAAGCCATGACTGTGTGCCCCGCGCCTAACCCTAACCAGATGCGAACTTTCACCCCAGGCACGCTAACAGTCGTTCACGTGTTATGGCAAGGTAGGCCCTTGGTGTTTGTGTAGATGAAGTTGATTTTGAACGGGTGAGATCCTGACTACATGTACTACTGCTATCTATGTTCGATTTACCCACAACGACAGACTAGAGCTCTATCGATCTCTCTTACTTATCCCTCAGCGGCCCAAGACTCACCTCATCTCACCTAACACTCGGTATTGCAATCGTCATGTTGAATCAATTTCAATGTGCAGTCTGGCTATGATAACACAGCCAAAGGGGTTCGTGAAAAAAATGCTACTAAAAGTACAAGTGTCACCACCCACCGCAGACCCAACTGCTGAGCGCATATGAACCATGATTCAGACATCTAATGAGACCTGCCATGCTGCTGGCAACCATCCAAACATGACTCAACTTTATTTCCTCAACAATTTCCGGTATACAGTAGAGTCATCAGCCTGACTTCAGGAGGAACAGAGACTTCTATCCGAAGCCAGTTGGGGCAATACGCATTGCTGATGTGATATGCACCGACCCAGACTGTTGTAGACTTAGGCGGCCCGCGCGGCAGTCCCAGACCTGGTCTCCCGTCCATAGATAGTGCTTTGCCCTTGTGGCACACGATGATACTGACGGAAGAACCCCACGGGAAAGGCATATCAAGGAGAACTCAGAACGCCGAGATTCCTCCACTATTGCACCTCCGCGCTGCCGGCCAGCGCCTTTTTTTCGTGGTTTGAAAAGTGATACCAAAAACCCTCTTCTCACTGCCAATGATTCTGGCCCATGAAACCCTCTTCTAGCGTGCGGTCCTCCAAATTTCGCACAAAGTTGTGGTTGCGGTTCGAGTTTCCTGCCCGTGATCCTCTTCTCCTGGCGCTACTCGCACTCTCTGGAGCACCATCAGGAGGTGGTGGGTAGTAAGCTGGTGATGGTTGTAAACGAACAGGCGCATTAGGATCCAGATGGCTCATGACCGTTGGAGCGCGGGTGGAATACCAGACTGACCAGACTGTTGCTGGTCCATTGTCGTTGCTCTTTGTCGCCCAGCACGGGTAGTAGCTTGAGCATACAGGTTTTGGGGCTGATTGTATTGCCGCGGCTGCTGTGGATTGCATCATGTTCATCGGTTGAGCATATTGTGCAGCTTGGGCGGGGTAAGGAGGAGGTGCGCCTTGGTGGTTCGGGTTGTACATGTTGTAGGGGTTCTGCTGAGCCTGCGGGCTTTGTGCGGCTGCATATTGGTTCATCTGCATGTTTGCGTATGCAGCATGCTGAGCTGCTTGCGCTTGTTGCTGTTGCGCCACAGCTTGTTGCTGCTGCTGTTGCCGCTGTCTGCTCATGCCTTCGTATCGCTGCTGTTCTTGAACACCAGGTGCTGGGGACCTGCTCGAGCCTGACTTGAGGGTCATTGGGGGCACGAATGGCCCAGTGAACTTGGCCTGTGTGATGAACGGGTGCAACTTGGCTTGCGCTGGAGTCCATCGTTCCAAGGGATTGAGGTTGAGCAGTCCCTGAGCGAAATCGATAAATGCGGCTCGGTTGGCCATTTCTGTAGAGTGTGAGCTACAACCAATGTCTTGTTAGATAACACAGCTTACCTCTCTCGATCTCGTTTGGCTTCATGTTCTTGCGCGGCATGGGGTAGTTCTTGATGATGTCTGGTAGAGTGGTAGCCGAAAAGTACTTCTTGCTAGGCTGCTCCTTGGTGCCGTGTTCGCGTGAATACTGCTCCATCGACTTCAACCGGTACTGTTTGCGGCCGTACTCGTCTTGTGACTTTTCATAAAATTCTCCCGACTGCTTGCCCATCTCCAACATCCAGTGTGGTGGCAATCCGAGCATTTCTGTTATCCTCGATACCTGGTTGTATTCGGAAGAACCTGGGAACAACGGCAGACCCAAGAACAGCTCCACAACAATGCAGCCCAGTGACCACATATCGATTGCGGCAGAATATGGTAGACCGAGCAAGACTTCGGGGGATCTGTAGAATCGCGACTGGATGTACGTGTACACTGTTTGGCGCTCGTCGCATGCCGAACCGAAATCGATAATCTTGATGATTGGGCTCTCGAGGCTGTCAAAGGTTAGACGTGTGCGCGCAAAGGTGAGCCAGTCGACGTACTTTTTGAGGAGGATATTCTCCGGCTTCAAGTCGCAGTGTATGAGCTTTGCCTTGCCGAGTAGTGCGAGACCGTTGATTAGCTGCTGGGCGAAGACGCGCACTAAGGTTGTAGATAGTCCACGGAACTGGTTCTGTTTGATTAGCTCGTAGAGATTGACACTTAGCAACTCGAACACCAAGCACAGATGTTGCCTATGGATGAAGGTATCTTTGAGTCTTAGCAGGTGATGGTCATCGTTTTTGTCCATTTGCTTGTTCAGCTGCGAATTGTTAGCATTGCCCAAACTTTCCGAATACCTAGTACTCACTAGATCGAGCACCGAGACCTCCATCATACTCTGGTTGAAATATGCTGTTCGGTTCTTGATGACCTTGACTGCTACAACTTCCTGCGTCTTCAAGTTCTGGCACTTGACGACCTGTCCGAATGTGCCCTGGCCTAGGACATCCAAAATCAGGTACCGGTTCTTGTGCCCTGACTCTTCCGACCCCAGGATGTCGTTGACGTAGAGGATGTAATCGCTGTCCTCATTGTCGTATCCGTCGTTCTTTACTCCCTTGCTCGGCTTGGTGAGGACTCGGCGGGGGTTACGCGACGACTGGTAGTTGAATCCGCCATTACATAGCTTGTACGTCATGGGGAGGTGCGCAGTAAGCGCTTGCAGAGGCTAATTGTTACTGTCAGCATATTCCCGGCCTTGATATTGGCTTATTTACTCACGCTGATAAATCCGCCCTCGGGGTTGGCACGACGAAAGGGCGGCTGGGTGTTTATTTTGGGCCGTAGGTCGGCTGTATTGACGCACTTTTCGAATTTAGGCACGGGTCCTCGCCCTATGGGTAAAGGGGACAATTGCTGGGCATTCGAGCTGGAGGATGCGCGCGGCGAGGGGGCCTCTCTGTTGTAGACGGCGTTCAATTGCGCCGTGGCAGACTGTGGGTAATAGCTTTCGGGGCTCATGTTGGACTGGATGGGCGGCAGTTGGGGCGCATTCGGGCGCGAGGCTAAGGCAGTGCTGTCAGTATACGGGCGCCAAATACAGGGCTTGAAGAGGGCAGGCTCGACCTACATGGTGGGGAGTAGTAGCTGTTCGGTGGTGACATGTAGGGGTTGTTGCGCGTCGGGCTCTGTCTGCTGGCCTGAGACTGGGCTTGGGTCTGTGGGGTAAAGCTGGTGTAGCTCTGGCCGGCCTGCTGCGTGGAGCCCGAATATGGCGATGTGGGGGACAGGTTCATAGGCGAGTATCTCCGCGCGGCTGCACTCTCTTCCGCCTGCTGCAGGTACTGTTGTGACTGGCGCTGCGTCTGGCTGGGTCGCGTCACATTTAGGCGCGGCTTGTAGGCATCCTCCATGGGCACGTCGCCATCGCCGTCGTTGTACTCGGGCCCGCGGGTGCCTGGGCCGGCGGGCGATTGCAGGGCCATTGAGTTCTGGCGGGACGGAGTTGCGTAGGCGTCGGGCTTCATGTGCGAGGCCACGCTGGCGTCCCTCGGGGCGTGCTGCGGGGAGGCCATGCTGTGCGAATAGCGTGCGCCTGGAGTGTCGGAGTAGGCCGTCCACTGCGGCTCCATGGTGACGAGGGCGTACGTGGGTCTTTGATATCAGCGATCAGGCCAGGGCCGTTGTTTTGAAGCCAGCTGTGACAGCTGCGGCAGATCTAATCCCCGCGGTGCATGCCGAAGTGCGCGCTATTGGGGGGGACAGAGGGGGGTGGAGGGGAAGTGCCAGGCGACGTCGAGCGAAACTAGGGCGCGGGCATGCAGCTGAGGCTGTGAGAGGTGTAGGCTGAGGTAACGGCGCGCTTGTTAGGGACTCGACGTAGCAAGTCAAGTTGGGTAGAAGTGGCCGCTGCGGGGTTTGTGTTGACGTGGACGGGCGACGGTGCGGTTGTCGCAGATTGAGCTCGAGCGGCAGCAAAGCTAGAGGTGCGCAAACACAAGCGCAAAAAGAGAGCAGCAGTCACGGCAGGAGAAAGGATAGTTTCGAGGTCAGCGTTGGCGCTGAGGTTGGCGCCATTGCAACATCCATGAATTGGGCTCTTGCCTGGGATGCGCTAGCGACGAATCCGTCCAGATACCACAACACGGGAGCAGGCCTGATGCCATCTACTGCTGGCCCCGGCCATCCGTCGACGCCTCCTACGTATCCAGCCCGTTGACGGCTGACATGGTAACATGGTGACATGCAGAGGAAACAGCGAAACCCCCATGCGCATTGAGCTGGCGCGTCTCGACCTCGTCTGCGAAGCCACAGCCGACAGAGTTGCATCACGTTTGGGCTTCCGGCTTCAATGTTCCGTGCTACTGGCCTGGGGTGGTCCTAGAACCTGCCTTACTCAGCGCATCCGAGCACATGCCATTTATCCATATCTCCAACCCAAAACAAACTTTTCGTCGCAGCTTGAAAGCCGTGCCATTAGCAAAGACACTTTGTACCAAATGCTTGCCGCGTGTACCACAGGCAGAAACTGCCTCAAACTTGTGGGCGCCCATCTCAGCGCGCACAGAACGAGTCAAGGGACGTAACGAAGAAGACGTAGAATGTTTTGGCCTGTCAACATGATGAGATCTGAAACAACAAAATATTCCCCCCCAAAGTGTACATTATATGCACATTTTATTGTACACTCTACTCGCGTGCTTGATACCCGCCCAACACGTCGCCATTGTCCCACATTGCCGGCTTCTCGAAGATGCCCCTGACCATCTCTCCACCTCTTGTCGCGAGCACCGAAAGTAAAGTATCGCTCAACTGCACACACATTGTTAGCCCCTGAAACATCTCCAGCATCTGCACGCCGCATGTAAACCAAGTGGAAAAGACTTACACCATGCGTAGTCTCGCAGCACCCCTGCAGCCACACGCCAGCATTATCCGCCACACTCTTCTCTGTAAAGTTGATCCTGTAATCACGCTGCACCTGCCACTTGGCGCCCTCGAGTTCTCCGCCCGGCATGAGGTGTCTTGCATCCTTGAGCAGCGTCTCGTGCAGGTCCCGATGGTATCCAGTTGCTACGAACACGACATCAACGTCCAGTGTCTCCTTCTGCTCTTGCGCGCCTGGCTTCTCGGAAAAGTATAGTGGACTCGAGTCGTGTACTTGTAGGCGGACGCCACCAGGACGTACAGGAGAGTCCGACACGTCGACGACACGGCGGTAGGGCATTATGCGGTGCGGCCAGTGTGCTTCTTCAGCCGGCGTGTTGCCATACCGGATCCGCTGCATGTACAACGTCTCGTAGATGTGTTCGAGGAGATCGAGGCGCACGACACCATAGTTGGTGCCCTTGTCTTCCAGGAGCGTGGCTGCGCGAAGCTTGGGGGCGCGGGCGTACGTGCAGTCAGTCCGCGAGGGGTTGAAGATCTCATTGACACTGGCTGAAGTCAGTAACAAGTCTGTATACTCAGTGCTGGGTACTCACAAAGGCGAGTCGTCACTAGGGCGCAGGGCTCCTCCCTTGATCAGCAGCCGCGTCCGCGCGTTGGGATAGTTGGAGTGTAGGAAGTCGAAGATTTCAGCTGCGCTCTGGCCGTTGCCAACGACTGCCACACTGTATGGCGCATCATGGTCCTTCAAGAGCTGCTTCGAGATATATGAGAACTTGGACGAGTGGACGACCTTGGGGTGGTTTGTCGGAAACGGCGCTGGAATGTTTGGTCTTCCACCGGCCGCAATGACCACATGTTTTGTTCTTCTCGTCTCGGTGCGACCGGTTAAAGTATTGCGTGAGATGACGGAAAAGGTGGTGATTTCGCCATTTGCAGACTTCTCTGGCATGACTTGAATGACCTCCTGGCTGTATGCCACCACCTCTTCAAACCAGCTTGCGCACCATCTCATGTAGTCCTCGTACTCCACACGTGCGGGCAAGAAGGTGCCCAGGTTGGCAAATTCAGCTAGCCGATCTTTCTGGTGCAGGTAGTTGATGAAAGTGAACTCGCTCCGCGGGTTCCTCATGGTTGCCATGTCTTTCATAAAGGTGATTTGCATCTTTGCGCCAGGTAGGAGCATACCCGCATGCCACGCAAACTGAGATTGCTTCTCGAGAAACGCAACTTTCGGCATCCGGCTTTGCAGACCTGGCACATCGGCCAGCGAGGGGTCGGTTCCGTCCAAAGCATCGTGCAGAGCCACACCGATGGCCAGTGATGCAGGGCCAAACCCAACGCATATCAGATCATGCAACTCATCTTCTGGAGTATATCGGAGGTGCGACCGGTTCTCGAAGGCAGGGAAGTGGCTCTCCTCAAGATTATGGGAGAGGAAGCCATTGAACGCTCGCTGTACAGCTGGGACGGGGCCATCTGACGAAGTAGACGACATTTCGGCGTGAGGGCTCATGTTTGCGGGATAGAGGGGTAGTTATGTTTCAACGAAATGTACCCACTGGAGGCGTCAGTCATGTTTTTGTGTATCAGATCCCCTCTTCCAATCAAGTATATCAGATTCTCGTCGAAACTATGCATCGCATTTGCCGGATCACCAAAGTAGATGGAAAAATACGTACGTTGACTTGTCACCACGCCGTAAATGTTTACAACTTGCTTACGAGACAACCAAACCGAAAGAACAAAATCGTGAAGCTGGCGCAAAGCACACCGTCAGCTGAATGCATGGTACGAGCAATGACGTCTACACTTGACGCGAAAACCAAGACAGATAATCAGATAATCAGATTTTAGGGCAAAAACTCACATTTAGAAGCTGTTTAGCGTTCCAACAAGCACGGAAAACGTCCTGGTGATCGATTTAATCAAAACAGCTGCCGTCTCCAGGTATATGGGAAAAGTACACGGCGGATGTGCCTGCTGTACCTAGAACTAAAGCCGCGCTCGAGATCCGTCCTTGCGTAGAGTCTATCCATGTCGATCGAAGGCCGCAGCTACCCTCCCACCAGAGAGTGGTCCGATGTATCTTCGTAATAGTTAGTGTACAGTAGACTCGTACAGCCCTTTAGCACAAGGTGACACCACCTGTGGTTCGCTAACCGTGTAATAGCAGTGACAGCCCATGCAACTGATCCTCGGAAGCTCCATCTGATAAGATGCCGGACCAGAGGCCTCCAAACGACGGCTCGCAACAAGAGTCGCGGCGCGCATGACGCAGGCAAAATTTTCTATTGCGCCCCGCTGCGCTTGCCTGCAAGCTGCACCGCAGCTGGATCAAATGCACCCAAAGACGTGGGGTGGTGGATAAAAGCCTCGCTTGGCAGAGCAGAGATTATCAGATGGAAATGATCAATCCATCTGATTAGATGAAGAGTTTTTCCTTGCGAGTTCGGAGCGGCCTCGGTCCTTGGTCACGCGCTGCCCAACACCTGGGCACCACCTACTTCGGCCTTATGGCCGAGGCTGGTTAGCATGCTGCAACAGGTCGCCTGTCCCTTAGAAAGCGCCTTATCATTATCGACCATCGGAGAGTCGATGACGCGCTCCGTGCTCCAGATCGCTGCCTAGACGTTGTGCGAGCCTGGGTAACATTAATCACACGGCATGTACATTTATGCTATGAAAATTGGCAGGTAGCCATGCATTGCAAATTGAGCATCTTATTACTGTTCTTAGGCACTTTTAGGCGTACAAGCATATACATAGCATCTTTGGCTCATTACTCCATCTGTATGCAAGAGAAAACGCCTACAAGCTAGATGCAAAATGGAAACTAAAGTACATGGATGCAGAACATCCTCATGTGTTGAAGGCATGACCAGCGAGCACGAAGATGGACACATTGATCCAAGCTGCCTTGTGTGAGAGATGATGCTCAGTCAAGCTCCTGGGTAGCCACCATAGCAGCGTATATACCTCCCATGGCTACAAGGTCATCGTGCCTCCCTTGCTCCACAATCTTTCCAGTATCGAAGACGAAAATTCGGTCCGCATGTTGCACGCTTGCCAATCTATGAGCAATCATAATCGTAGTCCGCCCTTTGGAAGCAGCAGCAATCGCTCTCCGGATCTCTCTTTCGGTAGTTGCGTCCAGTTGAGATGTCGCCTCGTCAAGGAGGAGAATCTCCGGGTCGCGTATAAGGGCTCTAGCGATGGCTAGCCGTTGACGCTGGCCACCCGAGAGTTTTGAGCCATGTGCGCCAACCTCGGTGCTATAGCCTTCGGGAAGACTCATGATAAAGTCGTGAAGCTCACACTCTTTCGCAACACGCTCTATCTCTTCGTCACTGACGGTGGTGCCTGGTCGACGGCCGAGTCCGATGTTGAACTTGACTGAACCAGGGAAAAGGTCTGGCTCTTGCTCGACGAGTGCTAGGCGGGCACGATGGGCACGAACAGGCTCTTGTCGTATGTCTTGACCATCCAGATACACTTGCCCTGAGGTTGGATCGAAAAACCTCTCGATCAGATGAATTGTACTTGACTTTCCAGCACCTGCAGACAGTTTAGTAAACGTCTTGCTAGTCTCTGACTCGTCTTACCTGAGCGGCCTACAAACGCCACATTCTCACCCTGTCGGACTTGAAATGATACGTCATTCAATGCAAGCACATTCGGTCGACTTGCATAATGGAGGCTGACATTTCGGAACTCAAGCTCTCCTCGTACACCGAAAGTTCCATACGAAGCTGACGGTCCGGACAATAGGGCTTCTCCGTCGGAAACAGCAGCAGTTCCCGATGAGGGCAATTCCTTCATGATGGTCGGCTTTTCGTCGTGTAGAGAGAAGACGCTTTGTGCAGCTGTCTTAGCACGTGCTACTTCTGGCGCCAAACTGAAGAGCTGTCCCGCAGACTGTGCAGAGAAGAGCAGAGCAGGGAGCACAATGAAGAACTCTCGCTGACTGTAATTGCCATTGCGGACTTGCTTCGAGCCCCTATGGGATCCGTTAGTCTTGCAGTTTATGGGTGAATATGTCTTCTCCACTTTCAGGATTGAACGCAGAAGTTGGAGATTGGGTGACAGTAGGAAAGACAAGGACGTACCACCAGTATGCAAATGAGTAGACAAAGTAAGTGACAGAAAGCGAGAACGCGAGCAAGATATTGCCAAATACGCTGAACCTCAGGTGCTTTTCGTACGGTTTCCGGATTGCTTCCCGGTAAGCCTCGAGAAAGTGAGATTCTAGCCCAAAGACTGCGACGATCTGCATTGATGATGTCGCTTCAGATGCCAAGGCCGCAGCATCGTTATATGCTGTTTGATGATGCGTCTCGGCTATATGCAAGATTCGCAGGCGCAGGAAGCCCGCTCCCAACATTATTGGAACCGCACCAAGTAGCACTATAGCAATTTTCCAGGCTACAATGTGTGCTAGGATGATCCCACCCAGGACTGATGTCGCAATCGAGAAGATCGTACCCAGTATGACTCCAGAAAGACCGCTGATACTTCCGCTATCAGAGTTCAAGCGAGACATGAGTGCATGATGTGAATGGCCAGGCTTTGAGAACCAAGCAATGTCCTGCTGTAGGATGGTTCGAAAGGACAAGTCTCTGACCCGCAGGGTAAGATTCTCTGAAACGATACCAAAGGCAGTCTTGCCAAACGAATGAGAAGCTAAAGCGATGAGTGCAAGGACAAGGAACAGCAAGCAGTAGAAAGATATCCTGCTCGTGAGGTCATCAGACCCAGTAGTATCGTTCAGGAGTTCGACCAAGTTTCCGAAGATGAGGGCTTCTCCAATGATGACTCCACCACTGAATATAGATGATAGTAGACCAATGAATATAGCCGGTGCTTCATTGCGGCTCAATAACAGTGACCTCTTGATTAGCTCGAAAGCGCTCGTCTTACGGCTTTGGACAGCTGATGGTACGGCCGTCACGCTGGCCTCTCTTGAATCAATAGAGACCTTCCCGTTCTCCTTGTGCAATGAGCGAGCCGTAGATCGAATGGAGGATGCGGCTGATGGCTGCCCTTTCTCAAACTGCTGAGCCTTGATTAGCTCTGTATAGGTGCCATTCTTCCTGAGGAGCTCCTCGTGGCGCCCGTCCTCTGCTACACTGCCATCCTTCATGACGATGATGCGATCCGCATCTCTTACAGTAGCGAGGCGGTGAGCAATTATGATGGTAGTCCGGGTGTTTGCTGCTGATGAACGACGGAGGTTTTCCAGTACAATTGCTTCACTCGTTCCATCCATCGCGCTCGTAAATTCATCTAAGAGGAGCAGTGATGGATTGCCGACCAGAGCACGAGCTAGGGTAACGCGCTGTTTCTGACCGCCGGACAGCTGAGATTGAGGGCCAGAGCCTATTTTCGTATGAATACCATCTGGGAGGCGGTCTAGGAAGTCGCAGTATGCCTCGGTCGCCGCAAACTTGCATCGATCCAGAATCTCATCCTCGGAGAGCTTTTCCAGTTCTCTCTGCGGTATTCCATGCTTGATATTGTCCAGTATGGTCCCCGTAAAAAGAACGGGGTTTTGGTTGACTAGTGCAATATAGGACCGGAGGCTGTGGACGTTGAAAGTCTTCAAGTTATCATTTCCAAGCATGATATTGCCATATGTTGGATCATAGAGCCTCAAGAGCAATGAAGCAATCGTAGACTATCGATCAAAGTAAGCGCAGTACGGTAGTTCACTAAACCAGGTTTTACCTTTCCCGATCCAGATGGACCAACGAGACCGGTCACTTGCCCAGGCTGTATGCGCAGATCAATACTGTCTAAAATCCTCAGAGTTGGCCGAGCGGGATACACGAAAGAGACAGCGGAGAAGATCAATTCTCGATCAAAGTGCACTTTTTCGGCTGGCTTCCCTTTGGTAGTGTACACATCGATCTCAGATGGTGGATGATCCAGGACTTCCAGTACAGCAGCTCCGGCAGCAGCAGCCATGGCGAATGTTTGGATGAAAGGCCCAAATGACCCAATAACAAAGGAAGCGTCTAGTATGAGGAATACAACAGCGTATATGGTACCAGCTTCAGCGCTGCCGTCGCGTAAGCGATCACCGTACCAGAATGCGAGAGCATTTGTCGCGTATGCTACGAAATAGATTGAGCCCAGCATGACCGCGCCTGCAATACTCTTCTTTACTCCGAACCTCAGTGCAGATCGAAGATGGTGAATGTGTTCTTCGCTGAGTTGCTCGAATAGGCCAAAGGCTTGCACAATCTGCACGGCCCGTATGGCGCTCTCGGCGACCGAAGCAGCTTTTTCGGTGTAGATTGAGGCCTGTTTTGATAGCTGGGACACGGTCCTGGTGCCGTATATAACGACTAAACCCATGGAAGGAATCACAGTGACAAACCTGCAGTCATTAGCCATAGATCCTTGATTTGACAACCATGACATTTACATTATCCCAGTCAGTCTTGCGTTGAGCATGAAGCCTACAGTAAATGCAGAGATGAAATAGCTTATAGACGCGAGGAATAGGCCAACTTTTTCCGATGTTCCGAGCTGGATAGTCTGTGTCTTTTCTGTAAGAATACTAGAGAGGTCAGGGGCAACAGTGTCTATATTGGCATTTGATGTCAACATGTATTCTATTTAGGACAATATTCGGGCATTGACGCACCGTAGTAGGCCATATCCATGCCGAGAGCGCGATAAAGCAGCCTTTCTCTTGTTTTTCTACTGACTCTTTCACCTATGACTGCCCAGCACACGGCCCAGCCCCAAGTGACGGCGAAGTAGCCAACCGCGACCGTCATCAGACGATACAAGAGGCTCTTGAGCTCGTCTGCATCTGGGGGGAAATTATTGATGATCCGGCCAAGAATCACACCTATAATTGGAAGTGGAAGCCCTGCCAGAACAGCAAGGATGACACCGAGTACAAGGATAAACTTCGAACTAGGATCGTCCAACTGCCTGTACAGCGTGAAATAACTAGTTTTGAAGGGATTCAATCCCAGGATCTGGCGGATGAAGCGTTGGCGAAAAACAACGGCAGTCTCAAAAGCCTGGGGTTGAACAGTCGCTAGAGAAGGCTCCGCATGTCTCTCCCATTGCGTACTATGAAGCAATGAGCGCCCATCCCCGATCTCGCTATCTTCAGATTCGAGAAGAGGTTGGCTCTCAGAGCTTCCGTCGTCAGAGTAGTCGGGCATTGTGGCGCGCGCCTGGCGCGATGTAAAGTAATTTCAGAATCGAAGTGGTTGGTAATGGATTATCTGCAAGGTGGCAAAGATTAGGGTACCGTGGTGATGGTGCGACTGCTGACTGTAAGGACCGAAGATGCCATGGAAGTGATGTTGATGGCGCGTCGTGTTTGGGTGCGGTTCGATGGACAGCATCGTAGGAACACGCTAGCTAACTTGGGATCTTGGCGTAGTCATTGAAAATTCCAAGGTTGCAACCCCTGTCTTGTCCTGTCGATTTATGAGGCCGCGTTGGACGATTCCGGGCCACAATATCCAGACAAGTCGCAAGAAACACATAGCAAGTCGGGAATGGTATCGCGCACGCTTCGAACAGGTCACGATTGAAGCTATGCTTGGGATAGGTGAAGCAACGCATGCAGCATGCGTGTGTACCTGCCCAGGTGCACCGATAGGGCTATTGTGCGGCTCACTAGCCCGCGACCGACTGCAGGAGAAGGCTCGATCTGATAATTTTGTTCTAGGACATAGCGGCATGGCCTGGCTTGCATAGCAGATCATGTAATGATCATGCACGGGACGGCCTTAGACCCGACTCGACATGGCCCCACTCAACAGCAACACGAGCCAGGAAACACTTTCAACAACACACTACACCGGACACTCTTACCGATGCGTTTGCCGCTGACAGTTAGGCTTCCATGGACCGCGTGGGGGATCAAGTACATAACTATGACTAGCATCAGAGACACTGCCACCCGCGCAGGCAATGTTGTCGTCATCGGAGGCGTGCCCGCACCCGCCCACGTCCTCTTACCCACCATGTCGCGCTACGACTCTGGGCTAGCATAATTCCGGTGGAGCTTCGGTTCACAGTCTCGATGCAGTCTTGTCGCAAAACTATTTTCGCCCTTGTTTCTCCGTCTGCTTGCTGAGCGCCCGCCGCGTTTAGCACATCGTTACCCGCCGCTTGTCGAATGACACGTCCGCTCACCAGCCGACCAGCATGTATGACGCTGCTTCTGTCAACAACAACGTGCTCAGCATCACGGTGCAGGTTGCGACCCAAGATATTATCGAAATACCTTTTACCTTACCTTGAGACCTTTTGTTTTCCAAGCCCTTCCGACTCATTTAGGGGCTTCGACAGCCGGGCTTCGTTTCGCGCTCACTTGCTGCCTACTCTTTTCCAAGACTGCGCGCTCTCTAATCAAGCTTCGACGAGCTACATAGTAAAGGCCCTATAGCCTATTATCACGTGCACGAGCCTTGCGTCTGTTCGAAGGTACCTCGAGCCTTTCCACCAATCACCGTGCTGCGGTTTCTCATCACTGAGACAACCCGGGCATCCCATCCTACGGGCTTTCATGCAGCACCTACTATTATCTGTTTAATACTATCATTTGTTCTTCTAATTTTCTGAGCTGTTGCTGGAGGCGGCACATAACCAAAATTCCTGAAGCCATTCATATCTGTTAGCGACACTACCTCGCAAAAAATGGTACGAGAGAATGGCGCCAGCCAGCGCTTGTCGATTCTCAATGGACATCCCTCGATGCTGGAAGGACCACAGCTTCTTCATGAGCTAGTGCGGCCCTTGGATCATGACGCGACCGCTATCGATTTCCTGGAACATGGATCGAAAAGACGGAAGTTCTCATACAAGACCCTGCATCTCTTGAGCGATGTTCTGGCTGGAAGGATCACGGAAATACTAGCGAAGCTCGAAAGTGTATCACCAATCATTCCAGTGTTTCTACCACAATCACCCGAGCTTTACGTGGTTATTCTGGCTATCTTGAAAGCAGGGAAAGCCTTTTGCCCCCTCAATCTCGATACACCATCAAAACGACTGGAATTCATCCTTGACGACATATCGGCCGACTTAATTGTCACCTCATCATCCTACTACGAGCAACTAAAAACAGCCACCAGTATTCAAGTCGTTTGTGTCGATGGCGAGCTCTCTGATCGCGGCCATCGTCTTACAGTTAATCTGCCGCAGCCGAACACCAATGACCTCGCATACGTATTGTATACTTCTGGGTCCACTGGAATGCCCAAGGCAGTGAGTGTATCTCATCGCGCGGTCACTCAGAGCCTCTTAGCGCACGATTCTCACATCCCTGACTTCCACCGCTTTCTGCAGTTTGCAGCTCCTGTAAGTATACTTCCACCGCTTCTTCTTGACATATACTTACCTAAGAAAAAAGACCTTCGACGTTTCTATTTTCGAGATATTCTTCCCTTGGCTTCGAGGACGGACGTTGGTTGGCTGCACACGCGAGCAGATGCTTGATGATCTTCCCAAGACGATCAACAGTCTTGAGGTAGATGCTGCTGAACTCACACCAACAGTGGCGAGCAACCTCCTTCATGGCAGAGCAAGCGTGCCAGGCTTGAAGTTATTGCTCACTATTGGTGAAATGCTTACGCAACATGTTGTTGATGAATACGGTGGTACCGGAACCCTTGACAGTATATTGTGGGCCATGTATGGACCAACTGAAGCCTCAATTCACTGTACGCTACAGCCAAACTTCCCAGCAACCTCTTCTACCGCCACAATAGGATTTCCGCTAGAAACAGTCTCGGCATTTGTAATTGCACCTGCAGCAGAACTTCAGGATCCAACTTGTATCGAGATATTACCAGTCGGACAAATTGGAGAGCTTGCTATTGGTGGCCCTCAGGTTGCTGAAGAATATCTCAATCGGCCTGACCTCACGAGTGCATCTTTCGTCGACCATCTGTATTATGGTCGGCTGTATCGAACTGGCGATCGAGCCAAGATCAACGAACACGGAATCTTGGAGTGCCTAGGTCGTGTCGTGGCTGGTCAGGTCAAACTGAGGGGCCAGCGGGTCGAGCTGGGTGAAATCGAAAAAGCTATCATGAAGATGGAGAGCTGCCGTACAGCTGTTGTAATGGTACTACAGGACAACTTGGTCGCCTTCTGTGCCGTCGACTGCCAAGAAGTATCGCGCGCGGACGTTCTCGTCACCTGCAAGCAGTGGCTTCCCGCATTCATGATCCCATCCGACGTATGCCTTGTAGAAGTCATGCCACAACTTCCATCTGGCAAGACTGACAAGGATGCGCTTGCAAAGAGTTATAGTCGCACTGTCTCTTCAGGTGACACGCCTGTATCTGCCACCTCCGGCGATCCCCAGAGCCTGGCCATTTTAGATCTCATCAGACATTATGCATCGCGAAGTGTTACGATGGACTCAAATCTCTCCCTTTCTGGACTGGATTCGCTTCGCTCCATTCGCATAGCATCTGCACTGCGACGGGAGGGGTACAATGTTGGGGCGATGGACGTACTGTCAGCTTCGACAGTGAGGGACCTTGTTGCCGTGTGCAAAAGCGATAAAACCATAAATGGCGGAACAACTGATGCTGCCAAATTGTCTACTTACACAGAGGTTGCTCGGCTTCGGCGTTGGCATAATGAGATTGCTTACGTAATCCCATGCACTCCGCTTCAGGAAGCCATGTTGGCAGAAACGATATCACGACCCAGTGCGTATTGCAACTGGATTGAAGTGGAGCTTTTGGTCCCATGCAAGTATGAAAGGATTCGGGACGCTATCAGAGTTCTCGCCAGCGCTACCGAGATCTTACGCACCGGCTTCCTCCTTGAGTCTCAACATTCAACGACTTTCTCTCAAGTGATATGGAAAGATCTGTTGCCATCTCAGATTCGGGAAGTCAACTGTTTCTCCAAAGCTTTCTCACTTCAATCTGATGATGACTTACTACGGCCTCTCACTATCCAGATAACTACAAGCTCCGAGCGGCCCCGGCTTCTCTTTCAGATGCATCATGCTTTGTATGACGGATGGTCCTTCGACCTGATTCTCTACGATTTAGATAAGATCATTCGTGGTGAGGAGACGATTTCGCGGCAACAGTTCCAGGCTGTGACGCATTACCTTGTGCATAAGGAACAATGTCATGACCATGACAGCTCCAAAAAGTACTGGGCTTCCTTGCTTTCGGACTATATCCCTACCACTATCCCAAACTACCATGGAAAGCTCTTGCACAGCCGAGCCATACGACGCTTCTCCGGGAAGTCTGCCGTTTGTCCACGAAGCTTAGCTCGTCATGCTCGCGAACTGGCTATCAACCCCCAAGTTTACTTCCAAGCAGCTACTGCCTGTATTCTCAGATTGTACAGTGGCGCGACGGATGTTGTCCTTGGCAACGTTACTTCAGGACGAACCATGCCTATAGCTGGAGTTGAGGATGTTATCGGTCCCTGCATGGCCTCTGTCCCTTTCCGTATGGATTTTAGCGACACACATTGTATTCGAGACATATTATCCAAGACTCAAGCAATCAATCGAGAAAGTCTGCGACACAGCACTGTATCGTTGCGCGAGATAGCGAGAGCGGCAAACGTACAGCCAGGAACACAGCTGTTCGATATATTGTTTGTGTGGCAGCAGTCTATCGTTTCCGATTCCAATTCATCTCTCGTTGCCCAGATCGTCGACAACGCAGATGAATCCGAATTTAGAGTCACGTTGGAATTTGAACCGCGCGGAGATGACATATTATTCCGCGCCACTTTCGATGTCGCAACCATACCGGAGCAGCAGATCGCATACATGGCACGTCAAATCGACCAAGTGGTAGAATTGTTCTTAGCGAATGTCAATGGCGACATTGCTTGTATTAATCGCTGCTTTGCCACAGAGTCCCTGTCCATAGCCAACGCTAAGCCTCTGCAGCGGCCAATCGACCACGGCCCTTCCCATGCGGTCGAGCATTGGGCTGCAACAGCTCCGTATAAAAGCGCCATTGTTTTCGGACATCTTGTCAATGGTGTAATTGCGATTCAAAGCACGGCTACCTATGGCATGCTGAATTCTCGCGCCAATCAGCTCGCTCGCGTTCTTGCAGAGCACGGGGTGGGAAATGATCAGCTAGTCTGTATCATTATGGAGAAATCCATTGATCTCTACGTCTCTATTCTGGCCGTACTAAAGCTTGGTTGTGGCTACCTACCGCTAGTTCCTGAAACCCCATTAGACAGGGTCAAAACCATTCTGGTGGATGCACAAGTCAGAGTATGTGTCTCGGAATCGTCTATTTCAAGCGCTATGTCACAGGATGTCTTGGTTGATTTCGTCGACTTTGATCTTATCAGGCTCTCGGACTATCCCGACGAAAACTTGGACGTACCCTACAATGGACAGCACCTAGCTTATGCTGTTTTTACGTCTGGTAGTACCGGAACACCCAAGGGAGTCCTTGTCACTCAAGATAACCTCATGAGCAACTTGCAATATCTTTCAACATTGTATCCCTTTTCGGAGAACTCACGTCTGCTCCAGTCATGTTCGCAAGCTTTTGATGTCAGTGTCTTCGAGGTTTTCTTCTCCTGGTACGTTGGCTTGTGCCTATGCTCCGCAAAGAAGGATGATGTATTTCATGACTTCGAAGCTGCCATCAATCGCCTGGAAATCACGCATCTGAGTCTCACGCCTACAGTTGCTGCCCTAGTGGACCCAAGGAATGTACCAAAAGTCGAATTCCTCGTGACTGCAGGTGAAGCCTTGACGGAGACTGTTCGACGAAAGTGGGCTGGCAAAGGCTTATACCAAGGCTATGGTCCTTCTGAGACCACGAACATATGCACCGTGCGGGCTAAGGTCACATCTGACGATCTGATCAACAACATAGGCATGCCTTTCGATAATACTTCAGCATTTGTGTTCGATCCCGATAGCAATGCTATCCTCCCCAGGGGCGCTGTTGGGGAACTTTGCTTTGGAGGCTCGCAGGTCTTCCGCGGCTACCTGAACCGACCAGAACTCAACGCTGCAAAGATCATGAATCATCCTCTTCATGGCAGAATATATCGGTCTGGTGATATGGGTATACTGCTGCCCGATGACTCCATACTGTCCACTGGGCGTTCGGATGACCAGGTGAAGATCCGAGGCCAACGGGTTGAGCTCGGAGAGATCACATCGATCTTGCTCGATCACGAAGCAGTCAGAGACTGTGTTACGCTGGTCACGTCTCGATATCACCATGCTAAGATGCTAGTAAATTTCTGGGTACCCGCTACGAACGCAACACAAAACTTCCGGTGCTTGCAGCCCACAGAATTCGGGGTTGCAAAGAAAGAGCTGTTTGCGCTACTCTCCCGGCGTCTACCTACTTACATGGTTCCTTCTAACCTCATACCCATCTCCTATCTCCCAATGACCCCACAGGCGAAGATTGACAGGCGTCTTCTCTTAAACCTGTTCAGTGGCTTGACAGAAGCATATTTGACCCACACTGCCAATTCGGAGGAGAATAGCGAAGAACCTGGCTTGTCATCTGAATGGGAGCAAAGCGTCGCTCAGGTTCTGGCCCAGGTGCTTGACATTCCACCAAGCACAATCCGACGCAGTTCCTCGTTCTTCAATCTGGGGCTCGATTCTGTGTCCGCTATACAATTCTGCAGTGAGCTCCGCAAGGAAGAATTGGGGGACTTCGCTGTTTCAATGCTTTTAAAGAACCCGTCAATCGCACACCTAGCATCCGTGGAAGGCTCGAGCTCCTTGGTACGAACAACAGTCAAGAAGCTCAGGGCTAATCTAGACAACGTGTTCAACCCAAAGCTGGTCTCAGAGATAACTTCGTACTACGAACAGCGAGGTTCTCGAGTGGCTAGGATTCTTCCATGTACACCACTCCAAGAAGCTATGCTTTCAAGCGGCCAATCGTCTACAGATGCCGCTTACTGTAACGTCATGATCTTCGATATCAGAGGAGACGTGTCCCAGCTCCAACTTTGCTGGGAACACATGGTCCAACGTCATGAAATTCTTCGAACTTCCTTCTTCGCGACTGAAGAATCCTCATTCGCGTTTGCTCAGGTCATTCTGCATCGTGAGGACTTGGCTTGGCACCACCAAAAGTTAGGGAATGAGCTTCGATCGCAGATCTACCAAGCTCTAACCAGCCTTCTCGAAGCTAATGAGCCCCCTGTCTACTTTGCATTAGCTCAAGACGGCCTCTCTACTAAGTTGCTATTTTGCTGCCACCACGCGCTCTACGATGGTATTGCCATCTCCACTCTAGTCCGTGAGGTACAAGACTTGTATCTGGGTTATAATCTTCCGTCACCCATATCATACGACACATACTTGCATCATATGCTTGTTATGGATGCCCATGAAGCCGATGACTACTGGAATCATCTCCTGGATGGCTTTGAGCCTACATATTTTCCCACTCTCACAAGCAAGATTGCCAACGCTCCCGGGAGTCCCGCCTGTTCGACGAGAGACCTAGCATTACCACTCGATAATATACGGCAGGCTTGTCGAAACATGTCGGTGTCACTGTTATCGGTGATTCATGCTGCTTGGGCGAAACTCCTACATTTGTACATGGGCGAGAACGACATCTGCTTTGGAAATGTCGTGAGCGGGCGCAGCATTCCGGGGGAAGATTTAGAGCGTCTTGTGGCGCCTTGCTTCAACACACTGCCTGTCCGTGTCGTACTCGATTCCGCCAAGAGCAACAGGGATTTGACAAAACTGATACACACTCTCAACATAGACTCGCTAGCTTACCAGCTGACTCCACTTCGACACATACAAAAGAAGCTTATCAAGGACGGAGGTCGTCTTTTTGACACTCTTGTTATACTTCAGCAACCGAAGGAACAACTGAATGATTCCATCTGGTCACTTGACGACGATATAGGTGACATGGATCTCCCAGTAGTGTGTGAGATCATTCAAGACCAGACTAGGAATGCTTTAAAGCTGGTGTTGCATTACAATACTTCGCTACTGGCAGAAGCGGATGCCTCCGTTGTCATGGAGACATTTGATGCCTCTCTGGTATCCATCATCGAACATCGTCAAGCTTCCTCCATGGACATCGTCGAGATACCCTCTCATCTTCGAGCAGAATCAGATGTTGGCTCTACGACGGTGACTGCTTCAGAGCTACTGCACTCCGGGTTCGAGCGCATGTCGTCACTGGATCCGGATCGTGTAGCGCTTGATTTCTTACATCCTGAAGGAGGCAGGACCACCTGGTCTTTCATGACCTTGAACCATAAGGCAAACCACATCGCACATACGCTTATTGAGGCAAAAGCTGGGCCTGAGGATATCATCCCCATTCACATTTCGAAGAGTCCGCAGTTCTATGCAAGTATACTGGGGGTTCTCAAAGCTGGCGCTGCATTTGCACCGGTGCATCCCGACTTACCTGAAGCGCGGAGAAAGCTAATGCTTGCAGAGTTGAAGCCAAAGCTTCTTCTATGTTCTGATTGTTCAATACCCCCTAAAGGTCTCACTGAAGCGCTCGTCATCAACGTTGGAGACATCGCACCTTCCTGCCGGACCAATCCTGTCATTGGTGGCTTGAAGAACTCGCATCTGGCCTATTGTTTGTTCACTTCTGGTTCTACCGGCGTACCAAAGGCAGTAAGCATGGAACATCGCGCTCCAGTGCAAACTATAGAAAGTTCCAGGGCGCTCGTGCCTTGGAGCCCATCCTCCAGACTGCTACAGTACGCCGCTACGTCCTTCGACATGTGCTACTATGACTGTTTCCTTGCTTGGACCTTTGGTTTCACCCTTTGTGTTGCAGAACAAAACCATTTGTTGAACGACTTGCCGAAGGTGATCAACACTCTGGGTGTTGACTTACTGGATCTTACACCATCAGTTGCAGCGTCTTTGAGAAGATCAGATGTACCAAACGTCAAATGGCTCTATTGTATCGGCGAGGCCATGTCGCCCGCGGTCGTCAAGGAATGGGGGGCCCTGTGCGTCAACTCTTACGGACCTACTGAGGCGGCTTTCTGCACAACAATGAGCCCTGTCTCGAAAGGAACGAAAACTTCAATTATTGGCAAGCCCTTCCCAAGTACTTCTTTCGCTGTGTTTTCAGAGCGAGGTAAATCGCCTTTGGCTATGCTGAGCGTCGGAGAACTGTACATCGGAGGTGCCCAACTTGCGCGAGGCTACTTTGGTAAGCCTGATCTCACCAATGAGCGTTTTGTGAGTAGATGCGGCCAGAGGTTTTACAAGAGTGGTGACAGGGTGCGCATGCTGAGCGACAGGAGCTTCGAGTTCCTTGGACGGACAGACGACCAAGTGAAGATCCGTGGACTGAGAGTAGAGCTGGGTGAGATCAACAGTGTTCTCCAAGAGTCTCACCCAGATATTCCAGCTATTACTACACAGATTCTCAGGAAAGACACGACGGCAAAGGAGCAACTGGTGTGTTTCTTGGCGCTGCACCAAGACATCGAGGAGACCGAACGTATCACACTTCGCGGAAACCTCAAAAAGACTGCAAGCACCCATCTGCCTTCATACATGGTGCCCAGTTTCTTCTTGTTCGTGAAAGAAATACCCAAATCCATGGCGGGGAAGATCGACAAGAATGCGTTAACAAGCATCTTCCGGAGCTGCGCTGATGAAACCTCACTCGCCGATGGCATTTCGAATTCCCCAGCGTACCAATGGAATGAGTTGGAATCACGAGTCCGACAGGTTCTAGCGCGACTCTCTAAAACCTCACTGGACGACATTCTGCCGACAACGTCAATCTATCAGCTCGGCCTCGACAGCATTAGTGCAGTACAAATCGCGGCAGCGCTCCGGAAACAAGGTCAAACTGTGAATGCCACAGATGTCTTGAGACATACCAGTTGCGCTGAGCTTGCGGCACATATTGATCGCACGAGCACAGTAGTTACACCTGCAACCCCTGTCTTCAACTTCACCAGTTTTGAGTGCACCCATAAGTCGCAAATCTTGAAAACCCATGATATCAAGCACGGGGATGTCATAGCTATTCGACCTTGTACCCCTCTGCAAGAGGGCATGGCATCTCAATTCCTGGCCAAAGAAGGTTCTGTATACATGAATCATGTTCGGCTACAATTGGAGTTGGACACGGATATGGACAGGCTGAAGATGGCATGGGCCACCACGACGGCACGTCATAGCATGCTACGAACTGGCTTTGTTCACGTGGAAGACCCACTCCATTCTTTTGCGATGGTCGAGTACACCCCTGATTCCGTCACTCTACAATGGATTATGACACAGGAGGGCGGTGTTTTCGATCCGGTTAATGCATGGCTAGGGGAGGTGAGATCCAGAGCTTTGGACAAGCTTCACTTGCCACCTTGGCAAGTACGTGTCGTTTGCGAAGATGGCCACTTGTTCCTCGATCTGGCTATCTTCCATGCAATTTTCGATGCCCGAAGTCTTCAGCTCATCTTCCATGATGTCGCAGCTGCCTATCACGAACAAGCTCTCCTCCCGCCACTATCTCTGGATCCTGTCATCGATAGTATAATCCGCTCAAATGACGAAGACAAAAGCAGAGACCAATTCTGGGCAGGCCTTGGCAAATTGGCAAACCCGTCTAGATTTCCCAACCTGGCGCCTTTGAGATACGATGTGAGACCTCCATTAGTTTGCACAAGACGGTCGAATCATTCTCTTGATGATCTGGAGAGCGGCTGTCGCGCAGCCAGCATCACGTTACAAGCTGCTGGCATTGCTAGTTGGTTATCACTCTTATCTGCTTACACTGGAGAGAGCTCCGTGACATGCGGAGTTGTACTCTCCGGTCGAACATTTGAGGCAGCAGAGAGCGTTGTGTTTCCGTGCATCAACACTGTGCCTTTTGCACTAAAAGTAGCAGAAGACAGAGCCGGTATGCTCAAACAAGTCATGGCTCTGAACGTGGAAATGCAGCAATATCAGTCCACTTCACTCAATGAAGCCCGAAGACTGATGGGCTTTCCGAACGAGTCACTCTTTGACACCATCTTCGCCTACCAAAAACTGAGTGTTGAAACGAGTGCCAGCAGTCCCTGGAGCGTGGTTGACGAAAAAGCGACAATAGAGTACCCGCTTTCGATCGAATTAGAGCCCAACGCAGGACGACTAGAATATCGCCTGACCTTTTTACCGCATATCATACCGGAAGAACAGGCCACGTTGATACTCCAGCAGCTTGATCATCTCATGGAAGATTTCATCTTGCCTACAAAGACTACTGTAGTTGGCAAAAACTACTCAAGTCAACTCTACTCCATCACTCCGGCCAAGGAATACGAGTTGATGTCTGACGTTCGACTGCTCCATGAATTCGTTGAACAGACGGCAACAAGATATCCTGAGCGTGTTGCGTTTGAGTTTTTCAGCGCGAAGGACAACGGTGAGCGCTTTGTCAAGCGTTGGACTTATTCCGAGTTGGATGTCGAAGCGAACAGGGTCTCACAGTTGCTGAGAGCTCACGGTGTCAAACCAGGTAGCCTTGTTGGCGTGTGTTTTGATAAGTGTCCGGAAGCCTCTTTCGCCATGTTGGGTATATTGAAAGCCGGGTGCGCTTTCGTTGCGATTGATCCTGGAGCGCCTGCTGCACGTCAAGCATTCATTGTGGAAGACTCACAGGCCCAAGCCATACTTTCACTATCGTCACAGTCTCACAAGTTCAAGACGAGCCTTGCTGTTCCGATACTTGATCTTGACCATATCGACTGGCATTCGCTGTCTGGATCCAAGCTCATGATTAATCGTGAAATCAGTCCTCAAGACCGCAGCTACTGTTTGTACACCTCTGGCACGACTGGTACCCCCAAAGGTTGCGAATTAACTCATGAGAACGCAGTACAGGCTCTTCTCGCTTTCCAGCGCCTGTTTGCTGGACATTGGGACGAGACTTCGCGCTGGCTCCAGTTCGCATCTTTCCATTTCGACGTATCGGTTCTCGAACAATACTGGAGTTGGTCTGTTGGCATCTGTGTGGTGTCGGCCCCTCGTGATCTCATATTCGAAGACCTGTCTTCTTCTATCCGAGATCTCAACGTTACGCACATCGATCTGACACCCAGCCTCGCCCAGATCCTACATCCAGATAACGTCCCAAGTCTTTGCAAGGGAGTCTTCATCACTGGCGGTGAGAGCTTGAAGCAAGAGATCTTGGATGTGTGGGGCCCGAAGAGTGTGATATACAATGGCTATGGACCGACGGAAGCAACGATAGGTTGTACAATGTACCCGCGAGTTCCAGCCAATGGTAAACCCTCCAATATCGGTCCTCAGTTCGATAATGTGGGCTCCCTTGTTCTTCATCCCGGCTCTGACGTCCCAGTCTTTCGGGGCGGTGTCGGTGAGCTCTGTGTCTCAGGCAAGCTCGTTGGTAAAGGATATCTCAATCGTCCAGAGTTGACCGCCGAGCGCTTCCCACATCTCGAACGTTTTGGCGAGCGTGTTTACCGAACCGGAGATCTGGTGCGAATATTGCATGATGGCACTTTCGATTTCTTGGGTCGTGCCGACGACCAAGTCAAGCTACGTGGTCAGCGCCTTGAGGTGGGAGAGATCAATTCAATCATCAGGCAGTCAGGAAAGGGTATTTCAGATGTTGCGACGCTGGTGCTCAAGCATCCAAAGCAGCAAAAGGAACAGCTTGTTGCCTTTCTCGTATGCGCAAGTCCGTCAAAACCTCTCCCCGAGGTGATTTTGAGGATCTTTGATCAAGTAATGCACGCGAAGGAGGCTTGTCAGGAGAAGCTTCCGCCGTACATGGTTCCTACTCACTTTATTCCTCTCACTGCTATGCCGCTCAATGTCAATAACAAAGCAGATGGAAAGGCACTTCGCGGCTTGTACGAGGATCTTTCCCCTAACGATCTCCAGAAACTTTCAGCTACAGTCCATGATCAACAGGAACCATGGTCAGACCAGGAAAAGAAGGTTCACAAGATTCTGTCGCAAACGCTCGGCATGAATGAGGAATCTATTACCAAAGATACCAGCCTGTTTGAGTTGGGCATGGACTCAATCACCGTAATTGGAGTATCACGAGCGTTAAAGCAGAGCGGATTGTCAGAAGCTACTGCATCTTTGGTCATGCGATATCCAACAATCAGACGTCTTACAAAAGCTTTGGGGACTGTTACTTCGCTCGAGAATAGCCGGGGTTCTGTAATCGCCGCGCAGCAGTCTGTCAGCGCAGTTCAGCACCGCTATCGCCGTGTAGCCGCCCATTCCCTGTCAGTCGAACCTGGTATGATCGAAGCTCTCGCCCCATGCACACCTTTGCAACAGGGTATGATTGCCAGGTCCTCGGAGAGCGATGAAGGGCTCTACTTCAACACTTTTCAGCTCAAGCTAAAAGAAGACATCGACGAAGAGAAGCTAAACGAAGCATGGCAAAAGGTTTACGCCTCAACCCAGATCTTACGTACAGTTTTCATCAACACAGAGGAAGGATATGTTCAAGCAGTCCTCCAGGATGTTCGATTCAGCGGTGTTATTCATACTGCAGTCGAGCATCAACGCGTTCGTGAACATCTGGATAACTTAAGACGAGAGTGGCTAGTGGCTAACCAGGCTGAGCTCAGACGTCTGTTCGAAGTGCACCTCGTCGTCACGGAAGAGGAGAAGCTGTTGGTCATTCACATCTTTCATGCTTTGTATGATGGAAACAGCATTGGCCTGATCTTCCAAGCTGTTTGGAATGCCTACCATCAGCGGGCTTCGCAGTCTGTTGCGCCTTCTTTCCATGCTGCTTTGGCTTATGGCCCATTGAGGATGGTAGATGGGGCAAAGCGCTTCTGGCAAGGGCATATCTCGATGGATTCTCTGTCCTTCCCTTCGGCGGCTGGCAAGTCTAGTATGGAGACTATCGTCACGACGCGACAATTGCGTGGGTTAGTAGCATTTGATCCTACCCGACGCCAACTCAGTGTTACCGCACAGGCTATCATACAAGCTTGCTGGCTCAGCGTACTTCAACAGCATGTCCAGGGAATACTCACAACCGGTATGGTCGTCTCTGGACGTAGCATCAACCTCGAGGGTGCAGAACGCATCATGGGTCCGATGTTCAATACCATCCCTTACCAGCATCGCGCCCAAACCAGAGAGTCTTGGGCGTCGATTATCAAGAGGATACACGATTACAATGTTGCTTCTCATCCGTATCAGCACACGGCCCTGAGAGACATCATGAAGTGGTGCAAAAGAGCTCCCAGTCGCCCACTGTTCGACAACCTTTTTGTATACCAAGTTTCACAAGATGACGAGGATTGGACCAGTAATGACACTTGGACGCTCCTAGATGGAGATACTGTCGCCGACTATCCCGTAGCTTTTGAAGTCGAACAGAAATCTGACAGCGACTTCAATCTAACCTTGGTGACGCAAGGACATGTTGCCTATGAGGGAGGGGCGAATGAGCTACTGGATCGATTCGAGGATGCGTTGCATCAGGTCCTAGAAGATCCATCTGCCTTGCTTGAGCTGCCAATCGGACCAAACGTGGTGACTGCAAGTAGCAATGTTGCAAATACTCCTGCGGATTTCGGAACCAACGTCGCAACAGACTTCGCGTGGACAGACAGTGCCATTAAGATTAGAGAAGAGATTGCCAACTTATCCGGAAACAATCTTGAAGAGATCAATGAGGCAACATCTATCTTTGAACTCGGGCTCGACAGTATCGATGCGATCAAGCTATCTTCAAGGGTCAAGAAGCGCGGAATCAATCTTCCAGTCAGCGCCATCATGCGTGGACTGAACATCGGGAAGATGGTGATGAACGTCTCGATCACAGAGGATCACGCCGAGGACTCTACGTCAGAATCAGATTTCGATCTTCAAAGGCAGAGATTGATCCGACATCTGGAGGAACGCGCCTTCAACACAACAGATATTGAAGCAGTCCTTCCTCTGACACCCTTACAAGAAGCTATGGTCGCTGAGATGACTACATCTGGATATACGAGGTACTATAACTCCGATGTATTAGAACTGAGCGCGAATACGAACACCGAAAAGCTGCAGCAGGCTTGGGTGAACGTTGTTGAACATTCGCCAATCTTGCGCACTGGCTTTGTGCAAGTCGATGACCCAGATGTTGATGGTTCCTTTGCACAAATCATTCATCAACAACCTCACAAATTTTGGTCGCAGATCAACTTGGAAGAAGGGCCCGATTTCCCCTCAATCTTCGAGAAGCTCCGAACCGATGCTAGACAGACTCCGCTGTTGACACCCCCATTTCGCCTTGTATTCATTGAAACTCCTAATCGCAACTACCTTGTATTAAGCATCGCACATGCTTTGTACGATGGTTGGGCTCTCAGCCTACTGCATTCCGACGTGCACCGAGCATACGGCGATGAGCTCACATCTCGACCGAGCTATGTATCGTCATTGGCTGGTATCATTTCAGCGTCAGGCTCTGATGCCGTAGGGTTCTGGCGGGATTACCTCTCAGACGCTACCAAAGTTCTTTTCCCGCGGCGCGCAGGTTTATCCAGTGATATTAGCAGCACTGTTCATCGCTACGAACACTATAGTGCGGTAGCGCTAGATGGGGTCCAGGCTTTCGCGAAAAGGAGCAACATTTCTCTTCAGACAGTCGGACAAACAGTATTTGCCCTGGTATCTGCATTCTATACCCACTCACTGGATGTCACATTCGGTTCTGTTTTATCGGGACGCGACGATGACGAGATGTCTCAGCTACTCTTTCCGACGATGAATACTGTTGCAATCCGAGCCATACTCCATGGCAACGGCACCGAGATGCTGCGTTACGTACAGGATAACCTTGCGAACATCAAACAGTGGCAGCATTACCCACTTCGCAAAGCCCTATCTCAGGCGGGTGTTGGTGGTAGATTGTTCGAAGGCCTATTCATATACCAAAAGAGCTTGGAGCAAGGGCAAAATAGGAGTCAAGAGCTTTACACTAGTGTTGGGGGACATAGTGATGTAGAGTATCCAGTCTGTGTGGAAATGGAGGTAATTGGCGATGCCTTGGTGTGGCGTTGCGCAGTGAAAGAAGAGGTTTTCAATGAAGAAGGAGCAAAGGTTTTATTGGATCGAATGGACGATGTGCTGAAGTACCTGATGGCCAATCCAGAAGCGCCTGTAATCGGAATAACAACGGCTGGAACGTCGGTGTGCGGGCTGCCAATGTTTGGAGAAGACGGTACAGGACAGGCCAAGATATCCGAACTTCCCCAGGACAAGCGGGTCGAGATTTCGGCAGACACACCGACTACACGCAAGATCCGCAAGATCTTGGCCGCTGTATCGAAGATACCTGAGGATGAGATCACAAGCGATATGACCATCTTCCACATGGGTCTGGACTCTATTAGCGCGATCAAAGTCTCTTCCCTTCTCCGCAAACAGAATGTCATCATTACTGTTGGCGAGATGCTTCGCGCTGGTACCGTCGCCAAGATGGCAAGGGTAGTGGCTGAGCGCGCTGCTCAAGCGTCACACCACAACGATCAAGATGATCTATCAGCCATTCTGGAATCATTGCAGGGGTTAGACATAGCGGATCTCCTGGACCGAGCTTGTATCAACAACAAAAACGCTGCTAACGTTTTGCCCGTCACTGCTGGGCAGCTATACATGCTCTCAATGTGGGTGAATACCGACGGGAGTAACTTTCACCCGGAGTTCACCTACGAAATGCATGGAGATGCGTCTTTCGAAGCTCTCCAAAGTGCGTGGGAAGCTCTGGTCAGACAGAGTACAATTCTGCGGACATGTTTTGTTTCAACGACTGACGATCAAGCGCCGTACGTACAAATCGTGCTCAAAGAAGTCGAAAGCCCTATAACCGATGTGACGAATTGCGAAGAATACGAACTTTGCAGTCTTGTGCAACAGATCTCTTCCGCACAGCCTTGGGCGCATGTCTTCGTCTCAAAAGTACCAAGCGGTTGGAAGTTAACGCTGAAGATTCACCATGCACTGTACGATGGTGTCAGCCTGCCACTCCTCATGCAGCAGTTACAGAATCTCTGCAATGGCGGCGCCGCACCTCCATGCAACGATGCCTTTGATAGGCTTATCGCCCACAGCTCCACGGCATCAGCTCAGCAAGAGCGAAAAGCATTCTGGGAAGCTTATCTCAACGGCGTTGCGCAGAAGCCCTTGCCACAGCCACCCTCACCCCCAACGGCGCGAACAGAAGTTTTTATGCCAGCCTTATTACGGACCAACAACCTCGAAAAAACGACGCGCCAGCACGGCATCTCAACACAAGCCCTCTTCCTCGCCGCCTACGCAAAGATTTACTCGAGACTCACCGCAGCCAATAGTTCCACCGACGTGGTGATAGGCGTCTACCTAGCAAACCGCTCCCTTCCCATAGCAAACCTATCGACAGCGGCCGTACCCACAGTCAACCTGCTCCCTCTACGTGTCATATCACCACAGGCACACAGCCTAATCGAAACAGCAACGCAAATCCAAGCCGATCTGCTCTCCATTAGCAGCCCAGCAAACGCATCAAGCCTCTTTGAAATCGGCGACTGGACCGGTGTCAAAATCGACACTTTTGTCAACTTCCTTTCGTTGCCTGATGTACAACAGCAAGAGCAAGGAGAAGACACACAGCAGCATATCACCATCAAGCCGACGCAGCAGTGGGAGGAGAGTGTCAACAGGATCGTCTCCGCATCCCCAGCATTGTTGGACAAAGGCGCTGCAGCACAGCTTGTGAACAAACGTGTTAACGACGTGTATTTGGTAAGTTCCGAAAGCGGATCCGGGAACATGCAAAACTAACATCACATAGCACGCCCTCGACATTGAAGCCACGGTGCGGAACAATGGTAGATTGGATATTGGTGTTTTCGCGCCGGTGGAGATGCTTAGTTTGGATCAAGGGGAGCAGTTGGTTAAGGAGTTGGCTAAGGAGTTGGAAGAGTTGTGAGGTGAGGTTGCGGGTACCTGTTACTGTTCGTCTTTTTTCTAGTCAATGTTTCAAGTGTCTGGAGACTACTGTAATCGTTTTACACTATTATTTCAAGTTCATATAACACCCGGGTGGTATACAGTATTATGTTTTGGTAGAAATTTCAGTGATTATATGACTACTTGACTAAGCAAAGTGGGGTAATCCTAAGTGAAAAGAAAAATGGGAATATCCAACCAAATCGTATCACTAGACCATTTGCTCGCCAGCCCTGTTGGCACCAACAGGCTTCCTGTGCACAGCGCCTGCTGCAATAGGGCCCTCTGGATGCGGCAACATTGTACCCCTGGGACCATCGGTAGCGTCGAATGGTGCACCACCCCAGCTACTGCCTTCGTGTGTGCCCCAGCCAGCCTTGCGAGTGAATACGGCATCATGGAAGCCATCAGAGGAGCTAGGGCCGGCACCGTACACCATAGGATCGTGGCGCATAAGAGGGATGTGGTTGAAGCGGAAGTCCCAGACTGAGGCATACACCATGCGGTAAGAGCTGAAAGCCATCATAGTACCGATGAGGGCGCCGACGACGATGTCGTACTAGAATGGTATGTTAGCACCCATTTACGTGTTTGGCGACTACAGTGGCCTTTGTACACCAGTATGTACACCCCAATAGACATGTCTGGCGACTACATTGGCCTTGGTACACTGGTATTTCAAGTGTTTATGGCACACGGGCGGATACTGGGGATGTTTACTTACCCAGTTGTGATACTCGTCGATGGTGAGGGCGCCTCCGATCAAGCAGGCGCCTAGTATAGGAGCGTACAGGGCAATGAGCTTCCACATGGCAGGGTGATAGTTCGCGAAGACCTTGAGCTTAGCGTTGAGGTATAGGTATAGAAAGACGAAGCCAGCAAATGCAGCAGTGGTGTGACCGGAGGGCATAGATTCCAGACTATCATTGATCTCGTTCTTGTCGCCAGTGCAGATGCTACGATCGAACATGATCTGCCTGTAACCGTTGGCAACGTTACCGTACGGGCCGCCTGCTTCATTGCCGTTGTTGTTTGCGCCGACGGATGCGAGTATGCTTTGGGGGATCACGGGTTTGCATACGGCGAGGAAGTGGGGGCGGAGACCACCGATGAGCCACTTGATGAAGACCTGGAAGACGGCTGCGGCGATGAGCGAGTACAAGAGACCAATGGTTGCGTTGTTGACGTCCCAGAAGCTGCGGGCGCGGATCTGGACAATCAGGAAGACGGCAAAGGGGATGAAGAAGGCCATAAGAGCAGCAGCCCAGATGGGAATGATCTCGTGGCGGAGAGGGTAGGCGAACTCGGGGTAAACGATCTCGCCGTTGGAGAAGATGACTGTGGGTGATTAGTATGTCTTTGAATTAAATTCGTCCCCGAGCGTGTTTCAAGTCAACGTACCAGGGAAGCTACGGCTTGGTGCAGGATCCGCCATATAGACCCCGAGACCAACGGCGCCCATAGCAGCCATGGTGACAATGTCGAGCCAGGTGGCCTTGACCCATTGTCCGAAGGTGGGTCTGGTGTTATGAGGCATCTTCTCGTGAGTGCCAGTCGCCGTCGTATCGGCAGCGCGCTTGCTGAAGATAGCCATCGTTGTAGATGGTTGATGAGTTGGGCTGGGTGAGTGGGTAGATATAGTACCGAATAACAGATGACGTAACGCGTTTGTTTACGGAAGGGAGGAGGAGGTGAGCGCACCTGGCCAGCAAACGGCCGTTAGCGTACCAGGGAAGTCCACCCGGGTGTCATATCAACTTTGACATAGTGTAGAAGGGCCACTATAGTCGCCAAACACGTGTATAGAGTGCCTACCCATACTTCCAGTACATGCACTGAATGACACCCGAATGAGCCACAAACCTGTTGCCAACCCTGTTCCTACGCTGCCTAGGTGTTCCTCCATACCGTTTTCGAGCAATATAGCTACGGCATCACACTAGCAGGGTGCGACAAGGAACCTGGGAAAGTTGGCAAAAGCTTGGCCTAGCCGTAGTAAAAGCTTGGCCACGCCAACTGTGGCTTCCGTGTGGCTGGTAGATAGGGCAATGATGGCATTTGTGTGGCTCCCCGGCACGAGAATTGCCGCATGGCCACTCGATTGCTCGCGATCTTCGCCATGTGTGGCGCTGGGGATCGATGGGTTTGGTGTTGATTGCGCGTTTGCTTGCATGAAAATGTGTTGCGCCGCCGACGATTTGCATCGCGTGACGTCACATGTTCAAAATTCTGGTGCTGGTCTGGCAAACGATCGTCGGAGCGTGGTTCTAGGCTTTCATCATCCTATGCGCTCCTGCGCCACAAAATAGAAAATAGACGTTGTGAATTATTGGAACATGTCTGACTGTCACGTGTCAAAAGTTTACGGCGTGTCGCTCTATTTGTGTCGCAGTTGTGCTTCTCAACGCAATCACAGCATCATTAGTTGCCAAGATCATCCTATACTGCTCTTGACTCCAACAGTGTTGCCTGGAAATGATGTAGATATTCCTACATCCAAGCGGTACGGGATTATGGTTTGTATTCAGTCAAAGAGTTGTAGTGTAGGCATACCAATGAACCCCTCAGGCGCAAACCCTATTCTCCCTTTAAGCACAGAAATTCCCTTGCGCAATCGCCAGACATGTCCGCCCTATCAATGTCCTAATCCCCTGGGTATCATCATCATTCTCCTCCATGTCTCGTCCGAAATTTCCACGCCTCATCACGCCAAACCTTCCACCCTCCTCCTCTCCTCTCGTCTAAGAGTGCATATGCACCTCAGTAGAACCGCTACGGTGCCAAGTAGCAAGCAAAACGCCACACCTGCCACACTTGTGTTGAACGTCCTTGGTCGAGTTCATGACGTACGGAATGCATCCCAGGCAGCAGACGCAGCAGAGAACAAACGCCCACACGTGTGTCGTGTTTCCCGTGTCGAAGGCGACGTTGGTCATGGCTCGCTGGCCGCATGCAGGGCAATCTGCAGGCGCGGGTCCACGCTGCAAGTTGGCGATGGGTGTTGCGTTCTGGTAGACGGTTCCGCTTTGTTGTTGGGGTGGCATGCCGGGTTGCATCGCGGCAGCTGCGTCGGGTTGTTCTTCGTACATGGGTTGTTGCTGTTGCGGTTGTTCGTGGGGGTAGGGCTGCTGGGCGTTGGGATCTTGGTGGTAGACGGGGGGTTGCTGCTGGCTAGTTACGTCTGGCGACTGAGGGTATTGCTGCATGGGGACTTCGATAGCGTTAGACATGGTACTGGTAATTTTGATTGTTGTGAGAAGTGTTTGTCCTAGTGAAGCGCAACTCTTGTGAATCATCGAAGCGGAAACCTCGAATGACTTACCCTGGACCTTCTCCATGGTGAAGATAGCTGCTGAATCGTCTGCTGTAGAAGCGCGTGCGGTCGGAGAAAGTGCGTTGATGTAGCTATTCAATTGAAAGGTAGGTGAATCGTGTATCTCAAACAAAGAAGAAAAGAACCCACGGAGCGCCCCAGACTATATGTAAAGCCAAATCCCCGCAACGCCTGCTTTCAATCTCCCCAAAACAGACTAACATGCAATTCACAACCGACACAACTTCAGGCCCTCCGCCATTTCACACGGGTACCCACTGCCAAGGGGTGACACTTGCTGCGCGAGCACAGCCCTGGTGCTCGTACCGAGCATCAATGCGCCTACTACCCGCGCAAGGCTCTCTCACTCTTGCCGTAGAGCCAATGAATAGCTGCGGACAGTTGCACGTCAAGATGCGCAGTTTGGTATCAGGTGCCGGGACTGCCGTTTTGGTGTTGGGGCGACGGGCGTTGCGATGATCAAGGGGAGGCGCAATCGGGTAGTCGGGTAGCGTGGGCGCAGGGCGGCAAGCCCATTTGCCTTGTTTAGGTTTAGCGTCGAGGTTAATCCACAGGCTTTGGTTTGGGGGCCAGATTTCAACACTATTGTGTTCTTCACGACCGCCCTGCTGACAGGTATTGCATCACAGAGCCGGCTATAACGTTCCTTCGCTACACATCAAGGGTCAGGATTTTCCCGAGTAAGCAGCTTAGAATACGCTTATCTACTTCATTATATTATAGCTAAGGCTGTGCTGGACGATCAACGTGTGTATATCTGGTTTCAAGTCTAGCCCTAATGTTCCTGCAGACGCCTTTGTTATTTTAAGACAGGTGTGCCACCATCAAGCGAGTTTGCCATCGCCAAAGCATGTGGAAAATGGCTGTGTGGCTGAACCGGTGAACAAACCGCGTTGGCAAGTTGTGTTTAAATTCGACCGAGTATGCACCGGCGCGCGAACCCCTCAGTATCGCGTGTCCATGTCGTCCAAATCGACCTCGTCCTCTGACTCTTCCTCGACGTGGCCGTTGGCATGTGTAGTGTGGCTTGCGTCTCCGCCCACGAGTTTCATTTGCTCAGGAGTCAGGTCCACGACGGTGGGTGCAAAGTCGCCTAGCTCGTCGTCTTCGTCTGCGCCCTTGACTTCCAGTTCCACTCTCTCGCCATCTTCCAACTCCATCATGCCGCGCTTCAGATACGAGCCTTCCGGTTCCCACCCAAACTCTTTCTCCATGAATTCTTGCAGGTCCTCCAATTCGTCGACCAGGTCAGCTTTCCACTTGCCGTCAAAGTCGTCCAAAGCTTTGCGGAATTGGCTGAGCAGCTTCCTCAGGAAGCCCCCACCAACATCATTCATATCAAACAAGTCACCCTCCATATCTGAGCAGTGAGGGAGTTGGGTGCGCAGACACTTGAGGAGATCCAAAAACAGCTGAGAGCGTTGTTGGACGGCTTGCCGGCAAGTGAGAAGTAAACGCAATAGTCTTTTCCACTGTTCAAGACATGAGTTGTTGTTGAGCGTCAAAACCATGAGGAAGGTGAACTGCAGTTCGCCCAGTATCTCATTCTCTCGGCCCCTCAAATCTCTTGCCTGGCAGTGGTTGTCGATGAGGTCGCCAAGGAACCAGGATCGATCCTGTGCAGCTTCTGTTCGTTCTCGGCCAGTCGCACCTTCCCTCCACGTCTTCTTTAGGTCAATGGGGAGGAACCTCAGTTCCTTCTCCGGGTGGAGCATGCTGTTGCTCGTCTCCAGGCCCGGTATCTCGTCCAGATCTTGTGTGGCGGACGATGCGGACGTCAGATTCCAGTGGTCAGGGTTCAGCCCGCATATCCTTGATAATATGGTAGGTGTGACTTGAGATGTAAGTTTGCTCCAATCGGTAGAGTCTTCGGACCAGCCCTCCTCAGCGCCGGAATCTCCCTCTTGCACGGTTTGCCGATATGGGGTCAGGCCGTCCTTCCATATGCTTCCCAAGTTGGCCTTGTGCCTTAGTACTTCAGTTTGTGACGTTTCCGCTACGAGGTCCTCGGCGCTCTCATCCCACTTTTTGACAAAGACCTGTGGTGAGCCGACACCTGGCGTGACATAGAACCACGCACCATGTCTCACCGAGAGCGTGTTGTCGGTTGCAGTAAAGACAAAGTGCAGACCAGGTGGTACATTTTTGACGCCCCGAAAACGTGGCGATGCTGTGAAGGAGAGCAAGTCGATGCCTGCAAGGGCCTTTTGCGGAAGACCCAAGAGCAGGACGCAGTTATTAATCGTCGACGGGTCCATTTTGGGGCGAAATATCTCCTCGAACCACGAGTGCCGCAATATTTTGAGAATAGGTTGTTCGCAAAGCTCTACGTGAGCTGGTGAGAAATGGGGTATCATAGTGTCCAGAATAGGCATGACGCGGAAATCTTTCAACACGTGAGCGGCGGGAGCCTGGTCGACAAACCCAGGGGTTGTCCCGTCAAATAGGAGAAATTGGTTATTAGCGGGAACGTGAACGTTAAAAGTACCAAAAGAAAAGATGAAGGAGAAGAAGAAGACGACGACGAAGATAAGATGCAAATGCAGTGTCTGAGCACACGACAGAGCAGAATAGCCTCAGTAATTAAACTCGTGCCCTGGCAGACGCAGGCGGCCGCAAAGCCTAGGTACATAGCGTTCAAGCAAAGCAAGCTGCGGACATCTGATGCGATGGCACCGCGAATTGGGCCGAGCGAAACATGGACCATACGTCATGCAGTTAGCAATCAGCTCGCCATGACGATCCGCGTGCTCCCAAGTCTGCGTCTCGTGTTTGAGCGATAACCCATCTCCGCCTTCAGCAGGTTCCTTGACATGCCCAGTGCAGTGTACAGTAAGAGTAGCAGTAATGGTCTTTGAGCGTTCTAGACGCGATCTACAACGCGTACGTGTGACCGAAACCGCCGATCGCTTATCCAAATCCACAATACCCAGGAGGTCCCCCACCAACGCCCACCTGGAACAGTATCCGGAACTTTGAAATGCCCATGTTGCGACTTGAACGACTTTTGCCTCCTCGTCCGACTACATATTAGATCTATTTTTCGACACCATACCATCAGACGCATACTAGGCTTTAGCGTGATATAGCTACCGTGGTACTGGACGGTGTGTGTCCTCGATTAGACCCTGCAGCGCGCATACCCTCGTTTTGTCATCAGGGCGATATTCGCCCGAAAAGCTTCGGCATCAATCTGAGAGTACGACTGATCTGGAGGCAAACAAATTCCTGAAGCGTTGATCGTCTCCAGCATCTCCGCAGCCGGCACATCGCCGACCCCACGACAACCCCTCATCCTCACCACCACCACCCCAACCCACACAGCCATGGACCGCCGCCGCACCCCAGGCCTCTCCTCACTCTCCTCACGCGGCCTCCAAAACCACCACTACACCAACCACGGCGCCACGCTCCGCACCCGCAATGCCGACTCCCTCTCGACCCAACTCTCCGTCTTCCAATCCCTCCTCCACTCCTTCGCAATCACCCACTCCAAGGACATACGCGCAAACCCCGCCTTCCGCGCTGAATTTGCCCGCATGTGCTCCGCCCTAAACATCGACTTCCTCGCCTCGTCCTACCACCGCGACAGCACCGCCTCCAAAGACGGTAGCAGTAACAACGGCAAGACAGGCGGGACGGGAGAAAGCATATGGACCCAGCTCCTCGGCGGTAGCGTAAACGACTTCTACTTCAACCTCGGTGTCCTCATCGTAGAAGAATGCCGGGCCACACGCGCCGAGAACGGCGGGTTAATAAGCGTCTCGGATCTACAATCCCGCATCTCAAAATCCACGCGTATAGGCGGTAGCATGGAGGTCAGCGACGACGATATAAAACGGGCTGTTGACTCGCTGGCGCCGCTGGGCTCCTGCTTTTCCATCATGACGATTGGGCATCGTAGCTTGATACGAAGTGTGCCAAAGGAACTGAATACAGACCAGAGTACAGTGCTGGAGGCGATCCAGGTGCTGGGCTATGTGACGGTGAGTATGTTGCAGTTGAATCTCGGGTGGGAGAGGCCGAGGGCACATGCGGTTGTGGAGGATTTGATGGCGGATAGTCTTGTGTGGGTGGATACCCAGGCGGGGGAGAATGAGTATTGGAGTCCGGCGTTTTTGACGGCCGTGGGGACGGGCGAGGGAAAGACCGTGTAGATGAGATGAGAGATACGAAATTTTTAGCATGATGAGATGATACCCGGCGGATGAGCCAATGCATATAGAATAGACACAACATTAGCATATACGGCCAATATATTACTTTGACCATACCGAGGTAGTGCTGACAACCAAGGCGACATGCAAAGATAACCAATGTAAGCAGAGTATAACATTCATCTATCCATGTACTATACACGACTGCACCCCCAATTATAACACATCACAACCCTCTCACCAAAGCACCTCTGTATTACAAATCCTCTCCTCCTCCGTCTCCTTCCACGCCCCCTTCTTATCACTCAAATCAGGCAGCACCTTGCGATGCCAAATCGCACTCCACCTCCTCGCAGTATCCTCATCCTCAAAGTCGAGTATCCATCGATTATACACACGGTTCATGATAAGCTGGTTCACTTGCTGAGGGTTACCATCTTCGCCGGCACCCTCCATCATCTTCTGGATAGCAGGGTCATCAAACGTCATTTCCTGCGTGGGCTTGTCGAGCTGCGAATCCGTGGGCTCAAAGGTACCGTAAGCGCGCGGCCGACTTGAAGAGATGGGCTTGGAGGACATGCGCAGGTTGATCATGTCGCGGACGCGGTGGATCGACGATCTGGATTCGTTGCGGAGGGGGAGGATCATGCCGTGCATGTATGCGTCGTGAACGAGAATTTTGAAAAGGTCAGAGGGTCTGGGCTCGTAGCCTTCAATGTGCATCAGCACTCTCCAGATGGGCTTGCCGTTCTCGTCGACTGAGGGGGCGATGGGTTGGTAGCCACCCCGCTCTATGAGAGCGCGGAGATGAGGGTTGTATGGTTGCATAAGGACGTTGAGGCTGAGTGGATGGTGCGTGGGTAGGAGGTTGTAGGATGATATAGCGGCCGAGATGTCTTCGCCCTTTTCGAGGAAGCCAGTGGGCGGCGGAATGGCGGAGAAGATGTTTGCGGGTTGGTGGAGGGCGCTCAGTTTGTGTAACCGAGAAATATTCTTTTGGTATGCAACCGCAGCTTCGGCGTTCTTGAAGAGGAGATAGTAGAAAGGTAAGCGCTCCAGACTCAATGGGTCGCGGCCAGGGATGACCTTGAGGAAGTCGCCGTCCCGGCGCCAGCCTTCAATGTGCTTGCCCTTGGGGACTACACGACGGAAATCGGCTTCCGTTAGCTGGGTGCTACAATTTGTAAGTTGGAGAGCAGTAATCTGTTCTCCTTGCTTCTGAAACGATTCGACAACTTTCTCTCTGAGCGTTTGGGTCCGCCCGACAAACGAAGGACGAAGAATAGGGTTCGTCGGAGGTTCGATTCTGGGATGGTCTCTTTCTTCCTTGTATTGAGGTTCTGCAGTACTGTTCGCTTCCGGGAACAACTCCTCAAGGAGACTTTGTTCACTCAACTCGTCGCTACTCCCTGCCGGTTTAGACGAGACATTGGGTGCATTGCCACCATCTTGAGGTTTGGTTTTGAGATTATCCGAGGGCTGCAATGAGCGCGAGCGTTTATGTATCTGACCTTCTAACCCGCTTCCATAGTCCTTCTTTTGTACAGCACCTCGGTCGGTGCTCTCTGCATTTTTGATCGAATCGTCTGGACCCTCGCGACTTTCATTGTCTAGCTTCACGATGCGCAGACCGCCGCGATCTGGAACTGTTTTCGAGACTTTTTTGTCGACAGTCCTCACCTCAGTATGCTTCGCTTGTCTTGTCTTCCGGGCAGTCTCAATGCGCGTCACATCTTTTTTCAAGAAACCCAGTGAGCGATGAAACTCCTGGACTTTTCGTTTTGCGAGTAACTTCTCCAATCTCAGGATCAAGCCCGGTTGCTGGCTCAATGTAGGCGAGTGCCTGGCTTCCGCATACAAAACGTTCAGGTCTCGATAGTTCTCCATTACGTTGCACACCCGGATGTCATCCTCCAGTACTGCATTCTCAGCTATCACACGTAGGCGATTGTGTACATGCGTCGCGATCGATGCCACCAGAGGAGCCTGCATTTCGTCGAGCAAATTAGCGGTGTCTGTCAGTTCAGTAGTTGTATTACGATATGTAGTCTCGCCGACTAGAAGAGCATCAGGGATGTTTCTTGGTATGAGTTTGGTGGCAAGCGTTCGTGTGGCTCGTCTGTGCGGATGGCCAAACACGGCCATCCGGCCAGTACCTTCATCACGAACAGTATTCCGCTCAAGCGCAATGATACTCCGCAGAACAAAAGATACCAGGGAAACCACAGCTTTAGGCGGCATATCTACAAGATACTCTGCTGTTGTCCCCAGGATACTCATCCAGCGCTTATGAGTCCTGAAGGATGCTTCATAAATTTGTTGGATATCCTGACGCTGTTCCATGATGACGGCCTCTTGTGGTTCTCGGGGAGCTGGAAGATCCTTGGCCGAGGGTGCGACCTGTACAGCAGTCGGAGACGATGAGACTGGTTCTGGTAGTCGTTCCTTTTCCGAGGGTTCGCTAGATTCTGTGCTTCGAATGTCACGACCTGTGGCCGACGTAGAAGGAGTCTCCGCTGTTAATTTCGCCTCCAGTGCAACTTGAAGAGCCTTGACAACCCCAGACAGCCGTTGGAGCTCCCGTTGTATACTTGTGACTTCTTCCCTTAAAGAATCTGGGGCAGGCTCCGGGTTGTGTCTTGCAGACGTCTCCTCTTTTCCCCCTTCTTGTTCTGCAATGTGACACTGTTGACCATGCAGATCTCTACTAGGCGACATGGGCGACATGGGGGGCATGGGCGTAATGCTGTGTGTATGCGAGATACTACGGACTTTTCTTATGGGTGAATTGGAGACATCTTGGCCATCTGTTTCGACCTTGTCATCCTTCTTGCCCTTCCGTGAGTGGGCTTTGGAGCGCTGTGATTGCGGCGGGCTTTTCTCGTCTGAGACTACCAATCTTCTAACTAACGCTTGCTTGATCCCTGACACACTTCCCACTGGAATATCTTGCTCATCCTTGATAGCCTCGGGCGCAGGTGTAGACGGTGTACCGAGTGCAGGAGGATGCGGCTTGGTGGATGCTGGCACAGTTTCCACTGGAGAATCTTGCTTATTCTTTATAGAATTGGGCGCAGGTGTGGACGGTGTATCTGGTGCAGGGGGATGTGGTTCGGTTGATGCTGGCTCGGAGGTCAATGAAGTGACTTTGCCCAATGCCACGCTCCACCATGACCTCCTCTCGGTCGATGCCTCCGTATTTGAGTCAGTCGAACTATACGAGGCATTGGTACTCCCATCGCTGCTCTGGCCAGTCGTGGACTGCGGGGGCTCATCGCCGTCGGTCGAGAGTGCGGTGCGGGCCGTCTTGTGGGCGCAACGGACCTGGATCGCAGTCCCTAGAGGGTGACATGGCCGCAGATGTCGAGGAAGTCGCGGCGGTGGCATCAATTGCGCAGCTTGGTCACATTGCAAGCTGCGATTATTTTGCGCAACACTCAAAAAAGCTTCAAGAAGCGTACTGCGCTAGTAGCTCTATTCGGCCTAGCCCACCCGTCGCTTAGTCACACCAGCATCTCCATCATATTGGGTGGCAGGCCCTACACTGCGCCCAATGTGTTAGAGCTGAGTCTAAGAGGGACGACCCAGCTCGCAAAGCCCAGATTACGAGACCATAGAAACACGTGACATGAGTCACATGAACATACACATGCAAGCAGCACCGAAATTTTCACACTCCCCCTCTATCACAGTCTGCGAAGCAGTATGAGTCCAGCAACGTCGTATACGCTGCGCCCTTTGGAACGGAATCCGCCGAACATTCCCAGCAATGCACTCGATAGCGGTGCCTTCCGCGTGCAGCTTTCGCAGAAAGAGCTAAAAAGTCTGGGACTCACAATCGGCGACTGTGTTCGGCTCAGCACAGAGACTGCATTCAAAGGCTACGGTGTCGCATGGCTGGCCCCTCAGACCAATCCTGGAAACAAGCCGATTGCCAGAGTATCCGATCTACTAAGAGAGCACTATGAGCTTTCACTGAATGATGCTGTCTTCATTGAAAAGGTGGATTCCTGGAAGCCACTCAAGTCGATAGAAGTCAGCTTCTCGGATATTGCCAACCAGACCGTCAAATTTGCCTCGACGGAGCAACTCTTGTACTGGCTACGTTATTCTTTAGGTGAGTCGTAAGTTATACATGCCCTTCTATATCTGATCGCCGTGTAGCAGGCGACTCGGACATTATACTTCCTGGGTGCAGCTTTCCGGTTCAGCAGAAAAGCTTCAAGCAGAAAGGCCAGAAATTGCGTGTCACTGTACAGAGCATCGACCCGCTGCCTTCCGAAAAATATGCCGTATACTTTGATGAAGTTACGACACAAATCACTACCATCGGCCATGTTGCTACTCAGGAGCCTACGGAGACTGCTTCAGGCGTGTTCCGATTGAAGTCTGACGGGATAGGTGGCCTATCCGAGCACATCACTACCATCAACCAAGAACTTGCTTTCCTCTCTGACAGCCTACCTCATTTGCGCAATCGCCACCTTCTTGGGACCGCTGCTTTTCTTTTACATGGTCCAGAGGGGACAGGCAAAAGCCTGCTTCTAGACCGACTAGCGGATTGCCCTTGGCAGGAGGTCTACAGAATCAACCCTGTAACACATCCCAAAGGTCAAGCTAAAGCCATTTCAGACATCTTTAACGATGCACGCGAAAACCAGCCAAGCCTGATCATCATGGATAATTTGGATAGACTTTTGGACAAGGCAGAGTCGCTGGTCAATACGCTACGGATAGAGCTAGCCACACTAGAGGGGGCCCAGGTGGTTGTCGCGGCAGCAGCACGGAGCATTTACGACGTGGACTCCAGTCTTCGAACAGCAGCAGCATTCATGATTGAGCTAGAGTTACTGCCGCCTAACGCAAAGCAGAGAGAAGATATAGTGCGCCAGGTATTAGGACCGACGTGCAATACTGCAGATGTCGATTTCACTGCTCTTGCAGAGCGTTCGCATGGCTTCGTGGGTCGCGACATTGCTAGTCTATGCCGTTTTGCGAGGAGACGACGTGTGATGCGAAGCAAGAATCCTATCCAAGATGGCAAGAGTGCCAGGGTCAATGAAGTGGACGAACAGACCGAGTTCATTGAGCAGGCCGATTTCGACGCTGTCATGGAATGCGTGCGCCCGACCGTGCTCAAAGACAGCATCCTTGAAGTTCCGAAGGTCAGATGGACAGATATCGCTGGCCTAGATCATGTCCGCGCTGTTCTCGAGGCCATCACCATCCGTCCTTTCAAAGTACGTTTTTAGCTGCTTTAGCTTCCGTTGAACCAGCAGAGAACTAACAAGGTTGCTACAGTACCCTGATCTGGACGTCAAATTTGGCGGACCTCAGTCCCGTAAGGGTGTTTTGCTGTACGGACCACCTGGCTGCGCGAAAACGCTAATCGCGCAAGCGGTTGCGACGGAGAGTAAACAGAACTTCCTCGCAGTAAAAGGGTCGGAACTCATCAAGATGTATGTGGGTGAGTCGGAGAGGGCTATTCGCGATGTGTTTCGCAGAGCTCGTGCCGCGAAGCCCTGCATCATCTTCTTCGATGAGATTGACTCAATCGGCAAATCTCGTGAGAAGACGCAAGATAGTGGGCTGAACGTGGTTACCACCTTACTGAACGAGATGGACGGCATTGAGGCCCTAAAAGACGTCTTCATCATCGGGGCAACGAACCGGCCCGATATTTTAGATTCGGCGCTCATACGTACCGGCCGCTTTGATGCGCACATGCACATCGGACTTCCCACCGAGGAAGCGCGGAAGCAGATTCTACAGATCCACACCCGGAAGAGACCGCTTGCCCCAGATGTTGATCTGGATGCCGTTGCCAAGAAGACTGAAGGAAGTAGTGGAGCAGACATCAGCGGGCTGTGTGCCGTTGCCGTCGAACTGGCCATTACCGATTACACAGCGGAACCAAACAACGAGCCGCAAGTGCACATGCGACACTTTGAGCAGGCGCTACAGCAACACGTTCCCCATACGATCGCGGCGGAGGCCAAACGATATCAAAATTGGAGGCCTGGCAAGTCGCTTTCCGAAGCCTGAGGCGGGTGACAGCTGGCGTGCAGGCTACCAGGCTCTCGGGTGAGGACTCTCTGCACGTCGAGTTCGTCTCATGATTGTACATGAATTGTGTACGGCGTAGCAGGTCTTCGTTAGCCCAAGGGGGCAGCATGAGTCGGCGAATGGTTTGCGGGCGCATAATGACGTGGGAAACGTACTGTAGAGACACAACCGAGTCGACCGGCACTTCAGAGTATCGAGGTAGACAAAGCAGTCTGTGGGGGTGATGCGACAGGTAAGATGCTTGTACTAGGCGGCGGTATATCCTCAACATTAAGCGGTTAGGTGGATCGTGTGTTGTATGCTCGACCAAATGGCAGCCTACCTCACAGCATGCGCGAGAATGCCTAAGAGGCAGCAATGTTATGCCTTGTTTCAATGGTTCACCTATCCCATCTATGTGAAGGCGGCGACACCTCGCACATAATCTCGGGTATTTCCGAAACGGCGCGCCATTATGGTGGGGCGTCATCTTCGGTGGATCCTGTCAGGCGAGCACTTTGGTGCCGTGGTGCCTCAATGTGAAGCGCCGCATCATCTCCATTGCGCGTTCTCGTCCCACCGGTCAACGACACGCTCGACACCAAGTTTGTGACCTAGTCATCTTCGACGACACCGCCGTCGTTGAGGTTGTACAATCTCCGCACGCCGTATAATCTCAATCGCGCTGGAAGAGGCATCTTGGCGCGCTGCGTGAAATTGCTCCTCGGCCCAGCACCCTACTGAAACCACCGTCTTGGTGTGCAGGAACAGCCGCGTCTTCCCCAGCATCGTTACCCTGACAAGGCGTTTGCGAGGTTACGCCGCTGGCAAGATGTCTGCATGGCCAATCGATGTTACCGATCCCGTGCTCTGCTAATCACCCTAGCCCTGGCCCCGCCACGGGTTCTCGACCTTTGGCAATTTCGCTCAGACGCGCGAGAGTGGATGTGGATTCATCATTGCCGCTGGTATTATGACAGTAGCTGGTAGGCAAAGTGTGGAGGCGCCAGGTTCGTTTCCGCGTCGGCTGATGGTGATACAGACGCAAATCCCGCCGCCGCCTGGGCAACTCTGCACCTCTCTTCCTTTCTTTCACCCTCCACCTTTTGATTCTGCCGCCATCTGTTCTCTTTTGCCTCTTTTTGGCTGTCCATTCCTTACCACTCGCACATATCATCTTCTCCTCGCTCCGTCTACCACCATCTCCCATCTGATACTCACTAACAGACTTGAAACCCAAAATGCCCGGGATGCTCACGAGATCGAAGTCATTGAGGTTTCTGAAGAACAATCGCAATGACCAAGACAATGGAAGATCAATGCAGCCTGCCAAGGGTCCTCAGACAGGCCTTGACAAATACATGTCATCCACACACTTTTCTGGGCCCGAAATTAACCTGGACTCTACACATATGGCAGTGAGGCCGAACACATCTGGCGGCCCGGGAGAGCGCCTGATGTCCCCCAAGACACACCATCCCGCCTTACCAGATCGTCCTCAGGATCATGTTCATTCTTTCCAATCACCTACAACTTCCACAACCCTACTCGATACAGCAGACACCACAGCAGAACGGGGGGTTATTGGCATTGCTCTTGGGTCACCAACCTTTGCCTCAAACTGGAAGGCACCACCTCAGACAGCTTCGACTATGGATCTTGGATATACCGCTTCTCCAATGGCAATGCTCACTCACCCAAATGGTTCCTCGCCTTCCTTGAGTTCCCGTCCAGATGCTCCCAAATCCAAACTTAGCCGATGGAAATCCATGTTCCGAAAAACAGCTCCTCCTCCTCCTGAACAAGACAAGTCCTCATTCTATCAAGTTGCACAGGCTGCTGCTGCCGCCGCATCTCCTGTTACAGAACCTGTTGTATCCGCGCCTATTCCTAATTTTGCACCTCGCGCAGACAGCCACCATGACCAGGAGTCGCTCGAAGCACAGGCACCCTTGAATGAAGGAAATGGCCGGGAAAAGCTGCGCACAGTATCGCCACCTACATACAAGCCCGACATCCGGGCATCACGGAAATGGTCCGACGAAGAGTTTGTTGTGCCTGAGTCGCCACCAGAAACGTCCGTGACTAGGGGACGCACACTCAAGGTCGGAAAACACTCGTTCCATCGAGCTCACCACATGGCGGCACCGCGGAGCGAGCAAAATAACACCCTTGCGCCACAACCCAGCAATACACCGGCTGCAGCCCCAAAGATGGCATCTTCCGACACAGCATCACTTCTCGATTTCAGTCTTCCCGACATCACCATGGAGAGATACAGCGTCATGTTTGGGAATCTTCTGGATTTCGACATTAACCAGTACAACCCAAGCCAACAGGATCCAAACCGATTGTCACTCTTAGCACGGCGGCAGGGCAACAACGAGAAGGTTCAGCCACTGACTGAGCTACCCGCAAAAGTATATACCCCATTTTTTTTAGCCACAGTCGATTCGGTCTAACGGTAGAGCAGGATGGACAGAATGTTGAAAGCTCTGTTGAGTACAGGCTCCAACGGAGGGGAACCTCGCCAGTTCCAATCGCTTCTTCGCCGCGATTGTCGCTATTCCCCTCTCCAAGCCCGGCTCGCGCACCATCGCCGAGCGCGATATCTCCCATGAACTGCAGCGAGGTAGAGCTCAAGCGATCACGAACAGTGCCTGCAAAGTCACCTCTCCACCAGGCCTATGCGCAGCACAAGGACTCCCCGGGGCTCGACTCCGCAAGGCTCATGCCCATGGCATCCCCTTATACAAAGGGTTCACTCACGCCCACCTCATTTCTAAGCAGCGACTCTGAGGCCGATTCAATCACTATTGTGATGGCCAAGACGGCGCCCGGACACGCCAAACCTCTTACGCTTCATCTCGACGATCGAGAACCCGAATGGACGATTTGCTCTGTACCACCCAAAGTTGCGGAAAGCGGAACTCGCATGTTTTCCAGCACACCAACTTCACCACTGATACGCACTCTTTCGCAAAATAACCAAAGGATCACTAAACATTGTGCTTTGCGATCGAACCCGTCCTCCCCAGCCGTGGAGGTACCATCGATGATACAGAGACTCCCTAGTGTTTCAACACAGCCGCAACCAGATAGCCCGCTTGCCAAGAAGCGCGCTGAGATCCAAGCGAAGAGAGCTGCGGCAGCTGCTGCGAAAAAGGATGATGCTACTACAACTACTACGACAAAGGCCACGGTTGGTGTGGCGAGGAGTGTATCTGTTAGCAGGGCAAACGGCGGTGTTGCGAGGAGCGTATCTGTCACTCGGGCGACCAGCCCCAGGTCCGTTGCATCTTCGTCGGCAATCAGTCCAATGGACACACGATCCATGGATAGGCTGGCTCTTACACCTACCATGGTCGAAGTCCGGAGCAGAAAGAGCCAGAGGGTGCAGTTGTCTGATCCTTAGACCATTTTCTTTGTCTTCCCCAGGCGGCGTTTGTTACAAAATTCTTTTCGCATAGGCGATCTCCACCTCTTCTTTTTCCTATGTTCATTCATTAGGAGCATCCCGGACTTAGTAGAGTTTTTAGTGGGTGTTCCATTCTGATACACGCCGGGTAGCGTATACACTGGCGTGCTGGTTAGGGTTCATGCGGTCTGTTTCTTATAAGCGGGGTGTTGTTTCGGTCGCGATCCTTTAGTAGATCCCCTGGCCCAGTTTTTCTTGATGTATATTGGACGGGAGTGGCATGATCCAAGACGTGCCGCTGAGCGGTGTGTAGGAAGTTGGATTTAGGCGGCTGGCGGCAAAGATACCATGTGTAGACAGAGACATCAAACAGAGGCTAGCAGACCTTTGGTTGCAGCTGCAAATTCTTACCAACTTGTTCTCGCCTTTTAATTGCACCCGGTCTATCAAATGCATACTGTTGGACAGCAAACATGCGACCAATGCCAGCCCTATGTTGCCGGAATCAAAGGGAGATGGTATCAGGACGCTCGGAAGAGCCATCGTCACGCGGTGATCGTAACGCAAGAACATATACCCCACAACTGCAGTCTACGCACCGACATTGTGAGATGATGGTTGCACGTCGTTGTGGGGGTTGGGACGTGGAGAATGGTGGCTATCGCTCGCGCCTACCCCTCTTCCGATGCCTAGTTAGGCCTTGGCCAGCGAGTCCAACCCCATATTCCCCCACATCAGACGTCGAATGCCTTCAACACGCCCGACCTAGTCAGACTGTCTGTCACCAGCCACCAACATTCGGCTTACGTGTAGCGTCATCCTACTGTCATCCTGGACGCTTATGACGACTTTCCGTAGGTACCCGACGTGCGGCTCAGCCCTAAGTTCACGAACGCCCGGCGTCGTCGAGACCACGTGCGACGGCGTCCATCGACTTAAAAATATCGTCGCTCACCTCTGCCATCCTTGTAGCATGCAATCATTGCATAACGCTCTCCCGTCTCTGCCATGTAATCGGTACATAGGCCAGTCGCGTTCGGGACACAGCAGATTGGATAGCTTGGCTAGATGACAGCCGCAATGACAGCTGCCATCCGTGTCATTGGAGAGTCCGTTCAGCATAGCACAATGCATGCTGCACCTCCGTCAAGCAGTCATGTTGCCTAGTGCTGACGTGCTAGAAGTTTAGCCAGTTGTTGTACACAATTGTCAAATCCCAGCCGGCTAGTTGCGACGAAGTGGACTCTGTGTTGATCGCCTATCTGATTCAGTTCCTACCGATTCCCACTTAACGTGTTGTCTTTTCCACTCATGCTCCAACACTCTCGGCTTGATTTCTACATCTGCCCATCTAGACTAGAGTTGGTGCTCTTTAGCGACAATCTTGACTCGCAATCCAACGCTCATTCCCGGTCCGATAGACTTGGCGAATCGAGAAGGTGATTGCATGAGACTAGAGAACTTGTAGGAATGATCAGCCTGGACGTCGGAACCCAGTGGAAAATTACCAAGGTCCGACTCTCGCTCCTCGCATCGCGTGTTGTTGCTTCATTCTCGATGAGACAAAGTTCGCAATAAGACTACCTGTCCACGGTCATAGATACAGGCACTAGCTGATATCGGACGAACGAGCTATATCGAGAAACTAGACCGACAGGGTCTAAATACATAGTCAGTGAACCATGTCCAAACTCGAGGTGAGTCGGTTTCCAAGTGTTATCCCAACATCAGCCGCTTCCCTCCGTACGCCCTCTTTAACCATGAGCGAAGCTACACAACTGCTCGTGGTCCGACAATCAGGTCGTCGGCAAGATGCAGCTCACAGGATACAGATCATTGCGGCCGTCTCGGCCATAGTTTCTGCATTCCGCAATGGGTCGGACTTGTTCACAGTCGTTAAGAAGAAACGTCGTGCTGCGCGCAAATACAAGGATCCTCAGCAAGAGTGGGAAGAAAGTCAGATCTCATCTGCTCTTTCAGCAGGTGAAAAACAAATTCACCTACGATTTGAGCGCGACCAGAGAGAGCTTGGCGATTTTGTCCGCATTGGCGATGGTGAGTTACTTGATGTTTGACACCTGTTAATCGATGAATGCTCATGTGTTTGATAGATGTTGCCCGAGATCGTCTTTTTCATATAGCAGCACTGCTTCAGACTGAAATCATCGACACTTTGAGCCTAGCATCCGGAAAGTAAGTGATTACGCAAAAGCACATATGAGACCCAGCTGACATTGAGTTTTCAGCAAGTTTGGCGTAGTCAACCTGCGCCTATTACACGAAGCCTCAATCACAAATCGAAAGGACGCCATTCGAGCATTAGATGATCTCAAGCAGAGGATATATACGAGAATGTTCATGGCGCGACAATTGGAGAAAGCCGCAGAGGAAACACGCGTACAGCAATCACGTGCCCCGGCGCAAATTATGCCACGATATAGCTACGACTCGATCCGCCCTCGTACAAATGGCTACACCCCCTCCATTGCCACTTCGGCAGCGATCATGGACCCTAGGATCCCGAGAAAAGAGTCACCGGAGTATCCACAGACGAGTGACAGGACAAAACTGCCTGTTGATATCCGGTCGGTCTATACACAGCCAGTTGTTGACTCAAACTCCGATGCAGCTCCGGCTGATTCCCGAACCAACTATCGCACATCTATGATAAGAGAGATTCAGCACGTGATCAGCTCATACAAAGAGTTCAACTTCGACAACGGGACGAATTCACATAGCAGCCATCCACAGGACAATGAGCACCCTGCGCGACGAGATACCCTCGTTACGGCCAACGACCGAGCTCTGTTCGACGAATATAGGAGAGGGTCGGGTCGGAAGTTTCATCAGAGTTCCAACCATGAAGCAATAGGACTTGGTATCGCAAGCGGTACCAGTGTGCTTCCTGTCAGCGAAGATATGCATGGATTTGAGAAGGAACACCCAGCCTATAATCAGCGCTACGATACGCCCGATCCGCGTTGCCGTGAGCAAGCACAAAGGCCACCGCACCGATGGTCAGGGGGTTCTGTATCTAGTTCAGCCGTTTCGAATTCGGCTTCCCTCCATCGGAGCAGCTCGAATTCTTCGCAAGAAACGCATACCGAAGTTCCTCCTCCGCCACCACCCAAGAACGAAGATCCTCCTCCTCCGCCACCAAAGTCAACTCGTCGGGCCCTTACGATATCTGTGCCCGATAACGCAATCGATCCGCAGGATGACGGGAACCATTCTAATTCGGGATCTTCTTACTCTCCGTACGCAGCCGCGATAGATAGGTATAATACTCCTTCACCGATCAAGGAATTGGCTCCCTTACGCACCCGTTCCTCTGCTTCGGCGGTCAATTCGTCTAGGTACAACGCAGAGGCCAAGGCACCGCCAGTCAATGTCGACCACCCCCGTTTCTCTGCTCCTTCAGTTACTCCATCTAGGCACGATACAGAGGTCAAGGCACCCTCGCCAGTTAATGTCGACCACACCCGTTCCTCTGCTCCTTCGGTCACCCCGTCTGGGAACAATACAGAGGCCAAGGCACCGGCGCCGGTTAATGTCGACCCATATATGCCTACCCAGATGCCATGGCCTGGAGACAGCACAGCCACATCCAGGGCCGCATCGCCGGTCATGGATCATCCAGCACAGCAACCCCATAACCCACCGATCAGAGAAGAGGAAGAAGTGGAAGAAGTGAAACGAGAGAATTTCAATACTGAGGAGCCAGCATATGACATACACAACCTTTTGATTCCAAGATCAAAAACAAAAGCATACTACAGCAGACCCAGCATCTACAGCGAAAGCATCTACAGCGACACCAACGAGGAAAAGCCCCCCATGCCCACCAACCCATCCGCCTTTGCAGCAGCCACATCCTCCCACTTCGCATCCTTCAAATCAACAATCATGGGCCTCCGCCATTCCCCCTCTCTCGCCTCCACCGAAAGCGGCAGCTCCTTCTTCATCGGCGTCCTCCCCGGCCGCCTCAGGCGCAGCAACATCATCCGCACCAGCAGTCTATCCGGCAGTATCCGGCCCAGCAATAGCTCCAACATGCTCGACGGCCGCCCCAACAAAGACAATAACTACTGGGGCTTCTGCAAAGGCGCATGGGCGGTCCGTGAAGAAGCCAACAAAGGTCTTCACCCCCGCACCGTTCCCTGCGGCTACTACACCACGCGCCAGATCTTCGCCTGCAAATACTGCGCCTTTGCCGGTGACGTGCAAAGATCCCCTCATCCCATCAAGCGAGGCAAGAACATCGAGTTGATTGACCCCCGCGTCAGGACTAGTAAGAGTGGTATTCGCTACCGCTGGATCTTCCTTGCTAAAAGCCACATCAAGAAGAAGGTTGTCGACCCCGTCATGGACTGTTGGACCGAGGATAACTTTGGCTGCGTGTTTTGCTGTGTTGAAGGTGCTGCCAGTGAGGTTTATTCGGGCATCGATACGCTCATGGAACACATAACTAGAGAACATGTGGCGGATATGAGTGAGAGGACGAGGCAGAAGACCAAGTGTATTTTGGGGAGGTTGGCGGGCGAGGACGAGGATTGGGATATTAATTTTCCCATTTTCGGGGACATGGAGTAGTGGGGCTGCGACTGGGGATGAGAACGATGGAGGACGGATACGAGCTTTTCATATATAAGGGGTGCTTAGTGGTGGCGTGTTTTTTTTCTCGCTTCAGGATACCCTCGTTCGTACACGTTTAGTTTTCATTCCGTACATAAGTTTTTAGTATTGTTGTCGGAGGAAGACATTGGTTTGTTGTATATATCTATGTATTATAGTTATGAGGGGGAGGAAGACAACAGTGCCATGTATTGTAGATATATTTAATCTAGCTTGATATAACATTCGCCGAAGTGTACCAACGATCCTCCAGCCTAAATCGTCTTGAATGGCAGGTGCAAAGGCTGTTACACACAACGTTCGTACCTGCAATTAAAGACAACGTAGGCGGGCGGAGAGTGGTATACGTATTCTGCCACATGATCGTACACTATGCCGCTCTCTGCATTAGCAAAAAGGCCTTTTGCCAATCCTCCGCATGATGTTCAACGAACAATAAGGAGCACCAAAAAACGCCTTTTGACGTGAGGATTAATATTCCCCCTTTCTAAAAATGCGACATGACGGAGCCAGGTCAGGCCTGACCTACGCCGCCTTCAGTGCGCCGAACGCAAAAACGCCAATAACGTAAACCCGATCTTCAAAGGTCATAAACATACATACATAGATACATAGAACCAGGACACCGCAGCCCAGCACGGCGAACCTGCGCCAAGAAAAAGGCACCTAAACCTCATCTACAGGCGGACGTGTCAATTTGCCTAGATCCATACTCCTATGGTATTGTCTACACGGTAAATCGGTATTGTGGGCATCGTCGTCGTCTTCGATTTCAAACATGCGTTTAAGCTCCTTGCACGCAACCATGTACTGGCGCCTGGCACCGGGGCTTTCACGGAGGGGGTTGGGCGCCTTGTCCCAGCCGTGGGGGACGCCGGGGACGCAGTGATAGTGTACGCGTTTGCCTAGGTCTTTTTGGAGGCGGTCGCGGAAGCGCTCGCCTTCAGCGAGGAGCATGTCCCATTCGCAACAGAAGAGGACGATGTCATCCGGGAGGGCTTCGAGCATGTGGTTTGGGGCTACTCCAGGGCTGAGCCAGGGATGTGAGAGGTCGAGCGAGGGGGGCTGGAGGTATGAGTCGTCGAAGAGGTCAGTGAAGACGGCGGGGAGGTTCTGGTCGACGCGGGCGCAGGTTTCGCGGCGTTGGGCGCGCGTTACCGTGTAGTCGGTTGGTGGGTAGAAGGACACTATGCCGCGGATCTTGAGGACAGCGTTTGAGCCTTCGGTCATGACGGATACGCCGGACGTGTCTTTGTACGAGGATACGAGGGAGAGGGCGGATTCGCCTGTTTGACGGAGCATGGCGATTCGGTCAAGGCGCGTCTTCTGGCGCATGAGCGGGACGCGGGAGCCATTTGGTGTTGGGGCCAGCGTAGGAGGATGTGTGGAAACCGTGTTTGGAACGTGGCCGGCGCGCCCGTCTACAATTTTTTGGCCGGAGGTAGTGCGGTCGAAGAGCTCGCCTTGGAGACACAGTGGAACTGTGAAGCTCATGTTTCCTCCCGACGAGAAGCCTGATATCGCGATTCGATCCGCATCGAGCGCCAGCTCGTCCGCGTGTTGTGCTAGCCAGAGCAACGCATCGGCACCGTCTTCTACTGCAGTAGGGAACGGATTCTCGGGCGCGAGACGATAGTCGACACTGACGACTACGGCTCCGACTTGTTCTACAACGACGCCACACCAGCGCGCATCGTCGTGGGCTGTTCCAAGTACGAATCCTCCACCGTGAAAGTTGACAACAACAGGGTATTTCCTAGTACCCTTCAACTTCATTTGCTTTTTGTATTCCTTGGGCACGTAGAAGTGGAGGCGAAATTTGCCTTTTATTGGCGAAACGCTCGATTCGATGTCTCTGTGAAAGGCCGGCCTTGGTGGTAATGGTCGTGCGAGGCGATGCAGCATCATGCCGATGCCCATGAGGACGCGCCAGAATTGTGCCTGGATGTGCAGAATCCATCGTGGGCGACTGCCCTTTGGTTTTGGGCCCTCTACCGTCTCCATTTCGAGTGAGTATGATGTGAGTGTAGTCTGTCTATATCGCGCACTTCATCAATGTGACTGTTGACTGTTGGGGAGTTGAAGGGGCGGCTGTGTTCTTGGCAAGCAGAGTGTTGATGGAATACGAGTGGCTATCCGTCTCCCGATTACAAAAGCTGGGGTGATGTGACAGCTTCCGAGCGTCCGACAAGTCCGATTGACTGTTGTCAGAGTAATCGCAGGGCTAGGAAACGTGCGCGAGATTTGAGACATGAAGCGCAGACTGTTGATACATGATGACGTATGCTGTAATTTATCAGCGGCTTGCCAAGGTGTCTAGTAACCCTGGCGACTAGTTCGACGAGCTACTCGTTCTAGACGCGACGGGCGATAACAAGTCCGCCATGACGATGTGCCGTTCGCCGCGGGGATGTGCAACAACAAAGTCACTTATACTAACTACTTCACAAAATCAGGGGCAAAGCTATTCCATCAGAGACGGTATGAATTCATACCGCTCATTAGTGATATCATTGTGGACAAGTATGACGGACGATAGTAGGGCTAACGCCAGACTAGTAGAGCAGACAGCTCCAATTACCATCCCGGTTCCATCCCGCAGTAAACAAATGTACCGTCCTGATACGCAAAAGCAAAGCAAAGCAAAAGCGAGCAAGCCAGAACGGGTATAGGGCTGCTCAAGTCCTCAGAGAAGCGCCAGACGCTCACCTATTGATGCTGCCATGAACCATTATGCAAGTGTACAAATTCATGTAAAAGTCGACAATGAAGTCGGTACTAAATATAAAACGCCAGTTAAGTCGAATGTAAAGAGGGGTGAAGGAAGAAGGAAGGAAGCAAGTCATGAAGAGTTACGCATCGACAAAGTCGTACTCCTCATCCTCAGGCGCCACATAGCGCTTGGGTCGCGGGGGCTCGTCATCAATGTCGAGCACCTCGTATTCGTTCTTGACCAGCTTCTCCGTCTCCTTGGTCTCGAATCGCTCGACAGCCTTCTCGAGAGCGGCGTTTAGGATCTGGCTGCCGTGACTGGGGCCTCGATGGGCATCATAGGAATAGGTGATGTCGGCGTCTGGGGCAGTGGAGGGGTGGTCAACGTCCTCATCGGCGGATGAATCACCACTAGCGTAGGCCATGTCCTTGTGTAGGGCAGTGCGAGCCTTCATGTGGCCAGGGTAAGACGACCTGCAGATGGAGTGTTAGTACCCTGAGGGTGCTGTCAAGCTTGGGTTGGGAGGCGACTTACTTGACATGATACGGCACCTTTGCAGGGCGAGGCTTGCCATCTTCAACGCGTCGTCCAGGACCAAAGGACTGGCCATGCGCCCACTTCGCCCTGCTGTTCTTGTCGCGGTTGAACTCCTTGGCGTCGCTACGAAGGTCGCCAGTGAAGGTCTGGGAGGTGGACATGACGGTTGCGACTGGTTCTGTGCTGGGCCTGGTATGTGTCGAGGCTATGTGATGTGGTGAAGGTGCTCTGTGTTGATATGTGTTGACTGTTGGAGTGTTGGATAGAGAAGGGGGTGGATATAGGAGGCAACTAGGTGAGTGGATTAGGTTTGACGGAGACAAACAGTCAAGGCGACAGGAACGATGTATATGTAGAGGTAACAAGCGCGGGACCGAGGGAGGCGTGTATGATGACTAGCACCTGTCTTGCGTATGACTCTAAGAAGTGACTCAGGATGATGGCGTCTATTTGGGTAAAGGCAAGTGGCTATGCAGATGGGAAAGGCGTAATACGGGTCGTGTACTCGATACAAGCTTGTTTACGGCCCACGGGAGCGCCGCCCTTATGAGGTCAAAGGCGTAGGCACCATCCCCGCTCTTTGTCGTTGTTCCTGATAAGGGAGCCGTGAGGTAGTGAGAGCTCATGACCCACGGCCTCAGCCTCCGAGTCGCCGAGGGCCAATGTCCGCTTTAGCCCGACGCGCAGCCGGTTTGACGCTGCTGCTGACGCTCATGATGCCATAGTCAAGGTTTCATGCGCCTTGCCGGTCAACGTGGGCGAGTTGGAGGCTGCCGTGTTCCTGGCTCGAGTGCATGGGCGTGCGTAAAGCTCTCACCCTGAACCTCGAGCTGCTATGCGACCCCAGCTGTTGCGACGGCCGACCCCACATCGATGGCTCGATATCCACCTCCACACCTCCGACAGCATCGGTCACGGCTTGCATCTCAACCATCGATGCGTAGCTTATGAGGTGTCGCGCTGCAGCACACGGTCTTGATAAGGCTTCCGCATTCGGCCGCTGTCCCTGCGCCCTTTTTGCTAGCCTGACCCAGGCATGCCGTCTTAAGCCATTGCGAACCGCCCAGACATGTACCCCATACGATGCCATACATAGTCATAGCTAGACAGTTGCATCAAATCACATCGGATCGAGCACTAACGTCTTGAGTACATGAATGAATTCGCGCATGCTTCACTATGAGAAACAGCCGTCCCTGGCCCATGCTAGAGCACACGCTTCAGCTACCGTATGCTACGCCGCCTTGTTTGTGTCCTCGTCTGCGTCCTCGCCATCGCTGCTTTCTACCAAGGCAGCCTCGCTGGGGAGCATATCAGGAAACCAGCCGTACTCGTCAAGATCCACCGTGTATAGCCCCATGGCATCCTGCCTAACCTCGACACCCTCGCGCCTCAGTGCATCCGCTTGGTGGGCGGCAGCGCTTGGCCCTCTTTGTTGCCGTCAGTACTAGAGCCACAGGCAACAAAGCTTTGTGTAATGTGCTTTGATAAGGAGCGCTGACCTCGGGCTGATGCCGCCTTTGGCGTTGATCACACGCTGCCAAGGCACGTTGCCGCTGTGGAATGTACGACTCCCATTGCTGCCATCGGCCGATTCCGATGGCAGATTCTTGAGACAGACTCCAACCTGTCTTTGACGTCATGTGTTAGTCCTGCTGCGACATGGCGGCGATGCGTGCTACCTTGGACAATCGGCTATGAACAAGGAACATGTCAGCAACTGGCCATCGTCATCCGGTGTGACAACGCACGCTTTCCAACCAGCATCGCGATATGGCCGTAGCTGGTGACCTTGCCATGAGGTATCTCCTGTATCGCCTCACACACGGCCGTATGCCATAGCCAGGCCTCTTCAGAGCGCTCTCCGGGTGTCATGGTCGTAATGCAAACGTGATGTTGGGAGAGAGGTGCATATATGCCGCTGATCGCCATCACGCCAGTACACGACATCACGTGATGCGGAACACGGCGCGCGCCAAGTCGCATCGACTTTCCGCACCGAGCTGTGAATGACGGCCATCCACGAACCTACCCACACTAAAAACCCAGGCATGTCTGGACTTGCGGACTACTTGGCCAAGAATTACCTTACGGCCGACTCAGACAAGAAATCGAAGAAGCGCAAGCGGAAGAACAAGGATGCCGGCCTCATCATCGACGACGATGATAATCTGGGCTGGAAAGAGAAAGCAGACGAGGACGACGATGATGCGCCAATGATAGGTATGGCAGCCCTGATTCATCCACCTTGCATAAGTTCTGCGCTAACATTCAATTTGCTAGTTGGTGGAGGCACACTGAAAAAGTCCAAGAAGAAACCAAAGGGAACTGGCGCTGCTATCTGGACATCTGTGGGCGTGGCTGCACCTTCACACGCCGAACAACTTGCTGCCGATGCAGCTGCCGCCGACGCCATCATCGCGGGAGCCGCCATAGAACGACAAAAGGAAGCCGAAGCCGAAGATGAGGCACCGGAGATGGTCGACGCCGATGGCGTGCTGCGAATGGGATCAGGTGCCAAAGCCGGTCTCCAAAGTGCCGCCGAGGTCGCAGCAGCCATAAAAAAGAAGCAAGATGAAGAGAAGCGCGAGGCCGAGCAAGTCATGAAAAAGATGGGCAGCGCAGCGCAAGAGACAATCTACCGTGACGCCAGCGGTCGCATAATCAACGTCGCGAAGAAGCGCGCAGAAGCGCAGAAGAAAGCCGAGGAAGAAGAGCGCAAAAAGCGCGAAAAGGAAAAGGCCGCCCGCGGAGACGTACAAAACGCAGAAGCCGAACGCCGCAAACAACAACTAAAGGACGCGAAGACAATGACTATTGCGCGTTACGCCGACGACGCGGAACTCAACGACGAGCTGAAGGAACGTGGCCATTGGAATGACCCTGCGTCAGGCTTCTTACGCAAGAAGAAAGCGGGTAGAAGCATCACAGGCAAGCCACTATACCAAGGTCCTTTCCAGCCGAATAGATACAATATACGCCCAGGACATCGTTGGGACGGCATCGATCGAGGAAACGGGTTTGAGAAGCAGTGGTTCAACTCAAGGAACCGAAAGGCAGATATCGAGAAGTTGGAGTACCAATGGCAACAGGACGAGTAGAGGTCGAATAGTGACGGTATTGGAAAGCTTTCAAACAATCAAGGCATGGGCATGGTATGCATAGCGCGGCGTTGGGGATTATCAATAACAATAACATCATATCTGCAAGGCAGGTACAAAAGAAGAACATTATATCCGCCAGCCGCTCGGAGCCTGCATAGTAATCACTGTTGTCTAGGGCATCTATCGCTAACACATTGTACTAATAGACCTGTGGTATTTGTGTAGTCTAACCAAAAACAACTTCAAATACGGAGTGAACTGAATCACGTGGGTCGACCGGAGATTAGCCGGCGTGGCAAACATTCATGTCGCAACACGCGGGGCGTCCCGTCCAGCCTCCTGATTAACCAACACTAAACCACAACATTTCTCACTGTTCAAACCTAAAGGTCTAGATATTTTTAGATTCACCAAATCCACTTGACATTTGCTGGTATTCGATGCAGGTAGACGCCGCGGACTCGCACTCAATCTCAGCTGTTAACGGGCAAAACGTCCGCGCCGTGAAGCGCTCAGCTTCCGAGGAACTGGATGCCGCACCTGCTACCAAGAGAATCGAAGGGAATGACATTCGGTTAGAAGAGGCAGATGTTAAACCCCAAATCGCTAAGCGGGTAGTTCCATTCCCAGAAAAGGTATGCGGACATCTTGGAACATCAAATCATTAAATCATACTAACTGCTCTGAAGCCCGCAGTTATTGAAGAACGAAACGGCGATATTGAATTCCGAGTCGTTAACAATGACGGAGCTAGAGAGAGTACGATTGTTCTTACAGGTCTCAAGAACCTGTTCCAAAAGCAACTTCCAAAGATGCCAAAAGATTACATCGCGCGCCTCGTCTACGACCGTACTCATCTGTCGCTCGCCATCTGCCGGATGCCTCTTGAGGTCATAGGCGGAATAACCTACCGCGAATTCCGGAGTCGCAAATTCGCAGAAATAGTCTTTTGCGCCATATCATCTGATCAACAGGTCAAAGGATACGGAGCACATCTCATGGCTCACCTGAAGGACTATGTGAAAGCTACTTCTCCAGTAATGCATTTTCTGACGTATGCTGATAATTTTGCAACTGGCTATTTCCAGAAGCAAGGCTTTACCAAAGAGGTTACGCTACCAAAGTCTGAATGGATGGGCTTTATCAAGGATTACGAAGGAGGCACACTGATGCAATGCACTATGCTTCCACGCATCCGGTACCTCGAAGTCGGTCGCATGCTTTTAAAACAAAAGGAAACTGTCCAGGCCAAAATACGCTGCTTAAGTAAAAGCCACCTTGTCCATCCTCCACCTCAGCAATGGGCCAACGGCGTTGTTCCATTCGACGCAACCACCATTCCCGCTATCAAGGCCACTGGCTGGTCAGCGGAAATGGATGCTTTAGCACGGGAACCACGCCGCGGACGCCACTTCAATATATGTCGACTTTTCCTATATCAAATTCAAAATCACAAGCAAGCCTGGCCGTTCCTCAAGCCAGTGGACAAGGACGAAGTGCCCGATTACTATAAGACTATTACTTCGCCAATGGACCTGTCGGCTATGGAGGAGAGGCTGGAGAATGGATTTTATACGACTCCTAATCTTTTCATCGATGATCTGAAACTGATCTTTAGTAATTGCTTGCTGTATAATGACCCTACTACTATTTACGCAAAGTGTGCGGCGAAGCTGGAGAAGTATATGTGGTCGCTTGTCAAGGAGATTCCTGAGTGGTTTGATTTACTGGAGGAGTGAGGGGGTATAGTAGTGTAGTATAGCGCTGAGGTGGGGGGACAGAGAGAAGAAGACGAAGGGGTAATATAATGAGTATTATAATTTTTTGTAACGGTGTGAGGAGAGGAGGAGGACTGCGTTGCATTGTGTAGCTATGGAGGAACTGCAGCTATATAGGTGTGTGTGATGAGAAAGTGTGGTAGCGATAGCCGTACCCAACTCTCACCCAAGTCGGTCTTGGCAAGTCCCAAACCGTTACACTCCCCCCCAGCTGCCGTGATCAACAAAGCTAACTAGTGCCAGTGCCATAGCTCGGTTGGTTCTGGTGTGTTTACATGAGTAGTAAGAAGCTGGCGAACATTTTCAAGCCCTAGCTGTCTCACAAACTCGGCATGTTTCTGCCTTACGAGGGACTTTGTGAGTCCATCTGCAGGCATCTCTGCTGTAGGGCACCACTCTACACAGAGCCTTCCTTCCTGTACCTCCTGTCTTACCCACATTTGATGGGTGTCTACATGTCTTAGCTTCGTGTGAAGCCGTTCGTCTTCTTTCTTAACGATCCCAACCGTCTGCTCGTTGTCGCAGTAGATCGTTGGTTGAATCTCCGGGTCGAACTTGATATGCTGGAAGACCTAGGTCCACCATTCCATATCCCCTCCGGTTGCTGATAGAGCTATCAGCTTGACCTCAGTTGTTGACTTCGTAACAGATCTCTGGCGGGTAGCCTTCTAGTTAATAGGCATCCCATAGAGCTTGAACAAATATCCATGAGATGATTGACGACTTTCCACATCATCAGCAAACGCTGCATCAGATGCTCTATAGAAGAGAGACTTGTCCCAGACGTAGGACGAGCTCTCTGCTATCTGCTGACTAGCTCTGATCGCCAGATGTCTTGTTCCATACAGGTATCGCCAGACATGCTTTACCGCCGATACGTGCTTCTGCCCAGGGTTCTGGAGATGCCGGGCCAGTACTGAGTGGGCTCGTGCCACATCCGGTCTCGTGAATGTCGAGATGTACGCCAGCGATCCGACTAGCTGCTGGTACAGCTGAGTACGCTGGTGATTCGTATCCTCTCCAGTCTGGGGCAGGGAGTTCTCCACAAGTGGAACTGCTGGATATCTCCCCCCAGACTTCTGATCTAAGTCATACTTGTTGACTACCTTCTCAATAAATGAGTCTTGTGTTAGCTAGATCGTTCCTGCTGTCCAGTCTCTCAGAACTCTGATCCCAAGGAACCACTTGAGCTCTCTAAGCTTTCTCAGGTCGTATACCGCCTCCAGTCGTCTCTCAAATTCCTGATGATTATCAAGGTGATCTAGATGTACCAGTACCACGATATCATCAACATAGAAGAAGACTATCAGTCTCTTGTTAGTAAACAAGCAAGGAACGTCCTTTACTGGTTTCAGACCTAACTTAATCAGCGTCTCCTTTAGGTGCTTATACCAGAGAAGAGGCGCGTCTTTCAGCCTATAAAGAGCTCTCTTAAGCTTAAGTATCTTGCCAAGCTCTTCTACGTACGGATCTGGAGTCTGTACGTAGACTAGCTTCTCAAGAGGTGCGTTTAAAAACGCGTTTAGCACATCATACTAATATGCTTTTACGCCAAAGGCTGCCGTGAGAGCCATAAGGAATCTGAACACTCGTGCGGCCAGCGTGGCTGCGTACGTGTCGCCCCAGTCCTCCTGGAGGTCTCCTCTCACGACAAGCCGAGCCTTGTACTTGTACAGAAGTCCGTCTTCATTAAATTTGTACGTAAATACCCACATCAAGGGCAATCTCTAGGTATCAACTACTGTGGCTGACGTTGTCTTAAAACAGCCCTTTTCACGACAGCTCTTGAATTCTTTCGCTGCTGCCGCTTTAAATTCCTGTCTAAAAGGGTGCTTCTCTAGGTCTTTCTATCTCTTTAGCGGAGGCGGAAGCTCATCCCTGTGTAGCCGTGACTTCTGTGGCTCTGTTTGCTGAAGTGCTTGGGCGAACGCAACGAAGTACGTGCCGAGCGTCTTCCTCTGCCTTTTCCCCGTCAGAACGTTCGACTCACTAACCTGACCGCTAATCTCCTCACGTCTTAGAGCGTTGTTTAATCGTCGATCTAGTGCCTCTGCTTCGGCTGGTATCTGCTCCCAGCCTCGCGGCATTTCGACTGTTTCCAGCTCGGGCTCGGGCTCGGGCTCGGGCTCAGGCATTGATTCTGGAGTGCTCTCAGGTGTTGGCAACGTCCGAGGCGCATCCTTGGCGTGGTCTGTTCGAGCGGCTTGCTCGGACCGGCTCGGACCACTCCAGTCTCTTTGCGCCGACTGTAGGAGCATTTCTATCTCCTAGTCGGTTTCCTCTAGTGGTTCTGGAACGTCCAGTATCGTCACCACCTCTCTCAGAGTCTGTCGATCTGGGTAGACAGGCTCAGTTCCATCATTAGACATGAAGACGACGTCTCTCGTCCTGAGGACTCGTCCCAATGCTGGCATCCATACTCGGTATATGTTCGTGGAGTCGTATCCAACTAGCTGTCCGATCAGCGCGCGAGATTCGAGCTTCTCTCCTCGCTTTAGCTTATTATTCAGCACGTAGGCTCGGGCTCCCACAACATTAAGGTGAGCTGCCGACGGCTTCTGTCCCCGTACTACCTCGTACGGAGTCTTCCATCCCAGTGATTCAACTGGTGTTCTGTTAAGCAGGTAGACTGCCACAAGACAGCACTCATTTGAGAGTTCCATTGGCAGTCTTCTATCAATTCTGACCGCTCTCGCTCGGATCACGATCATCTTCCCAGCCTGTTCTAATAGGCCGTTCTGCTCCTCTGTGTACTCAGCTCGGGGTTCCACAATAATACCGAGATCTTTAAGCACATAGAGCAACTCGCTATAGCCGCGCTCGTTGTCAAGCTTCACGACTACTACGACCGCATCGAACTGGCGTTTAATCTTAGCTAGTAGACGCATTACTGTGCGCTTAAGGGTGCCTGAGCTCTTATCTGCTAGGCAGCATGCCTTATGCCACTTACTATACGAACACACTGCATGGAGCATCCATAGATCTCCATTGTAGCAGCGCTCGTTTCTTTCTCTTAGCTGCACTAGGTCCATTCCTATTTGGTAGAACGGACGTTCAGCTGGCTCACAAGACGAGCAACTACCAAACGTGCAACAGGCTTGTATTGGATGGGCAGTATTGACCACAAGGGAACCGTCCCTTGGGGTGGGGATGCTTCCTACAAGGTTTTTCGCAATGTCCGCAGCTACGGCGCCGTCGGAGACGGTGTGACAGACGACACAAAAGCCTTCAAGAATGCCATGAGCGACGGCAAACGATGTGCAGTAAAATGCAATGGATCCACAGTCAGGAACGCAATCGTGTACATCCCGCCAGGCACCTATGTCATCTCGTCTACAATCGTTATGCCGTTCGGCACGCAGGTAATTGGTGATGCCAACGCGCGTCCGACGTTGAAGGCATCCAAGAGTTTCATCGGTATGGGTGTCTTGTCAACGGATGAGTATACAGGCGGTGGTACGGGTACCGACGGACTTGACCAACAGTACTTTGTCAATACCGCCAACTTTTACCGGCAGTTGCGCAATCTTATCATCGATGTAACGCAGACGCGTACGTCACAGAAGGTGGCATGTCTGCATTATCAAGTCGCTCAAGCCACCAGCACGCAGAACCTCTTACTCATCGCCGGATCGTCTGGGTACGGCATGTATGCAGAGAATGGTAGCGGCGGTCAGATATCCGATGTCGAATTTCAGGGGGGCACGGTTGGACTGTTTGGTGGCAGTCAGCAGTTCATCGCGCAGCGTTTAAAGTTCAGTGGCTGCACCGTGGGCGTGCAGCTGATTTGGGATTGGGGATGGGCGTGGAAGTCGATAGAAATGAACAACGTGAGCACAGGGTTCAAGCTGGTGCCAGACAGCGGTTCTGGCTCTAGTGGTGGTAGCACAGCGACATCAAGCAACATCGGATCAGCCAGCTTCCTCGACTCTTCCTTCAACAACGCCAACACAGTTGTTGTTGTGGAGCCACCATCCAAAACCTCCGGGACAGGAACTACAGGCCTTGTTCTCGAGAACATCAAGCTCTCGGGCGTCACTGCCGCCGTTGTCGATAACACTGGCGCCACTATCCTCGGCGTATCGTCAAACATTGGTCAATGGACTTATGGTCCTATCTATAAAGGTTCCGCTGATACGAAGGACCGTGATTTAGTCACGGCTACCAAGGTCGGTCAGTTCCGACGGCATTCGAAACTGCTTGACGGCAACGGTGCTTATTACGAGCGAGCGAGCGAAGCCACAGTATGAGGATCGCAGTATGGGAGATTTTGTCCATTTGAAAGACCTTGGAGCCAGAGGCGATGGCGTTACCGACGATACAGCAGCTTTCCAGTCCGCCTTGTATGCGGCAGTGGGCAAGATCTTGTTCATCGACGCAGGCTCTTACATCTTGACATTAACCGTCACTATACCCAGTGGCTCAAAGCTTGTAGGTGAAACTTGGTCGCAACTCGCAGCCTCGGGAACATGCTTTTCAGATGCACTGAACCCCAAGGTCATGCTCAAAGTGGAAACGTCTGGTCAGGTTGGCGACGTCGAGATGCAGGACCTCCTCTTCACCACTGTCGGCCCAACAACAGGAGCCATCTTGGTCGAGTGGGATATTCAAGCGTCGAGCCCTGGGGCAGCAGGATTATGGGACTGTCATGCGCGTATTGGAGGTGCCACAGGTACCAAATTGACACCTGCCGAGTGTCCGCCGTTGACAAGTGGTACCGCCCCAGGCTGCAATGCTTCTAGCTTGACGATGCACTTGACAAAGACAGGATCAGGACACTTTGAGAATATGTGGCTGTGGGGGTCTGACCATACGATTGAGTGAGTCCGATCTTCCTTTTTCCCTTGATCAGCTACAGCTTCTGACTGACGAATTAGTGATCCCAATATGAACGATGCCAACAAAACCATGGTACAAAATTCTTTCTATGTAGCGCGTGGTTTCCTGATTGAGAGCGTGCAGCCGACATGGTAATCTTAGTTCACCAGTTTTCATTTGAATCAGTATCTCACAATCAAAAGCTATACGGAACGGCATCCGAACACGCTGTATTCTACCAATTCAACTTCAACAAAGCATCAAGAATCTTTGCTGGTTTGATACAAACAGAGTCACCTTACTACCAGCCAACCCCGCAACCACCCGCGCCCTTCACCTCAGCCGTCGGGGTGTTTGCCGGGGATCCTACCTACAAATGTACAGCCGGCGATGAGTTCAGTGGCTGTGATGAGTCCTGGGCAGTCTTCATTCGCGAATCCATGAACATCTTCATTGCCAGCGCCGGGCTCTATTCGTGGTTCTCGACCTATGCACAAACATGCATTGACCAACAGCTCTGTCAAAAAGCGCTCATGTTACTTGAGAAGAACTACTCAAACGTCCGCATCAATCACCTCGTCACCATCGGCGCCAAATACATGGCCGTCATGGACGGTAAAGGTATCCCCGCCAAAGACAATCTCAACGTCAACATGCACCCGTTCTGGTCGCAGATTTCCGTGTTGGATGTAAGTGCCAACAGATCCTTGTACGACGAGTTCATCTGGATTGATCCCAAGATCTGGGACATGGACGATCCCAAGATCTGGGACATGGACGTGCCCAAGTTCACATGCTCGCCTCCGTGTAAAGTCAAGATTCCACTATGGACAAAGGCAACAAGCACAGTAAAATTATCCGTTGATCACAGTCAGTGACGGGTCCTGGACGAGCACCATCACAAAGGCGCCCATAACCATCTCGGAATGGTGGTTCGAGGCCGTCACACTGTCCGGCGGAAACGGTGCCGCCGTCCAGAGAAGACAAAGCTTCGAGCTATTCTGGCCCATCCCAGAAAAAACCTCTGCATGGCCTGCAGTCGTGTACACTGATCCAGACGGCTCCTCGACCATAAAAGCACCCACCATCCCCTTCCCCACTCCACCCCCGTCCATCGACCCCAACGCGCCCCCGACCCCCACAGGAAGCTGGCCAAAACGCCAACTAGAACCATACATTGGCCAATACGAAAGCCCTCTCGTCGAACAATGCGCTTTTTAGGACCAACTCTGCCTCAACAAACCCTGGCTTTACGGCGACAACTCGACTTACCTCGACGGCGGCAGCAGCAGCGAAGGCTACGGTGAAAACTGGGAAGAGGCCTTGAGCGTCTGTCCCAGAAGCACTAAGACCTCCTCTTCCTCTTCATCCTCCACCAAAACCACCACCAAAACCCTCCAACAACCACCCGCCCCCTCCCCCCGCGAAGGAGACCCCCAAACCAACAAAGTAAAATGCTACTGCGGCCTCGGCCAACGCACTGAACATGCCCGCATCGACAACACAATCAACTCCTATTGCAACACGCTGGGTTCACGCGGCGACATCCTAGGCCCGAAGTTCTTCAACCAGCAGATTTTTACACTGCCGCAGCAGGGGTCCGGGACAGGTGTTGAGATTATCATGTCGATGACAGTACACGATGGGTGTCAGTGGAAGTGGGATTATGACGAGTGCAAGAGGTATTTTTTGGTGCCGGTGGATAGTTGTAACTGTGGGGGTAAGTATGGGAAACAGGGGGGTGTGGTTAGTAATGACTGCTATGATATGAGGGTGGATTCAGATACGGTTTTTTAGGTTTGGAGGTGGAAGGGATGATATGTTGGTATTTTTGTATGTCAGAAAGTTGTATTTTTCATCTTTGATTGTTGGGTCGTCGCGAAACCATAGCAAAAGAAGAAAAGCTATCACATGAGCGATATAGCTACGATTCTATCGATGCTGAAAACACGCTGCTGCTGTCTAGATGCACGCCATCAACCCCTACATTCAAAGAGCAAGAAAGAAAAAGCACACTCAAGCAGGCGGCTTCCCACCCCCCACAAAGCTCTCCCTCCTCCCCCAATTCCGCGGCTGCCTCTTCAAGAAGGCGCCCACAGCCCCCAGATAGCCTTCATGTCTCAAGAAGTAGGCCTGTCTCGTATCCTTTGACCAAAAGCGAATAGCATAAGACAGCGTATTCATAGTCTGCGAGTGCCCACCAATGAACGAGCCCCCAAAGTAAATACGTGGCAACCCATGTTTTTCCGCGTGCAGGTGCGCAATCTGGCCAATGTTATTTGAGACGGCGTACAGGAGGGAGCGGGCCATGTCTTCTGGGCGGAAGGAAGCTGAGGCGTGAGAGAGTTCAGAGGAACCTTGGACGTGCTCTGCTTCTTCTCTGTGCTTGAAGTCGCCGTTGCATCCGTCTTCTGCGTCGCGCTCGGCGGCGCGCTTCATCTTGTAGACTTTTCCAAACGAGGAGGCGATGTGTGTGCTCTTGAGACCGATTTTGTTGTAGGCTTGGCCGTAGATGTCGCCGACGAGGAGGTCGACGGTGGAGTTGTCGCCATTTTCGGCGAGTCGCAGCATGTCGTCGAAGCTGCGGGCGCCGGTAAGGAGGGATAAAAGGCCCCAGAGTGTTCCTCCTCCTAATGAGGTTCCGCCTATGCGCTCGAATTGTCGTGGTCCGGAGACTTTGATCATGGAGACGCCGGAGCCGATGTTGACGAGGAGGTAGGGGTAGATGTTTGGCGGGTCTGGGGGGTGCGGCATAAAGGTCATCGGGCTGTCTTCGCTGTAGGTAAAGACCTCGTTGGGTATCTCATTGATGAAGAAATCGAGCCCTGTACGGTCGTAGTCAGTAGCCGCTCTTGATATGTAGCAAGCGCCACCCTCTTACCTATGATCAAGCACTCCATCTCGTCTTCTCGTATGACTTCCACATCCAAAGCCTGTGTTATCTTGTCATGGTACTTGAAGGCTCCACCGCCAGTCGCCATGATACACAGATCTTGTGACTTTTGACCGTTATCGTGTTTCTGGTCCGCTTGCAGTTTGCGCATAAACTCTATACACGAATCTATCCTGTCTGTCTCGAACTTGAAGAAGTTCAGCCGGCCGCCAATCGAGCCATCGCCAGGTTCTCGCGAAAAGTAGACGAGTTTTGCAAGGGAACCTCCAATCTATGCGGCGCAACCAGTTAGCACGCTGTTGTCGCATGTACAAAGGGGTAGGGCTGATAGTCGGTCGGATTTGCGCGATGGCACATGTGTACTTACATCAACGGCTACATGGCTCACTACTGAAGTGTGGTTTGGAAGTCTAATGTCGTGCGGGTCGTGCTCATAGTCTTCGCTCGACGGAGTATCCGGATGCTCCTCGTCGACGATGAAAGCGCCCTGGACGTTGATGCGCACATTGCCCGGGTGTTGTATCGTTTCCTGAATGTCGCTCTGGGCCGTGGTACGTCTCGGGCGACCCGATTCCGACGTCGACGACGTCTCTAAAGTGTGCGCACGCGATGCTCTGCTGCCGGTTTCACCCGTCGCGGGGTCTTGTGCAGGCGACATGGATACAGTTCGGGGTCTTGGCTGCAGCGTTGCTTTATTGCTGCGACGGCGCACGCGCAAAGGTCGTCTGTTTGCTATGGAAAGGGAACGACGCGATGAAAGTGCAAAAGGAGGGTTCGGCAATGGAGCCGCAGCTGGAGATAGCGATAGTCGTTCCATTTGTCCGCTTTGTAACGGATCTTATGCCCAGGGCAAGACGTGATCTGGTGTTCTGCGCAGAATAGAGCCCAAGGAGGTAATTCGATCAATCGGGAACTCTTTGTCAGGGCGAATAGAGCGCCCAAGGCCTTGATATAACATGTCCATGCTTCTTCGGGTGTATGGGTACTGCGAGACTGCGAGCCTTAGGACGCGTCGGACTTCCGAGATGGTGGCCATTGTTAAGCTCGGTAACGGTGCTGGAGCATCCATCGTGGGGTATGAAACATCCGAGGAACCGACACCGAGCAGTCGGAGCATCTCTGTCGATATGGTGCCGGCGACGACCCCCTAAAGATATGCTGGCATGAGTGAGAAAATTAGAAACTAGGCTTCAATTCCATCATGGTTGCAATAACCGATCCAGGTATGACTAACTGATGGCTTCCTACCAACAAACAAGAGCGCACGTGCTGCACACACTAGAAGAATGCTTCAAGTACGTCATCATAGTAGTCTCAGAAGATTGTCATGGTACAGTAAATACACCTTGAGCTTCACAATATACCTACATCACCCTGGCGCTCTACGATACAGAGTTTAGGCTTACATGCAGGTGAATGCCGATGACGTCGTGCATCCGTACCTGTACCTTTACGACCAACACATCAACCACCTTTTGCCAGCGATACTCACAACAACTATCTCTCAATAGATTCCCATATAAACATCTCTACCCCTTAACCTCTCGTTCAGAATTCAGCAAAATGTCGTGGATGGACAGCTGGTCCCGGCCTAGCAAGCACGCCGTCACCCCACCACCTCTCTACCTCACCGTCGGCGACACGGTACCCTATTGCCACAGCTGTGGTCGTGTAATCGGCGAACGACGCAAGACTCAAAACGCCACAGAAGTGAAGTACTGTTCAGCAAGATGTCGGAACACCAAACCCGGCCCTGTTGACCGGAAGATCGAAGCAACGTTCGCTGCACTCCTCAATGGCGCGTCTCCAGAGTCCTTGAAAGAGAGTGCCGGTGCTGAGCCAGTGAAAAGCAGCACCGGCACAGCAAACACTGAGAATATCCACGAAGACATCAAGGGAGCCAAAGGCGAGAAGAAGCACAAAAAGAAGACTTCCAAAACCATCAAAGGCGACCACCGAATAATCATCGAATGCAGCACAGTAGAAGAAATCGTATTTCAGCGCGAAAAGGACCCCGAAAAGGTCTACGGACGCCGTAAAAATCGCAAAGCACGCTTCGTAGTAGAAAAGCCTGAAGACTGGAGGTCCGTAGACATGGTCGACGGCCCCGCACCTACACCAACAGCAGCAGCAACATCTCGGGACTCACCTGATGCCTCCAGTGAAGAAGACGTGTCAGACTCCGATGGCGAAGCTGAAGGCGGGATCGTTCTAGAACCTAATCAAACAGACCCGCAAGACCTTCCCGACATAGTCGAGTACGGCTACGGCTCCGGCAAGGTCCGCCCACCACAATCTCAAAACGATGTCAATGGCTCTGTCGGTGGGGAAAAGGGCTGGGCGGAGCGTATTGAGGAGACGGATGAAATGAAGTTGAAGCGACGGGAGGGTCAGAGGAAAGCTGATGAGAGGGAAATGGTGCGTAAAGCGGCGAGGAGGGGGTGTGCGTTTGGTTTTGCGGTGCCGGACGAAACGGAGAAGAGGAAGTGCGAGGCGGTTATGAAAGGGGTTGTTGTCGAGGCGAGCTTCGCCAAGGGGGAATGGGGGGTTAGGTGGAGAGAGAGGATATAAACGCACAGACGAGGGAACTTGGCGGTGAGTGGCAGATAGGAGTTGGATGTGGATTAGAAGCAAAAGGTGGAAAATGTTCATTCACGCAAACCCCGTAGATGAGCGCGCTCTAAGTTATGACGCCAGTAGGGCGATGGGTATCAAGAATATCAACAAAAACACCATGGATAGTAGCATCCCGCAAGCAAAAGTTCTGAACACCGTAGAAGTCGTATGCAAAGGCTCATCTTCCTCTTCGCTCCCATGAACCATCCCCTCTCATCTCCCACCCACTAGCCACTAAACCCTTCCCATACTTTTCATTCGGATGCACAATATTCTCAAACCCAGGCATAAGTCCCGTTCCAGATCTATTCAATGTTAGCACTGCATCCTCGTCCAGCTAGTGAGAATGAACTTACTTGATCATGTTTATCGCCATATTCCTCGCCTTATCCTTGAGATTGACCTGCGTACGACCCTCCAACATGGGTTGCTCTTGTGCTGCATCATACTTGATAATTGCAGAGTACTTGGCCGGATACAACCTCATGTACTCGCAAAACGCCTCTTCTGCCCCAGTTGTCCATTCCTGGCGAGCTTTGCGTTCATTTCGTCGCTGAGGGATTTCGAGGAGCCGGTTTTCTTTTGCGAGTTGTGTTTGGGCTTGGTAGAGGGATGAAGGTACCTCCTCGGTCATTTCTGGAGCGTCTGGTTCGGAGACGGATTCTGCTTGTTCGAGTTCTCGCGGGAGGCGTGGGGTGGGTCGGGGTGGCTGGTGGCTTGGTGGTGCTGCTGCAGAGGATGAAGGATTCATGCGGACTTTCTTGGTTACGGGTGCATGTCGTCGGCGTTCTGTAGCACGGGCACCACGGTCCTCCGTCTCAAACGCGTCCGCGTCTGAGTCGTCTGAATCATCAATTGGCCTTCGACGTTTGCGTGGTGAGGTCTGAGTGTGATCTTTTGCTTTGGGTATGCTCGATGGTCCCGGCGTCGGCTGCGTATCATCGAATCCATCGCCAAACTCGACGCGCTGCGCAGTGGCCTGTCTGTCGAATATCGATACAGGGCGGTTCTCTTTTTGTGGTCTTGATCCGGCTTTCAGCGCTCTGAGTAAGGCCGCGGAAGTTTGTGGGGGACCTGGCGCCTCGGGCTGTTCAATCTGCTCCTCCACTTCTTCGACCTGTTCTTCAACATCTTCAATCTGTTGCTCTACGGGTGGCTGTTCGTCAGATGGTTGCTCTTCCAGTTGCTGTTCTTCTGGCTCTTCATCGTCTCCAAGTATAGGCTGGAAGTCGTCTTGCTGGTTTTCCATGATATATTGGTCAACCTCGATTTCATGAACTGCTGGTTGGACATGGGGTTCTCCCTGTTCCTGCACATTTACTTCTAAGTGCACCCCAGAGTCGCGTTCTCTCTCTGCCCACTTGTCCATGACTGTCGGGTCCACGGGAGCGGTTGGGTTAAATTTACGGCTGCTTCGTCGTCTGCCTCCTCCAAACGATCTCCGCTTCCTCCGCAGTGATTGTTGTTGGACTGGAGCTTGCTCGACGACCTGATGTGGCTCTTCAAATACCCGCTTGACATTGCGTGCGATTGCGATGGACCCACCAAGGCTTCCGATGACAGCGTCGAGTTCACTTCGCCGTAGACGCACCCATTCTAGTAAACGAAGGATGGCTGGCTCCCATGGAAAATATGCTCTCAAGCGTTCTATATCAACAACCTCCCCGCGCTCGGAGGAAGGGTCGTCCATCGGAAAGTACTCTCGAATCTTATTCAGTCGTTTCACAACCTGATCTTGAAATTCCTGGGATAACGGAGAATCGTCCCCTCCTAATGCCGACATGTTCCATCCACGAATTGGAGAACCGTCCACAGCCTGCGATGACTCTGAGCGAAAGAAGATCTCGCTAACCATCTCGTCGGGGTTACATTCAGTGTTGTCCATTGATTTCTGCAGCACCAGAATTGCTAGCTGTGTCCGCAGTTCAAGTGCGAGTTCAAATGTCTCTTTGAGTAATGCGCTCTCACCTACAGCAGTGGGTTGTGCGTCGCGCTCAAGTGAGTGCATGAACTGGCCTGGAAAGGTATTATCCAGTTGTCGCAGCACATCCCATACTCTCTTATCGTCTCGATTGGAGTGCATCATTTGCTTTGCGAATATCAGTAAGTTTGCCTGGAATAGGACAAGGTCCAAGCCGGTTTGTGATGCAGCTGCAGGTTCGTTTGTGCCAAATAGGGCGCGGTGAAGTGCTCGGATGTGAATATAACTGTGCTCCTCGCTCTTGAAGTGCTTGAGATGCACGTTCACCTCTAAGTCGTAGTCGAGATACTCCTCGCCGTAGTACGAGCCCGGCTTTTGCATCTCTTGTATGTTTGCCAGATCGTCTCGCATTGTACCTTCAGCGGGCGCGATGTGCTCCAAGAACTCTTCGGTAGATTCGCATAGCTTGCGCAAGTGCTTTAGAATGAACCTGGACTCTAAACACTCGGCCTCGACCATACTGAACGAGGAAATGGCAGTGGTACCAGACATCTCGGAGGCGGCACCTGGCGAGCAGAAGGGCACGGAATCTTCAGGCTGCGAGCGCGTCGGCGTACCGGGCGCGACATTATATCCGTCCTCTTCTATCGCAACCTGGGTGTCCATTTCCTCGACAATTGTGAGGTCTGGCGCAAGTTGATTAGCCGTGAAATAGCGTAGCCAGTGGTGTTTAGAGTATTTTGCGCAAGGTGTGGAGGCAGTGCAGTGAACTTTCAAGTGGCAACTAACCTCCCAACGTCTCTTTGGCGGGTTGGCGCTTTGTGCTGCGCGCTGTTCGTGCCTCAATTTGACTTTCTTCGGTTACAGTCGTGACGCTTCCTTGTCGCGCACCTCGGCGAGTGGGCTTTTGCACGTCGACCAAGTCCTCTACTTCACGGCTCGCACTACGCAAAGTGCGTGTTCGCGATACGCGTCCCAATTGCGGAGCTGTGGCTTTGTCGGGTGGTTGTGGGGTGGGTGTTTTGCGCCGGTTTGCAGAGCGCACACCTCTACGGTCAGCCATGGTGAGTGTGTGCAAAAGCGCGTTGTTGTTTCGACTAGCGGCTCATGCGACGTAGATTCGTTGTAAAGTTGGTGTGAACCGTGAAGGTGTCGCGCCGTTGTTTACATGTGCTCGGCATGTAGTTACCGCGACTATGGCTGACTAAGCCGTGCGCTCGACGGGTGCTCACGTGAATCGTGGCCTGGACATGGGCCTCCAGATGTCAGCGGCTCAGCCAGCGGCACGGAGAAGGCGCCTGGGGCCTGGGGCCTGGGGCCTCTGTCCGGCGGAGACGTGCGCGTGCATACGGACGTTGAGGGCTTCAGACAAGACGCGAGACGGGACTACGGCATGCAATGGTTGTTTCCGCCGTCACTTCCCCACAGGCTTTCATTCCAGAAGAAAGCCCCCTTTAACTAGTGCCTTTGTGATTGCGTGTGTATTCTAAATATAATACGTGCATGTCTGCAGGAGACACCCCTTGCACGTATCTCAGTAGTCATCAACTGGCTACGTTTGAACTCAAGCGTGAACCTCTTACGACCCCGTACTTTTAAGCTTCGCCACACTTTCTTTGCGCCAGCTTCTTCCATTCTCGTCATTCCCTCCACGTACCATTGTTCTACGACGCTCGAATTCATCGCTGACGGTTCCTGGCATCCAATTACCCCATTTCGCATCACACATCGCGACCGTCCTCAAGATGAGACTACGACAATCACGGACGCACACTTTGCTCCTCCTCTTACCCTCACTACGAGTTCTTGCCACATCTGTTGCAGGAGAGACACTGAACGACAAGCGGGTCGCACGAGCTGCATTGCCTGTCGCACTTCCTGCTTACACACAAGCTGCCATCGTCGCCGAGGCCACGCCTGGCACAAAAGGCACCAAGGATGCTCCGGTTGATGGTTTAGACGGCAAGCCGCATGCCGGCCCATACGTCGACGATACGCCCAAAGCCCACGAGAAGGCCCCCAACGTTGTCGAGGATCTTGGATCCCCCAAGAAGCCCAAGGCCTCTCCTGAGTCGGTCTTGGTGGACAAGGTCTTGGATGGAGACAAGAGTGTGATGCAGGACCCGGGCCGGAAACTGGCAACAGGCAAGACAGGCACCGAAGGCGGTGTGTCGGCAAAGGACAAGGAACGCCTGGCGCATGAGGACAAGACTGGTTCGAAGATGGAGCAGGTTCCCGAGTCGCCAAAAGAGGCACCTCCGCACCCTGCCGATCAGAAACACCTGAAGGGAGATGCCGAAGCTACATCAACTGCCACTCGTGCACCCGGCGCCGGCGGCCTAGAGGTGGGTTACAACACCATAATAATAATGAATTTGGAACTAACGCGAGTATAGAAACCTACAGATCTTCCCGACTCTCCGCATGACATTCCCCATCCTGTTCCCGACTCGGTCACCAAAGATCCCTTGGACCAGACGCTTCCTCCAAAGACGCCCATTTCAACACCCGGCGGTGCTGACACCGGTCCCGTACAGCCGTTCCACTCCTTCGTCCTGGCCTTTACAATGATCATCTTCTCGGAGATCGGAGACAAGACGTTCCTCGTTGCTGCGCTCATGGCTATGCGACACCCACGACTCCTTGTCTTCTCTGCCGCCTTCTCCGCTCTGGTTGTCATGACGGTTCTTTCTGCCATGATGGGCCACGCCGTTCCCGCCCTTCTCTCGGAGCGTTTCACCCACTTTGCCGCCGCCGCCCTGTTCCTCGTATTCGGTGTCAAGCTCATAAGGGAGGGTCTCGACATGAGCCCGGAAGATGGCGTTGGAGAAGAGATGCGAGAAGTTGAGCAGGAACTCGAAGAGAAGGAACAGCTCGCACGCCGCCAAGGTCGCCGCAAGGCCTCCGTTTCTCCCTACGCCCTCGAGTCCGGCCGCGGCTCACGATCAAACTCGCGACTTCCCGCCCCTGCACGAAGCCCTTCTACCTCACCCGACCGAGCCCCATCACCACACAGAGGCTCTCTGACTAGCACAATGGGTGCTGTAAACAATCTTTTTTCTCTACTTCTCAGCCCTGCTTGGGTACAGACGTTTGTCATGACTTTCCTCGGAGAGTGGGGTGACCGCAGTCAAATTGCGACTGTTGCCATGGCCGCGGGCTCCGACTACTGGTATGTCACTGCTGGTGCTGTAGTAGGTCACGGTATATGCACTGCTGGTGCAGTCATTGGCGGCCGTGCCATTGCCGGACGAATCAGTATGCGCAATGGTAAGAATGACAATTCTCTCTTACGAGGTCCAATGCTAACTTAGCACAGTCACTCTTGGCGGCGCAATCGCTTTCCTCATCTTCGGCATCATCTATCTGTTCGAAGCTTTCTATCTCGGGTAGATTTTCCGTATCCAGCGGTGCGCGGTGCGTCATGTTGGAAACACTGGTCTGTGGTACACACCATCAAGTTGGTCACATTGTTGTTCCCCTATGTAATATTAGTTGTATCCGTGGGCTGTTACACCACGATTGGAAAATGTTCACCGGCGTTCTCGGGGTTGCATAACCGGGGCGGGGTACAATGCATCTTTTAACACAAGCATATCCTGAGCCCTAATTGACACGCTCCACTGCCCTGACATGGTTCGAGACGCTGTTTACTTAGTTTTGTTTGAAACGTGCTCACCGTTTCGTGCCCACGTGATTTGATAGCATACATGCTTCCGGAGGAGATGCGGCAATGATTGCACGCCGTGAAACTCGTCTTGATGTTCTTTCGGGCAGGAAAGCACGTTGATCATACATGCCATCGCTACGTAGGCAAGGATACAAAAGCCACAGTATGAATTACACGTGATGCAGAAAATCAGCCACTGTGGCTTGCTGAGTTGTGAATGGTTGTCTTGGCAATAATCCCTGTCTTCGCCGCGGAAGAGAGCCGTTGGCACTTGAGCTTTCCATAGCCGTTCCTTCACTAACAATAGCTTTGCTGTTGCCAGCAATCTGCCTTCTCTAATCGACTTTCCGCACTTTCAACATCATATCGCTTGCCGCAGTCACGTATATATCTAGAATCTCTCGTCTACATTATCAGATAGCGACTGGCCGCATCGCAGTACCGCCGTCGCATCCACATTCCACATTAATCCACAACGACATAAGTGTTACAAGCCTTTGGTGATGGTGTCACCTACTACCAGCGCAATGCCACCTCAGCGCGAACCTCCCAGGCCGCCGCCGCCAGCTGTCGTCGAAGCCGAAATGCAGTGGATATTCACCGAGGAGGAACTGCTGCTAGCCCCATCCATAACCGACGGGATGCCCGCGGAAGAAGAAAGGACATTACGGCGAAAGGGTGTCAACTTTATCTTGCAGGTCGGGATGATGCTCAAGCTGCCACAAACGACGCTCAGCACGGCGGCTGTCTTTTTTAACCGCTATCTGATGCGCGCGAGCTTGAAGGCCCGACCGGGATACAAGCCACTACACCAATACGTGAGGCTACCTGCAACCGAGAGAATATCATGTGTACATTTCTGACTATTGCAGCAAATTGCCGCAACTGCGCTATTCCTTGCTACCAAAGTTGAAGAAAACTGCCGCAAAATGAAAGAGCTCGTCGTATCCTGTGTACGAGTCGCAGTCAAAGACCCGAACAAGCTTGTCGACGAGCAAACAAAAGACTTCTGGAAATGGCGAGATACCATCTTGTACAGTGAGGATGTTCTGCTAGAGGCCATAACCTTCGACCTAAACGTCGAATCACCATACAAAACCATGTACGACATGATGAAGTACTACGGTGTGGAGCATAACAAGAAGCTGCGAAACTCGGCGTGGGCTTTCCTATCCGATTCAACAAATACACAGATGTGCTTACTATACACATCACGGACCATCGCCGCGGCATCTCTATACTATGGCGCGCGCATGGCCGAAGTTCAACTAGAAGATGATGATGGAATGCCGTGGTGGGAGATCCAGCACGTCAAACTGCGCGATATCAGGAAAGCATGCAATCTAATGGCAGACTTGTACGAGAAATCGCCTGACAAAGACGGAGAGCCTAATATGTACGCCGGGCTTAGGACGCCTGAAGACGGCATTGACGAAGACACACCCCGGAGCATGGAAGGCGTTCAAATGACAATTCAAACACAGCCTCCTGCTAATGGCACTGTCGAGGGTAATGCGACTGAAAGAGGCAGCGAAGAGGGTGAACTGGATGGCTAGAAGGCAACAACACAGTCTTCTGTTGACCGTAGTAGCATCGGGATCGACGAGTACCCCGAGCTGACGAGTTACAACGGTCCCTCTTCTTCAGTATCGTCTTCGACGATATCATCATAACTTGGTGGGGTAATCTGAACGAAATCGCTGCGTTTTGTTATCAAGAGAGGATGGGCGAATAGGCGTTTGGTAATGGCAAAGATACCACTGGAAAGAGGCACATTTCCAATATTCGTAAGCCTGGTAAATGAACATTATTCTTCTTCATTATGCAATTCCAAACTGCTGCCCGCTTCTCTGTAGTTGCTCTGCGAATGTTTCGTGTCTTGCGATGGGAGTGGTGGGCATCAAGTTGGAAAACGTACTTTCTTTTGAGAATAAGCTCTGACAAAGTCTTATGAGCAAGGGACGTCGTCTTTGTCTAACTTGCTACAGCTACAGCACATGACGGCGTCACTTCGTAGCGTATAGACCGTATATATATCCAGCGCTAGCGACTGACTCGCGGCGATAACGAGCCGAGGCATCGCTCCATGCCGCGTCGAAGACTAACCCCCGTTTGCCACTAAACCAACAGCCTCCCTTTCTTATGAATAGTACTGTAGACTGTTGAATTCTGTACATTTCATACCCCATCGAGTGCTTTTCTTGTGCCTGTATCTTTCCGCGTTCTAGATATCGCATCCCCGACACCGCGCAAGATGGACTCATCACCAGCCGGTATCGCGAAGTTCCTGCTTCCGAAAACGCCGTTGCTACTGAAGACAGCACTATGGCACTCTCTATCCATGTCGTCTACGGCGTCTAAATGGGATCTCAAGACGGAAATCACTGTCAACCTCCTTCGCGATATGATGGGGTCCAAGTCTTCGCCCACGCCAGTCGCAAAGATCCAGCGCATGACGTGCAAAGACCCTGGTGTCAAAGGAAAAATTTGGGTTAGCAAAGTCAAACTAGATGTACCAGGGGAAGATGACGTGCGGCAAATGATGTTCAAGGCCATCGAAGACATGGGCACGGGAGAAGAGCAGTGGATGAAACCTGAGCAACGGCCACTGGAGGCGGAATGGAACGGGTACCATGCAGATGTAAAGGACGATGAGCCTGAGCCTGCAGGTATGAACGAGGAAGACAAGTACAAGAACCTCATGAAGGAGACAAAGAGCAAGGTTACTGTACTCTACTTCCACGGCGGCGCAATGTATCTCATGGACCCAGCAACATGCCGACCGTTGACTGGCAGAGTATCAAAGGAAACAGGAGGTCGTGTGTTCAACGTACGCTACCGGCTCTCGCCTCAGGGCCCTTTTCCCTCTGCACTACTCGATTGCTTCACCGCATACCTCAGTCTGCTCTCCCCGCCCCCAGGCGCAGTCCACGACCCTGTCCCAGCAAACGAAATCGTCTTTGGCGGCGACTCTGCCGGAGGAACATGCTGCACCGCACTCCTCCAATTGCTCCTACAGATCCACCGCAGCGCCCCTGCAGGCCAAACACCAACCGTCCGCTTCCACGGCAAAGACGTAGAAATCCCCTTACCCGCCGGCGTAGCCATGGCATCTCCCTGGCTCGACATTACGCGCTCCCTCCCATCCATAGAATCGGGCACCAAATACGATTACCTACCCCCACCCAGCCAAGTCGACAAGCGCGAGATACCTAAAGATGACGCCTGGCCTGCGAACCCGCCCCGCGCGGATTTCTACTGCGAAGGCAGTGCATTGATGCATCCGCTTGTTTCGCCTCTCGCTGCGAAAGACTGGTCAAACAGTCCACCTCTTTTCTTCTCTGTCGGTGAGGAGATGCTACGTGATGAGGATGCTGTGCTGGCTCAACGGGTAGTCGCACAGGGTATTACGGTTGTCTGGCGCGATTTTGAAGCCATGCCTCATTGTTTCGCCATGTTGCTCGATGGTTTGCCAGGGGGTGACGTACATTACGAGGAGTATGCAAAGTTCTGCAAGGATGTTGTCGAAGGGAAGGGGTTGGTTAGTAATGGCGTGTATATCAAGGCGAAGACGCTGGAGAGGAGCGATATGGATGTTAAAGCGGGGCTGACCCAGATTAAGGATGAGGAGGTGGATGCGTATATGAAAAAGGGCAAGGAGAGGATTGAGACCAAGTTCAACAAGGGCTTGGAGCCTAGTTCTGAGAGGCCGATGTTGTAATACATGACTGTATTATTGTTTGTTGGGTTAAATTGTCATTTTCCAAGGGCTTTGTGTCCTTGCACGCACTTTCTAGGGTCTCATGATAATGGAACCATGGAAGGACATTTTAAATGTTCTCATCAATAAATTATATATCTCTTAATGAATCAAGCAAACAGAAATACATGGACCGAAATGAAGCGGTGCGAGCAGATATCCACATCCCCACACAATGAACCATACTTCTCCTATATGGTGCCTAGGATCCACCTACACTACTATACGCTTCCTACAACCCTATCCACGGAAACTTAACACAGGCCAGCGCAGCTACCGACTACCTATTCATATAAAACTCCCTATCTGTCCCCTCTCTAAAGATCTCAACTCAGAGTCTGCTTGCCTACTACACTATTCTAGTATATCACTTCACACCGCAACAAAAAGACTTACCACCACCACTACCGTCACCCCCACCACTAAGACTTCAAAATGAAGTTCATTGTCATCGCCCTCCTCGTGGTAACCTTTACCATCGAAGTTCTCGCCGCTGATTGCTTCAAGATACCTTTCCAATGCAGTAAGCTTCCTTCCCTCCGTATCCTATCCCATCCTCTCCCTCCATTTTTTATCTTAAAATTTCCAAAGTATTTTTTAAAATCAAATACCCGATCTAACAGCCCTATTAGCCGTCGATGACAATTTTGGTAAAGACAACAAAAAAGACAAAAAGAAACACAAGCCCCACATCGAGGAAGAGGAACTTGACGCCATGCCCAGTGAGGTCCGCAAAGACGTCATCAAAGCCATCGCCGACTATAATGCCAACCCTGGCGCAAAGATCACCCTCTCCAAAGCCGTCGCAGACTATGTCGCCAAGATCGATCCCAAGGTCGCTCGCCGCCAACTCGTCAATCCCGTCGACGACTCCAAGTACTGGCTCAGCATTGACACCCCGGAGGAATACGTCCGCCTAATGAACGGGGCAAGACACAACTGGGGTTGGGGTTCAGTAAAAAAAGCCATCACCAACTCTGCTGCCAAGATCGCTCCCCGTCAAATGAATATCCCCGCGAACGAGCGATTGTTCTGGGTCGACATGGACACCCCCGATAAATGGCGTCAAACGCTTCACAAGAAATGTCCCAACTGGGGTGGTTACACAGGCCCGTGGGGCACTGATGCGGAATACTCCAAAATACTTGCCTTGAATTGTAACGGCTGGAATGGGCGCCCGGACATCCCAGACAGCGCCCACCCAACTATCACGCTCCCTTCCTGTATCTCCTCCAAGGACTCCTCCCAGGAGTTCTTCCAGGAGGAGCCGTACTTTATGAAATTCATCACCCCCAACGGATTCCGCCAACTGCTTGCCTTGCAATGTAACGGTTGGGACGGGAGGCCAGGCAAGAGGGTCTCCATTAGGGAATACGAACACATGTTTTTCGAGAAATGTAACGGCTGGACCGGGCATCCGGCCATAGGAAACAAGGCCCGCTCTGAGCAGCAGGAGGATGAGGATGTCGTGGTGCTTCAGGATGGAGAGGGCGAGAGGGAGTGTGAGGAGGGTGATGAACATTGTTTCAACGTCAGTGTCACCACCCAGCCAGCTTTGCTTACTTAGGCTGTATGATGGATGACTGCCGCCACGGATGCGGGTGATTTGTTTTGTTGGAGTTAAATGGCTATTAGGTTACCTTTGTTCTGGCTGGGAGTTATGATTTGGCTTTGATTCTAGGTTGGATGAGTGGTTTAGGGGGGCTTTTATAGAAGGCTTTACTTTAGAACTCTGTCTGACTTTTGTAATGGAAAATTCTACCTATCAAATTATTAGATGGCAAGAATGAATACAAAGTTCTTCCTAAAATAGGATGTGCGGATGCATGATTCTTGGTGAATCGCCAAAGAAAAACCGAGGATGGGGCTAATGTACAGAATACACATGTTTACCACGGAAAGGTATGTTTAGGTTCGGTCTCCACGCAGCGTCGGTAGTGCTGCATTAAGTTCTTGAGCCCGCTGACTCGAGGCTGTCGTATTGGTATATGACTCAGATACTACGGCTTCTGGACTGATGAACTGTATCATAAAGTCAAAGTTTGACGCCGGAGCTTGCTTACTCCGCGACTGCCTTCCGTTTCATTTTGGCAAAGCCTCATTGGAGCGAGCGCAATAATTTGATCGGGATGTCTTTTTTGTGGCGCCTAGCGCTGTGGTCTACACTCACTACTGCAGGCAGGTATTGAATACAGATGGTACAGTAAGGGTAGCTACCGCGCATGAGTGCATAAAGTAGGGACTATACTAAAAGTATTATTATGCTAGGGGATGCAAGCGTATCTTTTTAAAGCGACGGGCGCTCTGCAGCTCACTGTCATTCACCACCCCCTCCTACTATTAAGAACATGTACAACAATCAGCGAAAAGCACTTCTTGACCGCCTGTCGCAAACCGCGCACTTAACCCCGCTCCCATGTGCCACATGCCCCGGAGGATTCTAGCCTCCTGGTCCACGGCGACTACTACCGGCGTTCCTTCTCTTCGATAGACCCTTCTCCACGTGACTCTCGAGGCTCGTGCCTATGCCAGAGTCAGTGAAGACACCCTCCCGCTCTAAACCTCGCGGTACCGGTTCTTCTAGAACAAAATCATCATCTTCGTCATCTGCCTCTGTTTCTTCTCGCGTGGGTATATGCTCCAGACCGGGCGTCGTGTCGCGTTCTTCTTTGACCGTTGATGAGCTGTGGGAGAGTGGCTGTTGAGACGGCAGTGTGGGAAACGTGCGGCTTGTGTCACTGTGTGGTGTTTCTGGTTCTACCCCAGCGCCATCAGCAGCCTCGGGTTTGGGTGCGGCCTCGTCATCTTCCTTCTTGATCTTCTTATCCTCGTTTGCAGCCGGCGAAGTAGCCCTACTGAAAACGAAGGTAAAGGCACCCCATATTAATAGCAAAGTGCACATTTCCATGCCCCAGAATGAACCGATACCAACTACTGCGCTTGTGATCCAATGTCGGTACATCAGCCATCGAAGGCCTTCTAGTCGTGCGCTGATGCGTACGCTGACCCGATACACCTCAAGCGGAAGCCTTGACCGCACCTCTAACCTAAGAGAGGACGGAATGTTGCGATAGCCAGGCTCGAACATGACAGATTCCATCATGCTGATCGCAATATGTTCCGACTCAGTATGCCATCCGACAAGGTATAGTGGCAGGCGTAGAAAGCGGTACATCATCTCGAGCATGCGACTGCGGTAGGTGAGCAGGACCGGTCTTTTGCTTCTAGCAAGTATCGTCGGTGTGTTACTCGTGGCACCCTCTGTAACCACTCTCTCTGCCGTAGCTCCTGGAACGCCCCCCTGACTGTGGTCTTCAATATTCCAGTCCTCATCCCAGCCCAGCAGGTGCTTCACACCCTGACCGATGGTTGTTGGTCCCCGGAACTCTAGCCCAACCATCCAGTTGCCAGCCTTGAGGTTTGTATCACTACGTGGAACATCCATCTCTACCACGACATCGTACTTTTGTCGATGCACCAAGCCTGGTATATTCGCGAGCCCGTACGGCCACTTCGCAAGCTTGCCCGTTGGTAGGCCATCTGGCTGAGCGCTGTTGAAAACGAATGGCGAACTGTGGTCGTACTGGAGATATACCGGCACCGTTATGCCGCGAACAGGTATATACGTGTAGTAGAAAGACGAGTATGCAACGACTGCGACGCCAAAGAGTATGGTGGATGTGATGAAGAGTAGTGCTGTGCTGAGGTATGTCTTCAGCAGTGCTGGAGACGTGGCGATGCGGATGGGAAGCAATAGGACGTCCTAAGCATTGATTAGCAGCAGTAGTGGAGAACACGCGGGGGGACCGTTGCACGCGTTGGCCTGTCTTGGGAATACGGGGTACCGGGGTCTTACTGTAGCGAGCTGAAGGATCGACCTATCCTCGCGAAAGTCTTCTTTGACATGCTCCATGTCGTTAGTGCGGGTGCCGCCCAATGCATTAACAAAGTTGTGGTGTTGGCATGATGTAGACGCACATGTTCACATGCAGATGAAGTGTGACGTAGCTTCCGCACAGACAAGCCTCTCCCGCGCTAACGAGTCCACGGCCGTTGCGTTGCGCCATCATCATGCAGGGGCGAACGACAAGCGGGTGCACAGATGAGCGTGCAGTGCATTGTACTCGCCCATCTCACGACGTCCTTTCGTGTCTATATCTAATCTTGTATTAGTCGGCGGCTCGGTACAATTCAAGGGTGGACATGGTCATGAGACAGCAGATATAGAGAACAAATGCATTCAACCAAAAACTACTATACTCCACGCATAATCCTACATGTCGCAGCGGCTCCATACCAATATCGAATACAAACACAGTCAGAAAGTAACAGAGTACTCGATGCGACCATGAGCAACGCGTCGACCTTAACGCCCTTGGTTCAACAGCTTGCTCAGCTGTGGACCTAAACGCCAGAAGCAAAACCCGGCAGATCGCGCTCGTAAAAGACCTGGTATCATCCCAAAAAGCCCATTGCCCCAAAGAGGAAGCTGCGAGGCAAAAAGTGAAAATAGGAAAGCACAAAGGAAAGAGTACTTAACGAAGGTCTAAAGCAAAACAAACGAAATTCGTAATTGCAAACCGGCTACACTAGCTGAGCAAAGTCGACGAGTTGTCACATCGAAAGTCCCGCACAAGGCCGTGAACCGCCCTCAACTTTTATCCAGACCATCTAAAAACAGTCCAAGGACTTTTTAGACTTGTGCATGCATGAAATCGAGTTTGTAGTAACACAGCCGCCGAAACGGCTCGAAGATAAAAGGTCGTGGGTATCGTAACATCGTAGGTACATCTCTTTTAAGACATTACCATGACTTCCTCTGAGATCCCCCTGATCCGCCCTGGGAAGTGTTGGTCGTATACTTGTGATGACATGTGGGCGTTGCGCAATGCCTTCAAGAGAAGGAACCCATCCGGGGAGGTCTACGTGAGGAATCTATGGAGTTTTGCAACCTGGTTGTAGCCCTGGTGGCAGCAGAGAGGGGAGAACTGCGGTTCATGCTAGTCGAGTTCTCAAAAGGCGATTTGGCGATCCTGCTTGACGGCGCACGCTTACGGAGTGGTGTAATTAAAGCCTCAGCTGACTTTCCAGAGCGGACCGGACGGGAGATGGATGCTCGGGCAGCAGGGTCCGATGGCAGAGATGCAACATCACGGTACCGGTTTTGGTTGTTGCGGAAGGCAGTGATGACGGTAGCATCAAAGTGGCCAAGCATGACATCTGACGTGGACCTCTTACGGGCCTTGGGTGTGGTTGTCGAGGGTGCGGCTGGCGTCGAGTCATGTGGCATCATGCTTGAGGTTCCTGGGGTTGCTGGCACATCAGTGTCCTCCACGTCATCCTCTTCTTCTTCAATATCCGTCTCGTCGCCCTCAGAAGGAAATTCCATAAAGTCAGCGATGTCGAGGTTGTCCTCGTAGTCGTCGCTCGAAGAATCATCCTCGTCATCGTCAATAATGCCCATGTCACCATTGGCAGATATGCTTACAAATGGGTAGAAAGCCTCGGGAGGACCGATGCTTTCATGTCCGAACACATAGTCGTTGCTCGGTGCAGACCCAAAAATACCCGTAAGCATGATATCGGCACCAAGGCCGTTGGTTACAAGCTCGTTGCTCACCTCACTGTCGGAGGCATTCAGTTGAGCAATCGAGTTCCTAGGACTGTTGTTGACGGTGCTGCTTGTGCTGCTCTGATAGTCCGTCATTGGGAGCCAAGGCAGCATGATAGTGCGGGGACGATAGAAGCTGACAGTCTTGGTGGCTCGGTTGGTCACCGCAATAGCCTGATCGGTTTCATTGTGGATGAAGACACCGCGAGTGGGGGGAATCTGGCGCCCAATCGGTCGAGAACTGCGCTGAAATGGCTTAGGCGTAGCAGCCCGGGAGCCCGGGGCCGAAGACGGTCGGCGGAGAACAGATTGCTTTTGGGCAGGCGTTTGTGGTAGTTCATCCTCCTCATAGTCTTCTTCATCAGTGGTATCACCCATGTCAGCTGTAAAGGAATGTTAGTCATCGAATAAGAATAAATGAAGGGCACTACCATACACTCATAGCCACTGGATTCACCAGCAGACTCGCCATCGGATTCATCCGAATGGTCGACTTGAGTGATGCGAGACTCGTTTTGTTCAAAGTCCCAGAAGGATATGTCCGACTGGGGAGACGCCATGTCTCCATTGTCATCATCGTTATCCATCTCAAGGAGCTGATGCAGACTGGGAGGTATCTTGTCTTGTTCCATGAAAAGATCAGGGAAGAGGCTGCTATCGAGCTCTGAAGATTCCGAACTGGAACTATCTGATACTTGGACATCGTCATCGAAGCGGACACGCTTAGCAGATCCGTCTGAAAACTTCCTCTTCGCCATAGGGACAGGGGATGCGGGTACAGCCTCGGGCTCGAAGAAATGATTAAATCCAAAGTCAGGGAGACCCGCCATGAACACCTCGTCTAAGGGGGCAGTGACATCGAAGATATTGTCGCTAAAGCAGCTGTCGAGGCTGAGTCGACGAGCATCACGATACTCATTGAGGAGGTTAGTAGCTTGTTGCTCCTCCTGGAGAATGAAGCTCTCTTCTTGTCGCTCCATCATGTCCATGTCGGACTCGTCATCGTCAGGGACAAGATTGACGCCGCTGTAGTCTTCATCGTCGCTCTCAATGGCATTTTCATAGCTTACTGGAGTTTCTTCGTCCTCCTTGTAGGTGAGCAGCGGTATACTTGCCGCATTACTCAGCTTTCGCACCATCTTGCGTCTAGGGAATGACTCTTGATCTGTGGAGTCGTCACCAAACAGCACCGAAGTGCTTGACAGGTTGCTAAAGGTACGCTTTTTGTTGCTCATTAGTAGTTGATTCACGGGGTGTTTGTTGGGCACGAGCAGTTGCTCGGCCCCATGAGACATGGTCTCGTCATCGTCACCATGAGACTCATAGCCTCCTACAGGCTCGACGCGAATAGATGGACACTTTCCTTTGCCCCTGCCTCCCTTGCCGTACCCAAAGGGAAGGGCGGGCACGTCTTCGTCTGTCTCGTCGTCGAGTTCGGTGTCTTTGACGGTACTACTGTCTTCATCATCCTCGTCGTCTTCATCAGCAGCACCTTCGGTGGCTGATTGATCACCGCCGCGTCCTTCGTTGTGGTGCGTGTTTCCAGATACTGTGTCTGGTGAGGTAGATGGTTGTTCACTGCGGTGGGTGCTTGTTGTGGTGTTGTGGATGAGATTGTGGTCTTGGTGATCAAGTCCACCGAGGTCAGATCCCGATGATCGAGCGTGCGTAAGGTGGGCCATGGTTGCCTATGGGTCTTCTAGGCCGGCCGCGTAACGATGAAGTTGAGGTTAGTGAGATGGGTGAAGGACCGAGGGCGGATGGATGTGACGACGAGCGCAAGTCGAAGTGTGAGTTTGGGAAAGGTGACAGCGTTTGGTCGACTGGAAATCTGGTGTACTGAGGGGAAGGGCTTGCGAACTATGTGGAGCCCTTGGTGGTTCGTCGATTTTCGAGCGTTGAGCTGGCAGAAATGACAATGTGTGTGTTTGGCGGCGCAGACCAGACGAGAGCCAATTGATTGAGACGAGTATGCGCAGAGGGTACTGCACGCAGTCGTAGTATTGGTATCGTCGTAGAGGTTGAAATTCCGTGAGCTGTCGGGCTGATGCAGCCCATGGGCGGGCTGCACCAGGAGTTTAGAGCTCAGCGAGTGCCTGCGGCATTGTCTCGACGAAGATGGGTGTTATGAATGCTGGTATTGGGTGTTTCTGGTATAATTCTGTGCGACTTGGACGTCTTTGGGCTGGTGTGGAGAGAGGGTGCGGGCGAGAGCAGAAGGATATGTTTAATTTTTAGTTCCGCCCTAGCGGGACATCTAGCGCCTAGTTCCTTTTGAGCGATGACTCCATATCCGTATGCAACGCCCAAACACCACCAGAGACGCATCCTGCAGGCAGCCAAAACATCTATCCGTAGGCTTGATTCCCTCTCCATGCATCTCAACACCTCTCAAAGGCTTTTCGTGGTCGCTGTGCACAGTGTTTCTGTCGCGTGCCCCCTCGCCAGGAAATTTTGGATTCTCACCGAACTGCCCCACTGAAACTAACTTGGACGTGCGCGCAGCGATGAGGCAACACGGGGCTAATACAGAGTAACGGCTTCAGCCTATTGGCTACTGCTCGGACGCGAGGCCCCGGGTTTGCACATGCTGCAACGAACAGCAGCACGTCCAGTGTAGATTACTTGCTGACTTCCGGCCCCAAGCTTCTCCTGCATCGTCATGTTCAATATCCACACCACCCAAACCATCCAAGATCTTCGAAGACGCAATCATGGGCGGGTCTTCTAACTGAATCTTGCGATGCAATTGTGGCCCTGCCCCTCTTGGAGAAAAAAAAGTACGCACCACTTGACATCGGCAGCGTACCCCTCCAGATCGTATCGATACGCATTGGGCTTGTATCGACGCTGGCGCCCGCAGGCGAAGAGGCGGTGAAGCAAGTGCAAACGTAGCCCGGCGCCTCCAGCAGAAAAGCTACAGCAGCGGGCGGGCCGCTGCTACTGTCACAATGCGGTACATTGGGCTCTGAGACACTGGTGTGTGTATCGTGAGATCACCTCAAACATGTGAATAAAGCACTGCCGAGAGCATTCGCTCTCACGTGTGATGATTTTGTACAGTGGTACACAGCCAATTGCAGTCTTTACTCAGCGCACTTCTGAGCAACTTTTTTTTCCTGCGAGGCTGAGCTTTACCTGGCTTGGTTGCAGGATGCAGGACATGGTGGGCCGGCCCACGGCGTGCTGGTTGGGCCAAAGGCCGGCCTCTTCCGCAGAGCTTGCTGCGGGATCTTCGACGTGTCATATGTGCATATGCTCTTGATTGGCCCTCGGACGCTTACATACGGTAGACGTTGGGGGACAAGATTTCTCATTCGTCCATATCTACCCTGTCGACTATTGCACCAACTTACCAGGCCATGGGGCTGTACAGTATACTAACTAGCTGCTTACCAGAGGCAATAGTCTTTTCTTGTCCCTGCAAGTCTATGTTCAACAATGAGCTGATCAGGGGCGGTCTGGCCTTGGTTGAAATACCAAGTTACCAACCTCTCTTAGTATCAAGTGGAGTAACCGGTGGAGCCGAAAGCCCCGAACACACTCAGGGTATGAAAATCCGGGTCACGCGAGACATATTCGCATACTAGTGGCCCCCATTGAGTATAATATGTATGGGGAAAAATTGTCAACAGTCTCCACGATTGTTGGATGTCTGATTACGCAATTATATACAATAGTCCGGTAGGCTACATGCAAGCGGCCGAAAACGCGGTCCTCCAACGTCTACGGCACCTGATCGGCACCTTCAATATGCCCGGTAAGCTCAAGCGCTGCGGGACCATCAATCTCGGCCAACAGCCCAAGATTGCCCAGATCGCGCATGATGTCCTCGTAGTTGAACCCAAGATAGTAGAGCAACCGCGCAGCCCATTGCAGCGTATCGCGCACTTCTATCCGCGTGGCCTCTTCTAGGTCTTTGCCGCCTTCTCTCTTGATACCCACTTCCTCCTCCACTTTTCGGATGATGGTCCAGACCGTCTGCCGGTTTAGGTGGACGCGGCCCTGAAGGACGATTCTAGCTTCAGAATCCTGGACAAGTTCAATGTCGTCTGGGCGGTTCTCGTAGCTGTCAACCTTGGTGACGCGGTACCTCGGCATAGTGGGTAGTCCACCAGGCGATCGGTATGGCTCAAAAGTCTTTGGTGGCTTGTAGCACCAGTTTTCGACAACCGCCTTACCCTTGCTACTGCCATATCCGTCAAGGATACCAGCAAGTAATCGGTTGAAGTCGTCTGCAGAGAGCTTTACTTCTTGACGCAAGGAGAATGCTAGAAACTGAGAGCCGTAGGTTTTCCAACTTTCATCCACGGTAGACATGATTGAAAGTATGGAGTAAAGCTCGTAGCGTGTTTCCCTCATGATGATTTCTTCCCATGCAAAGAGTAGCTCAGTGAAGGCTTCCTGGGCCAGTAGTATCTCATCTTCAGTGCCACTGGAAGTTCGAAGAAGCTCAGAAACGAACGTTGAAAGGATGATTGATCGTGGCTTGAACCTGAGAAGGGAGGTCTCCTCTATGTAGCTCTGTATGCCTCGCACGGCTTCCCATCGCCGGAGCTGTATCTGGCAGCAGAGCAATGATATTAAAATATCAGCTGGCATTCGCTGCTGCTGGAGTTGCTCGTTCCATATCCCAACTCTTTTGATGACATCCAATACGAGATCATTTTCTCCAGCCAACGTACCAAAGCGAATGATAGACGCAGAGATATTGCGATGACCGTAAAGCTCACGGCCGATAAGAGGGCCATCCAAGTCTTCCGAAAAGAGCAGCCATCGGCCAAGATCATACAGCTTTGCCTCAGTGACTGAGTCCAGCAGACGAGCTAATAGAGGTACTGGCAGCTTGATGTCAAAGGCTGGAAACTCGACTGGCGGCAGTTGGCTTGTGAAAGGCTCATTGTATCGTAATTGCGGGATGCTCCGTAGCAGCTCAAAGAACCGCTGGACCGATTTCTGCTTGTTGTCGTCGGCATATCCCTGTAGTAACTCTAGGGTTGTCACCGCACTCTTGATATCTCCATTTGCGAGAAATGTCCGCATCGCCCTGTGTAGCAAACTGAGTGTAAGGGTAGTGGGCTCGAAGAAGTAGGGTACTTCAGTCTCGGCCGTGGAAGACGCATTTGCAGCACTAACCTCAGCGCCAAACCCTGGGGCAAGCTCAACAATACGCAATAGTAGCTCGGGCCGCTTCTCAGGTACAAATCCCCCAGACTCGAGGAGACGCGCCATGATTGAGTCCCAAGCTGATGATCCAAGGCTGAGATTGTTCATATCCATCAGGCCCTTGAGGGTCTTGATGGATGTAATCAGGCATTCTGGGTCAACGCCACGACTTCCTACTCCTACACGCATCTGGTTGACAAGTCCATCCACGAATGCTGTAACGATTTCACTACTTATTGTTCTTCGGGTCCGTGCTCGATCCTCTGCACTTGCAGAAGCGTTGTCGTTCATTGGGAGTAGGGACCAAATTCTTTTCGATAATGGCATTTTCTTTTGCTCCGCTTCCATAATCTCTCGCCAGCTGATAAGTCCCCAGCTGTGATCCCCTTGCTTGGTCGCCAATCGCTCTAATATCGCAGTACCATCCAGTATCCAGCCGCCATATAAACACGACCACAAAACAAGCTCCAGCCATAACTCCGGGGCGACCTCTGTGACTTGGACTTTGTACCGAGACCCTGGTATTTCGTGGCCAAGAAAGTAATGAGCGTTCGCACGCTCCTTTGCCGTCTTCACAGACGCTTCGTGGGCCTTCCAAGTGGCATCAGACAGAGCTGTAAGGATCTTAGACGATAGCATGTGCAACGTGGGAGGCTGCTGCAGAGCAGTTTTATCCTCATGGGCCCGGTACGTGTATACAGAGTCCGGCATGAGGCCTAGATGATGCAGATGGGCGACTATTTCCAAGACATATGGCATAATGGTATCCTGGCCATGGTTGCTCTGCTCCGCCGCCGTCAATATCATGTTGCCCAGGGTCCTCCAGACTAGCCCCATTGCTCGCTTTATAGAAACACTTTTATATTTTATCGAATCGGGGGAAGAGGCTAGGACATCTAGTGTGAGATTCAGTTTGGACAAGGGATGTGCTCGTTCGAGTCTGATCGGACGTTTGGTGAGCAATTGTAGAGACTGGCCCTCGCTACCCTTCCATGTTTGGCTTGGATGATGTACCAACTGGCTTGTAAGGTCAACCGATTCCTGTTCGTGCTCAACGAGCTTCTTCACCATCCATATCAAGTTCTGCCAAAGCCCTCTCTGCCAGAGGTGGTCAAGAATGTCCACCGAGGCATCGTGGGCGGTATTGAGAAAAATAGCAAGATCTAGTGAGGTCACGGGTATTTCTGGAATATCCGCTGGATTGTGTCGTAACGGGGTCGGGAGGAATGGGTCAATTACGTTAAACCATGCATCGACATGGCTACGAGTCTCGGTGGGTGGGAATGGTATGGATGAAGGGATATATTCCGATGGCTTCGGTGGAAGCTCTTGAAAAATTGCATCCTGGGTATGCTGGGCTGGCGATTGCGTAAATGTATGTTCATCTTGGGAGCGGCGTTTCCTCGATGTGAAGGTGCGTTTTGAGGGTCTGGCGAGGGTCGGAACGAGGAAAGCGGGCACAGAACAGGACGTAGCGACACCGCGCGCGCTTGGGCGGAAAGCCTGTGTCAGGATTCTGCGAAAGCATGTATGCGCAGCGCTCATTGAAGGGTGGCGGATACACGGTGAGGGTGAATGTTCGTGGCAGCCGCATGTCTTCAACTTTTTCCGACTAGCATCATGACGAAGTGCACTCTCTCTAGTTCCGAGACGCGCTAGAGACGTTACAGGGATCCGTGGCCAAAGCTCCCGCTCTGCGACTAGCCTCCCCCTCTGACCTCACGCGTCAACGGTGCGCGACAATTGCGAAATAAATCGGATCAAACAATATTCTCGTCCGATTTCCGAAAAATTGCATCCGCATAGAGGCTTGCTCCTTGAATCTAATAGGCACATCTCATTTCTGCCACTCCGCAAATATGGGTGTCTATCGCGTCGGTAAGCTCTACCAGCATGTCGCGCGACCTGCCACTATGCTAATCATACTCCAGAGGTGTCTCCCAACAACCGTGCTAGTTGCCAGGTCAAGGCTTGCAAGGATACTGGAGACAAAATCACAAAAGGTGAATTTCGCTTTGCAGTCCAGGTCACCATTAAAGACCACCAAAGCTGGCAGTACCGCCATTGGTATGTTCACATTTTAACCCCATTGGACATGTTTACTGACCTGTACAGGGGATGCGTCACTCCCAAGCAAATGGAGAACCTGGTTGAGACGTGCGGAGGCGACACGGAAATGGTCGACGGCTACGATGAGTTGCCCGAGGAGTTCCAGGAGAAGGTCAAATATGCACTTGAGCATGGCCATATTCCAGACGAAGACTGCACCCGCGTAAGTGTTTCTGAGCATTCTGTTGATCTTCTTACTGACAACTCTAGGATCCCGAGTTGAACCGCCCAGGCATCAAGAGGTCTAGAGCGAAGAAGGGAAAGAAGGACGCCGACGATGAGGCTGAAGACGCTGATGACGCTCCGGCACCCCCTCCGAAGGTCAAGGCCCAGCCTAAATCCAAGGCCAAGTCCAAGAAAGCAGAGAAGGTCAAAGATGAGGAGATGGACGAGGATGAAGAAGATGTCCCCGCTCCAGCACCTGCCCCGAAGAAGCGTGGTAGAGCTCCTAAGAAGGAGGCTGTTGAAGAGGAGGATGGCGAGGAGGCCCCACCTGCGAAGAAGGTTCGCGCCAGCGGCAGGAGCAAGAAGACTACCCAGTACAAGGAGGAGAGCGATCACGATGAGGCTCCCGCCCCCAAGAAGGCCCGTGGTAAAAAGGCAGCGGCCAAGAAAGAGGTGGTTGAGCCCGAAGAGGAGGGTAGCGATGTCGAGGAGGAGGCGCCCAAGCCTAAGAAAGCTCCGCAGAAGAGGTAAGTCACATTAACTGCTGTAATCCGCCATGTTCAGGGCTAACTCAACTACAGAGGCCGCAAGAAGGCTGCTGCAGCCGACGAGTAAGTCTGTATCGCTGACGAAGCGCACCGTCATGTTCGATAGCGCAGTTTGTGTATATGGCAAAGGGCGTTAGGGTGTCAGTCGTCGTCACTTCTAAGTGCGTATCGTTCATGTAGCAGAGATACCCAGAGATACTACATAAGAGAGCAAGAGGCTGAAAATTTCCTAGTTTCATGTATAGCCCAAAGCATGTTTTGTATCTTCTTACGAAATCCGTTTCTGACTATCAATCGTGTCTTCATTATCCAGTTCTCGGGGTATCAAGTCTCCATCGTCCCTCATTATCGTCCCTCATTATCATGACTCGTTAGTCATCCAAGCCGTGCCAGTCTTTATCGTACAGTTGATTCCACCAAATTACTCACAACCCATTACCGTTCCGTATATCTCCCCCACACCAACAATTAACCCGCCAACCGCATCTAGTACCTCAAACCACATACAATGTCACCTTCCTACTTCTCACCCTTCTCAATCCGCATCTTCTCCATCTCCTGATCCCGAATCATCGCCCAATCCACCATAGTCCTACCATCCACACAGTTGATCGTAGGCACCAAGTCCTTGAACCCATTACCCTCCCGATGGCGTTGCGTAAGATGCTGCTGCGAGACGAACTTCCCGTCGCAGGCCTCGGAGTGGTGGATAGAGCAACGCAGTGTGGATGTAGTGACAGGATGCTTGACATCAGGTTTCTCAGCGCCCGCCATGGAGGAAACTGTCGGGGTGCGAGGTAAGTTAGACGGGTTGGCGGCGTTGTAGGCTTCATTGAGGATCTTGGATGCGGCGCGGGGGCGGCCTGTGTGGGTGGGCACGTAGGAGGGGGACCGGGGCGGTGTGTCTTGGAAGCTCGGAAAGGCGGAGGTACCGGTTTCCGGGACAATGGGGAAGGCGAAGGGAGGTGTCGTGGGCATGTCGGTGCGGTTGGGGCTGCGAGGAGCGCGGTTAATCATGAGCTGGGACAGAGGAGATGGTTTAATCTGGGAGCCAACATGAGGCGTCTCTGACTTTTGCGAGACAGGCTTTTTCTGCTTGGACAATACCTCCATGGACCGAACATGATTAGATTCCAGTCCGCCTAGTAATGGCTCAAACTCATTCGCATCCTCCGAATCACTAGACGAGTCAAACGGACTACGCGTCCCGATAGGTATCTCATTGGGCGTCTGCTTCTTAGAAGTAGTGGTACCAATCATATCCGAGTGACCGGTCCTATGGAGATACAAGCCATCTTTCTCTTCGTCAGTCGTAGGACCCGGGCTATTGTCCCTGGACTGTTGCCGTGAAGCCTGGCGCGACGGATGCTGCGAGACAATTTCCACAAACGCAATCACGTCTTCGGGATCCATCCAGCCCTGTTTCACGGAAAACTTTTCGATCGAGTCTTTCACCGAGAATCCAGGAAGGCGAAGAGAAGTCATAGACCGACGAACACCTTCTTCGGATAGTAGCTGTTCCAGGCGCGTAGTGCTCGCTGCGGAACGATGTAGACCATGGCCAGGAACACTAAGACCGTAGTTGGGTGAGACGGCGCGCGAGACCAATGGAGTGTTGTCGATGGAAGCTTGGCGTGATCCTGGGGCGGAGTAGGCGAGGTAGTGACCACGATCGTGGGGAGTGAATCTCAAGCCCGCCAATGTTGAAGGTGCATGGGTGGGGAGAGGAGCTGCTACAGTTCCCATGCGAGGGGCGTTGTTGAGCGCGGCAAGTGAGATGCTCGTGCTGTTGAGGGCATCAGGTGAAATTCGGGCGTTGAGGGCAGCAAGTGAGATACTGCGCGAAGCTACTGGTGTAGGTACAAACAGTGTAGTCTTTGATGAGACACGTGAGAGGGGCGCACTTGACACACGCTGCGGTGCAGTTTCCTTGTGAGTCGTGGTGACATCATCCTCGTTTGCGTCAGTAGTCACTGCCACAGTCTCGGCCTCGGTCTCTACTTCTTCCTTTGGCTTCGCCTCTTCTTCCAGTACTCCCTCAGTCTCTTTCTTCCTGAGCTCTTCTTGCTGCTGCTGCTGCTGCTGCTGCTGCTGCTGATATTCAAACTCGTGAACACATGCTCTCTTGAGGGCGGAGATGGTGCACTCGTCGACCAGATCCGGCGCGTTTCGATCGTAAGGCGGCGCAAGATGTTGAGCCACACCGACAATGTTAATCCCTTGCTTGGTCGAATACGGGACTGGTTCGACGGGAACGCCCGCTGGGTATGCGTAGACAAAGTGGCCGCGGTAGTGGTACGCAACACCTGTTTCCAGCGTATGGCAGCCTTTAACACCACCAATGTACACCTTCTGGTGGATGGCTTTGTGCCGCGCGATCCTCGCTGTTGCTTGTTTAGTATTGCAAATTTCAAGTGATGTGTGAGAAACTCCACGAAATGCCTGGTCGATCCATGACGCAGTGGTAACTCTGCTTGTCCTTCCAGGCTTAACTTACCGTTATTAATTAGCTTTTGTTGCCCAGACATGTCAATGGGCACAGCAAAAGCTGTCTGTTGTAATTGAATTTTATTGATGAACTCAAAAAACGACACAGGGCCGGCGAGCGACGGGGAGGTTTCCGAGCGGCACTGGCCGTAGCGAGGGGCAGAGATTGTAATATGAGTAGTGTCGTCGTGCCAGGTTGGGCGACTCACGCGCGTGATGGAGGTCAAATTGCAACGACAAACCGAAACGAAGCTAAGGCCATATTGGGGAGCCCCACGTGGTGCATAGCTGTGAAAGTGAAGGGGAAATGGAGCAGCGCGTGATGAAAGCTCCGTAAACATACCAAGTATGACGTTATGGCAGTTGAACCCCAACACACATACAATGCTTTGATAATGGAAAATTCGAGCAGACAGATACGAAGAAATGAGATTTGCAAGTTTTTGAATATGCTGACACAGCAAACCATCACACATTCAAGGACACATACATACACAGCAATAGAAGAGAGGGTATGATCAGAGTGAATGGGATATCATATTGAATACAGGAAAATGGACAAACCAACCATTAATTCAATGGATACAGATGTAGAGTGTCCTATCCTGCTATTTGCTCATCAAGTGACGCCTTGCAACCAAAGTGTTGCTTAGCGAACAGAAGAGGTTCCATCGCTGCCATCCGCCGCTGCACCAAGGCCCTCCTCGTCACCAGGCTCGCGGTAGGTGCCAGACGTCTTCGTGGCGCCCCGGGTACGCTCTTCGATGATGTTGCTGCTGTCAATGGCATCCTTCTCGTCGCGTTCTGGATGTGGTTAGCAATGAGCATGCAGTGATTAATGAGCAACCTACCAAGCTGCTTATCAGAGTCACCTCCGTTATCGTACTCGGTGGACTCTACGGGCGCCTCATCTTTCTGAACGGGGATTTGAGACTGGCCGGTACGGGAAGTGTAGTCGTTGTCGACAACGTCGCCGCTGGGGATATCGTTGGAGCTCATGTTGAAGATGGTGTTGGAGCTTGTTGGGATTAAGTTGTAGATATGTTGTGCTTGTGCTTGTAGATTGAGGGGAAGATGATTGAAAGGTATGTTGCTGACCACTGTAGGTGAGGATAGCTCTTTATATGCTTCTTGTCAGTTGTAATGATACGTCATTATGTCGACCAAGTACACCCACGCCCCTAGTGTGACAGTGCGCCCAAAACAATGAGCAGGCTGGATACGCGATCTGGACCACAGTCTACGATCACGATGATGACAATATGGTCATGACAGGATACCCACCCCCACAACATGCCAAACAGCATGGCATTGGTGTGTACCGCTAGTGGGTAGGGCTATGGCCATCCGGCACACGGGACCCTGTACTAGAGACGGGAGCTGTCCCCTATAGGTAGCATGCATAAGCGGACTTGCTATGCGGTGAGTGTTGTTATGTCATATGTTTGTGTAGTTGCCGTCAAGCAGCTCGTTGTAGGTGAGCACAAAGGGAAGCCGCGTGAAGCCATACAGACGTCTGTAGCCGTCTGTAGCACATGGTGAAGCTGCGTCATGCTTGCGCAACTGGCACAATTTAGTTAGCCTCCGTAATGTCTACCTAGCAGCCCTAATGTACAAGGAACAGGATGCGGCTCGTATACACAAGCCTAGAATCACATGCTAAAGTGGGTGACATCGACGTCAACACACGTGTAGTGGAGTTCTTTGTTAGGAATCGAGATTGGCGAGATCGATCTTGCATAGAGATTACGGATACGTCGTCTGAAGTCGATGACGCTAGGGCTTGAAGGTGAAAGTTTGTTTTTGTGATGGCTGGGTTGACGTTGAGAGCACTGACGCGAAACGCGAGATCGCGACTTCATGACGTCTGAGGTGCGCTTGCTGACAAGGGCCGCCAACACAAAGCAAAAAGTAGCCTCGAACGTTTCAAAACATTTGCAAAAGAAGAATTACATTTCAACATAGGCATACAGAGCAACACCAATCATTGCCCCAAGGTTATACAAATGTAACTACAACGCCGAGACGCAAACCGCTTTATCAGATAATACGACCGCGGACAAACTATGCACTCGCTTCAGTCGCTGTTCCGCTCTCACTCGTGTCTTTCTTCGCATCCTCAGTCTTCTTCGCGGCAGCCATCTGCCACACCGGAATAGCTGCTCGTCCAGCCGGACCCCTGCCGTAGGAAGGGAGGGTCTTTTCTGTGCTCGGAGTTGAGGCAGATGCAGCTGTTGCGTTGCCGTTCGTCTGGCTCTCAGCAGTGCTGGTGCCGTTTGTTGACTCGCTCGGGGCAGGGGTAGATGATGACTGTGGTGTTGATATAGAAGCAGCGGATGTTCCATTTACGGCAGGCGCCGATGCAGCGCTTGACTGACCGGCTCCATAGTAGCCGGAGGTAGCGCTCTGTGGACGTGGTGCAGCAGGTGCACTCATCCTGTTGCCAATCAGAGTCTTCAGACTCTTGAGCTCAGTTGACAACTCCTTAAGCCTGGCGTCAGTCGCTTCCTTCTGAGACTCCAATGCCTTGGGGATCAGATCCCTCAAGCCGCGCACATCATCCTCTATACGCCTGTTGTCATCCCCTTGCCTCTTTGAAGACTCCTTAAGGCTCAAGAGTACACCTTCCACCTCGCCAAGCGCATCATCAAGCCTCGAAGTCCTCGCCTCCTCTGATGCCTTGAGTGCGGCTGTGTCGGTGTTGAGTTGTTCCAGGAGGTCGAATGCGCGCTTGAAAGACTCGTCGACGGACGCCTTGTCTTGCTCTAGTTGAGGTTGCGTAGGTGGTTGTATTAGGGGTAGGACGTATCGTTTCGCTGTGAAATAAAGACCGTATCCTACTCCGCCCATGACCGTGGCCATGATGAAGTAGTCTCGCCAGTCGCGTTTTGGCGGCCTAAGTTGTGTCAGCAATGAAGTGCGGTACGTCTAATATTTTGCGCGTACTCTGGTGGTGGCGGCGGTTGCCAGTATCCTTGGGGGGGATAGCTTGCATATGGGGCGGCGGGTGGTGGTCGGTATGCATTGTTGGATACCGCAGATGTCTGTGGAGGAGGTGCGGGCTGGCCTGGGTCTTCTGCAGCACGTGCGAGTGAAATATCGACCTCTTCCTGAGTGAGGTTCTTGGATTGCAGGAAAGCGATGCGCTTCTCAAGGGGCGCGCTGGCAACTGACGGATCCTGGAGGACTAAGCACGCCTGTTAGCATCGTCGCGTAGCGTGTGACATGCGGCAACCTACAGGATACAGCCGACGTTATGAGATCCTCGCGGACCATGTTGGCTACACGTTAACGCAATGCCGGCAGCATGCGCACACTTTGGTTGATGAAGATGCTAGAGAGTCGCGAAATGACGAGCCGAATCATGGAGGCGGGTATGCCGAGGCTCCTTGATGTCGGCCGGCGCTCGGTTCCGCCTCGCTCTCACGTGGAGCGGCCGCATCGCTTTTCCGACTTGGACGCTACGACGCGAGACGACCACGCTTATCTATTATAGTCCGTGCCTGATCCATGATTACAAGGGTTGATGTTCACGGACAACAATTGTTCCAAAACGTTGAATTTCTTCTATGAAACTCATTTCAAGGACACCAATGCCACCCATCCATCACCACCGCTCTCAATTCGCCTATTACAAGACTAAAATACTCCAACGCGCATATGTCAGTGATCCATACGTTTTTAGTCTCGGAATGAGATTAAAAAAGAAAGAAGGAAAGAAGAGGAGGTCACATTATTTATACATCGAGCGACTCGCAGGGCACGGAAAGATGCTATACTGACTAGAAGGGGAACTTCAAGGTTTTTAAAGAAGCTTGAAGACGTTTGGGAAACACATACAATGGAACCAGGATTTCATTTGAATTTCCGCGAGTAGAGCATAAAGAATTCCAGGAGTTCATATTCCAATTGCTTGCCATTTTGTGATGAGGAGGGAAACAAAGAAACTTCACAGAACATGGGTACTGTTAGAACCATTTTTAAAAGGCACAACAAGCACAAGTCATTCGTGCCTTTTTCCGGAATGTTTTAGAGCCCAGGGCGTAAGATTGGAAAGCAAGAGTGATACTCCCAAGGGCCGAATTATTGCGCTTTTTATATCCCAGGAAACAAGCACGGTCCATGCATTGTATCCGTCAGTCCTTCAAAACAATCCTGGACACAGACATGGTCTTCCAGGATTTTTATTCTTGGGGAGTTGGAAAACATTAGATGTCTTATATCAATTTTGAAAACAAAGAATTTCGGTGGAAATATGAAAGGGTATATAAGCGGTTCTACAGCACAAAAATCAGGATACTGTTCGCCCTCCATTTGAATATAGCTTCCCTCTTCAACGCACGAATATCCCAAAGCTTGAGGTATATTGTTGGCAAGTAAAAGGGTGTATGGTTTAGACTCGCAGACACAGACATCGAAAAGAATTTGGCCAATTTTTGGAACAAAGGAAACACCCTCTTGTGAGGGCTTACTTTTTTTGTAGAAGATGGAGAATAGTTAGTGAGTAGCAGAAGAACCTGGAACCACCAGTCTTGACGGACATTTAAATCTGCTACCCCAACGCCAAGGGAAGCAGCAAGACCATCGGTCTCCCAGAAGCCAAATTTAACAAAGAAAGTAAACAGCTTTAAGTTCGGACACAGAAGGCAGTCCATTGTTCGCATACAGTGCGGTTTTAACAGCGAAACAATTCCATAGGATTTGTTACCGAGTTTTTTAGAAAATTATCTAGGTAGAGAAAAGGTCTGGAGTTTAGGAGCTTAAGAACCGGAATTTCCGGGGGGTTTATACCTAGTACCACACCGCCAAAGGAAGCTGCGCGACCATCAATACGCACTGCTATGCTTTTAGATAAGTAGAGAGGCATCTATACAGTTTTGTTTCAACTCAGATGGTAGACGGCAGATTATATACTGGCGGACCGGGATTCTTTGGGAAGCGGGAACAACGCCATGAAGTATAGCGTCTGACTTTTCTAAATGATGGATTTTTAGAACAGCGGAACAACCCCATGAGAAGGTGATTCGCCTGATTTCTGTGAAAAAATGGAGTTTTCGGAGGGCGGAAAAACACCATTTGGATAAGTTTGAAGTTTTAGGAAAACTGGAAAAGGTGTGTAATAGAAGAGTAATACTCTATGTTGACGGGAGAGACTTTTATACCCACGAGCTAGACGTTCAGGAGCGCGCCACAATATAAGATGCCCTTCGTTGTTTTGAGAAAGGGTGGCAAGGTGTTTGTAACACCTCGCCGGAAGATTTCAGTCTCACCGTCCATCCCCAAAGCCCTATTTTATTCGGGAAGAAGGCTCTCAGCATGTGGACAATGCTGTGATTGTTCAAGTTTCTCAAAAACTCCATAACAGATGAGTATAGTTTTTTTTATACATGTTTGCTGGTGATAGAGTGGCAGAAGCATCTCGCAGCATCGGGTACATTTTTGGAAAGACGGAAGACAACCATCTACATTTTGCCGCCATTTTCAGATTTTCAGGAAATAAAGGAAGAGTAAGGAGAGAGACCACACCCGGTGTAGGAAAGGCTTTATGCACCAAGAACATATCAGTTTGTTCTCTCACCCTTTTGGTTTTCAACTACGTGACCTCTCCAGACTCGCCACACACATCCGTAGATTTTGTTGCGTATTTCAAGGAATATATGGTGGAAGAACACATCATCCGATCGGGTTTTTTTTCGATAGATTTTATAATTTGTAGAATCTCCCTTTCCACCTCCATATGTATGCGGATTCAAGCTTTTTGACTTGTCCTCCGCTGTCTCGCGGACACATTAAGGAAGTCCATGGTTTGGAAGGCGGACACGCTCCTCACCATGCCAAAGCGAAACGTTGAGTTTTAAAAGTACCAGAGAGTCTTATGAGGGGTAACTTGGAGTTTTTAGTGCTTAATAGGCAAAAAGAGAGGGGAGTCCATAAGTGGCGGGTAAGAAAAGTTAGAAGAAAGCTAACCATGTCCCGTGGCCTTCTCGCACTTAAGTTTTTGGAAAAGACAGAACACCGCCATACTCTGCCACCACAGCTTTTTAGAAAAGGTCGAAATCTCCATCGTTTCTTTGTTTTGTATTTCAGAAGAAGACAGAACGTTCCCATGTTGTGGTTAGAGTAATGTTTTGGAAAAGACAGAACTCTCCGTGTCGCTCTCGTTTTCAAGTTTCAGAAAAGACACGAGGTCTTCACTCATTACCACGATCGAATTTCAGAACCGGCAGAAATGCCTATGACCTGCCACCATTTAATTTTTAGAAAACCCATAAGCCTCCATAGTAGGCTGTTGTAAATATTTTTAGAAAAGCCAGAAACCCTCATGCCCTATCCGCAGCTAAGTTTTAGAAAACGCACAAGCCTCCATGGCATCTTGTCATAGATTTTTTAGGAGAAAAAAAAAGCAGGAATCTCCACATAGTTCTGTTTCTCAAGCCGTTTAATTTTTGTAAAAGCAGAGGAAAAGTATTTCTGATAAAGAAGAGAAGAGGAGGGAAGGTGACAAGGCAGCGAAAGACGGTATTTATGCATCTGCAACGCTAGGCAGAGGGGCCTTGCACGTGACACTGCTCCATGCACCTGGAAGTCATGCATGTGTGTGCATGTTTCGAAGCCGAAGATAACTAAAATAATAGCACATGAGAATGCATGTAGAGTCAAATAATATGATGATGGTAAATCTGTACCATTAATTCTGAAATATATGTATGTAGTTTATAACTATGTAAAATCTGGCCAAAAGAGAAAAATGCCATGTAAATGCTATGAAAAAAAAAACGCCGTAGAATGCTAGTGTTAAAACAAATGAAAATTAAATAAAGGGAACGCCGCTCAATGCCACGAAAAGAGGGCAGAGCTTATAGCTGACCAGCAGCTTGTGTGTTCATCGAAACATGTTATCCGTCATCATCATGACCTTCGTTCACCCCATCAACCCCTGCTCATACTTACCCGAAATTATCCAATCGACTTCCCCCTCTTTCCCTTTCCGCACTCGCGCTTGCTGAGTGGCTCGTCGGGGAACACCCATCCGCGAACACGCTTTGCCTCTCTCTTCTCGCCGAGCTGGGGCTTGGGGATCCAGGTGTCCTTCTCCAAGAAGTTTTGCCTGGTCAAGGCTGCGGGGCCGCCGACGTCCATGCGCCATGTGCCCATGCCTTCAAAGGGGTTCTCCTTGGCAAGCATGTGAAGGTACCAGAGAGCAAGGGCGGCGGTGAGTTGGATGTCTCCAGTCTCTGGGTGGGCACCGGAGGTGGAGAGGCGGATGGGAGCAGAGGTCTCTAGGTAGCCGAAGATGGGGACCCCAGTTTGTGCGTTGACGGTTGTGGGGTCGGGGGCGGAGAAGTCGGAGGGGCCACCGCAGCGGACACATAGGAGCTCGATTCCGTCATGATGATCCGTAGCGGCAACCGTGTTCGCGCATCACGCGCTGGAGGTGGGCGAGGCCTTGGAGGTAGAGAACTTGCTTGGGAGGTGACTCGCCACGCATGCCGGTGTTCCACTGGTCGTAGCACTTTACGAGACCGACGACGCGACCGCGGCTGTCGCCGAAAATTGTCTTCTCGTAATCAGTGGGGTAGTTGGAGACGAACTCTGGTTGTTGGCGTTGACCGGCAATGGGCTTGATAGCGCGCATGTTCATGTGTGTGGTTCCCTGAGCTACCTTGAGCGCGGCGTTGACCTTGTTCGCGTAGTAGTTTGTGCAGATGTCTTGTAGGGCGGACTCGTTCTCGGGCTGCAGGTTCTGGCGGCAAGGCTGCGGAAGGTAGGTTGCTGGGACGGGGACTTCGAGCAGGGGAAGCACTGAAGGAATGGACTTGATGGTGGTGATGTTGAAGTCCTCCCAGCTGCGGAGGTTGCGAATGTCCCACCAGAAATGGTTGTTGATGCCACGGGGCGCGCTTGTCACGCGGCGAACCAGGGATGGGGAAGGATTAGGAGAAGATAGGTATTCGACCAGAGAAGAGGTCGCTGGGACGTGCTGGAAGCCGTCGAAGTTGACATCTGTGAAGGTAGGGTACTGGACGGCTGGTGCAGCCTCGAATTCCGGGAGGACGAATTCGGGAGTGCATGTCGACGTGAAGCTGGGGATATCTTGAACAGATGAATATGTGGAAGGAAGGGAAGTGACGAGGTTCAGGTTTGAATGAGCCGCGCTGGCAGCAGTGACGTAGCTGGGCATGTTGCGGTAGGTAGGGAAGCCGTACCGGCTGATAACACGCTCGTCTACACTTCCAGCAGAGCCAGATCGGTCATGCCGGGCACGGCTGGCTGAGGTAGAGCGGGATTGCGAGCCCATATACGATGATCGGCGAGGAAGTTCGGGCTGCTGTGCGAATGCGATGGGCGAGTTGAGGGTAGAAAGACTGAAGTCGTACGAAGAGACAGAGACCGGAGAGGTCATGTTGCTGTGGACGTTTTGAACATTGTGACCGAGCGGGCTTGAGCCACGGCGGACCATCGAGGCTGGCCGTGAGTAAGGGCTGTAGGCGTAACCGACACTGGAGCTAGACGTCGTCCTGCGATGTCTGACTGGACCAGTTGTGGGCTCGGCTACTTGGTCTTGTATGCGGACCTTGGGGAGAAGGATAGGTCCATATTGGCGGACTGGCGATCTTGGGGGAGTGGGGCCAGAGAATTGAGGCTCTGGTGATGAGGCTTGCGAGTAGTATGTGATATCTGAACCTACACTCCCCGGGATGTAGTTGTAAGGAGCAGTCGGCGGTGTTGTTTGACGGCTGTACATTTTGAGTATGTGGAAGCTACCAGACTAGACTTATCAGTATATGTGTGTGTGGATTGGTGTGCGAACAAATGACGTACGCTTTAGTGACTGAGAATAACGACGGGAAGAAATTATCGAATAACAATTAATGCAAGAGTCCAGCTCCAATTGTCTAAGACAAGAATAGTGCAGAGAGGTAAAAAAGAAAGAGGGCGAGACAGAGTTGACTCGTTGGGAGGCAGTGCTCTTGATGGAAATACTTTGCAAGTTGAATGGGACTGGTGTATGCGGCACAGACAGACTTCTTATCCTCCCAGTTCCCCGCGTAGACACACGAGAACCAACGCCCACCTCGCGCTAAAACACATGAAACACGATCCATCCAAGGGGCCCGAAGACATGGGCCGGGAGAGAGACATTCTGGCGGTCTGGCGGCAGTATCACAACAGACCCATCGATGACATGCGAGCCTCACAAGGCGTCTGAAACATAGCGTGCCTGCCGCTCGAGTTGGGCGAGTACGTGGCTAGTGAACGACTCTGGCTATTCTATTCTTGATGCGTGGGGTGCTGGAAGCAGTATGGCGGTATAGTTTGGTAGCTTCTCAATGGTCGTCGGTGTAGAAGACGACCCAAAGCGGTAAGCGGGCCAGCACAGCGCTTGCAGATGGGGCGGTTGGATAACGTGAAACCGGCAGTCTCTGCTGTAATACTTTCGGTGAGGGTTTTTTGCTCATGGCGGCAGTTTGAGGCTGGCAGCGCGAAAGAACGAATAGCATGGTCGGAGGTGTTGGACGGTTTAGCGCCAGTTGGCTCGTCCGTGCTCCCCGTCCCGCACGACGTGGGGCAGGTGCAGCCCGTTAAGAGTCATCCAAAGGTCGAAGCGGGATGATTGGACTACAGCTGTCCAACGTTTCGTTTCTAGCCGAAGACATGCGTCTTCCCGCATACCAAGCATGCACAGGAGAGTGACTCACAATGGGCGGAGAGACTGTATTCACGACTATAACACGTCCTGGCCCGACGCTCATACACGGACGCGTTGAACGCGTTGTTGTCAAGCAGCTGGGCCTCCGGGTCTCAGGCCTCGCCCACCTGGTGCGCTGTCCTTTGTAATGCCATGCGTCGTCTCTTCATACACATGCACAGCCCCAGACGTCTTGTGGCCTGGCCTCCCAAGCAGGACCTTTGCCCTTCCGAGAGACAGCGCCAGCGTCCTTGTTGTTCAACGTAGCACGAACCGCATCCTCTCAATGGCTCCACTCCGTCTGCCAATCCAAGCGCTTATGCTCCTACACGTTGCACACGGAAACGCTATCGTGGAGAAATTACCAGCCCTGATCCCACTATACCAATACCGATACTACTACCAGCTGGTCTTCCTTGAGCCTCACGCGCCACTTCCAGCCTTGGTCTGTTAAGCGCCCGCATGCACCCCAACGGGAACTATTAGGTTTGATTACTGTGCCAATTATAGCCCAAACCGGCTTCATAATGGCCGTTAATTGCCTGAAAGCGGGCCTTTAGCGATCAAACCTTCATGGAGCCAGGACTGCTTCAGTGAGCGCTGGGTGCGGATTGGCGCGAGGCTGTACATTTTTCATTTCGCCTTGATGCCCTTTCCGAGAGCCTCATCTGATGTCATGTCATGCGCTGCTCTACGCGCCCATCTCCATAGCCCCAAGACTTCGGCCACCGAACTCCCGAGCTCAGCATGAACTTGCACCCCTTGCGCATGTTACCGCTGGTGTAATTGGGACTCCACCGTCTCGGACCACCACTTCTTCCAGTCTACCACTTGGCGCTTCGTTCGAGCGTCTTCAGCCGCAAAAACCATGGCATGGCTGCGAAATGCCTCTTCAAGGTCGCATCCGAGGTATGCGCGCTGGGCATCGGACGCAGCCATGGCCCCAGACTCCACAGCGTTGACGGCCATGAGGAATTGCCGCGCGAGTCCTTCGTCCCCCCCGCCATGATGCCCGCCTGCCATATGGGGGCTGTGGATTTTGGTTTGCCCTGTCCCGAAATTGTGCACCTTGATGTTGGTGCTGTCGTACTCGATCTCACCTGTGGTGCCGTAGATGCGCCCTCTTCTCTCGCATTGTTTCTCTGTAAAGGCAACCATGTGGAATTGCGCAGTCTTTGCGCCGCGGCCACTCAGAATTGGCCGTCCATCTTCGTCGTTCGCAGTTGGATCATCATCCCAACTGATCGTTACGCACTGATCGTCGCAAACGTCGTTGTTTGACTCCCAGATACATCGACCGAACCATGGCCGTTCTTCGACCTTGGCAACAGGAGTCTCAGTCGTGTAGTCTTCTGCAAGATTTACAAGTAGCTGCTTCGCCGCTTCATCCCTCCCAACTGTCTTGTACATGTCTTCGATCTCGGGATTTACAATATTGACCGGCCATTTCACGTTGCCGGTCTTGACATGTCTCTCAATGTAGATCTTCTTAGCGCTGTAGTCGCAATCTGGCTCATATTTGCAAGAGAGACAATTTGTAGCAGATCCAGCAGCTTTTGGCTTCCTCTCCTTTCGGAAGAACTTGAGTGATCCTGTCGAGGTGACAAACGATGGTAGATGAGGAGTTGCATCCGTTGCGTTTGAGGCTGGTGAACAAAGCATCCACATGAGGAAGTCAATGTCGTGACAAGATTTCGTCAGTAACGAAGGCGCGGTTTTGGACTCCTGTCTCCAGTTGCCCCTACACTGATCAGCATGCTAGCAAAGTCAGAGCATTCATACATACCTCACGTAGCTGTGCGAAAAATGCCACCAACCTATCGGCTCAACGTGTTCAATGCTCATGACATCACCAATAACATTCTCCTCAAGCAGTAGATGTCTGAGCATCATGTTATGTGGTGAGTACCGCAACACATGGCCGATGCCGAAGATCGCCCCCTTAGCATCCTTCAATGCCTTGTACATCCACATACAACTCTCCAGCCTCGTACTCATCGGCTTCTCACAACAAATATGCAGCCCCAGATCTGCAATCCCACAAACAACTTCTTCATGCATCTCATCAAGCACACAGACAAACACCGTGTTCACTCCCTTCTCCACCGCATGACCAGCTCTTTCCTGCTCCCTTCTTTGTATCTCGTACTCTTTCCATTCATTCCAACCCATGAAACTCTGCCCTCTCTTGCTCTCACCGCTTTCATGGCAGATGAACTTGTTTACAAACACTGTTCGCTTGTATTCGTTGGGCTCACAAACACCTGCGACCATGGCGTTTGAGCAAGACAGTGTCGCTTCAGCGTAAGCATTACCGCGGCTCCCGGCCCCAATGATGAGAATCCTTGGTGGTGCAGGGAAGTCTTGCTTTGCCGCGGCCTGAAGGAAGGTAGTCTCTCCTGGCTCGAGGCTCGGCATGGCGTTTATAGTTGTGTTCAAGGATGAGTCGTGGATGAGTAAGAGGGTGTGTTCTTTCAATCACCTTTTATGTCGGAGAGAGATAGCAAACGAGGGGTAATGTGAGATTCGGCTGCGAGAGTAGTACTAAGTGCACTACCATCACGTTGCATTGCAGGCTACGCTAAGGACGATTGGTAGTGTACACCAATAAGGAAGGCCACGTTGTGGGGTACCAGCCAATGAGATCATTGATGAAAAAGCCACCACGGACGCATACATTAGCTGGGCGGGACACACAAGCCCAGTCTTCTCTAGTGATTGAGAAGTCTTGTTCCTTTCTTAATCCCAACTTGTGCAAGTTTCATGGTTGAACTGTTATTATTTGCGTGGGTAGCTAGTAATGCCTACTTTAGGCCGTCTCGCGTACGAGAATGAAGCAGCCATACCCAGCTCTGATCTATCTCTTGTCCAACTCGTAGAACAGCAAATAAACATCTTTCTGCATGTTCAGAACCTCCGACGTCTTACTCTCTTTGATCTTGTCATCACTAATGCGCCACCATCTATTATGTGTCTTTTTCGACTTTCTCCGTAGAGGATTAGCCTCCGCCATGGATGTTGCCTTTTCTGATGCTCGCTCCTTAAGTGAGCGTATGCTTCTCGTGCGGGATAGCGACTCGCTTCTGTTTCCCGTGTCAGTGGATGCCGTTCTTAGTACAGGATCCGACTCGGAGATTCGAGGTGCCGATGTTGGCGCAGGACCCCGTGATGAGGAAGGTATGTTGTCTTGGGAGGATAGCGAGCGTGTCGACGGAGAGTCGAGATTGGGTGTAGAAGGGGACGGTGAGCCGCGGTCAATACTGTTGGGAAGATTAAGGGCAGAGATCCGTGGACTTTGCATTGCAGATGGTGCTACTGACGGTGCTGCGGACGGATGCGGACTGGCTTGGCGACTGTATGCACCTTCTGTACCAAAGGAAACGGGCGTCGAGAAAGGCAGTCGCTGTACTTGGCGGCGAAAAGACTCGTAATGGCCGCTGTTATGGCTGCCTTTGTGGGTAACCATGCAGAGCAAGCGATAGTTCTTGCGGTGGAGGATCCCACCTAATGGAAGAGCTTCAGGGAAGGCGACCTTGGCCATGTTCTTCGTAGAGGTAGAACCAAACGCAAATGTGGAACGCGACAGGTGTATCGCAAGGACCTTTGGAAACTGTGATATATACATATGGCGCGCTATACGCCGCTTGGGTGCCTGGCTCGAATCAGGGAGCTCCACACCTTCGGGCGGCGTTTCAGGGTCTTCCTCCAATGCCTGTCGAATCTTTGAGATGTCTGATCTTAAACGTTGCTGAAGGTTCGGATTAGTGGCTATTGAAAGCTCATGGTCTTTACTCCTGAGTGCATGCTCGAGCCGACACCGCTCACACTTGAAGTCTTCTATGTACTCAACCTTGAGCATGCCATCAAGACAGGCGTTGAGCGAAGTAGAGGATGCCTGCGGTACGTTCAAGGTCAGGGTGACGAATGTCGATACTGTCGGCTTAGGCTTAAAGTGACAGGTTTGGCACTCGATCTGCGACTCAATCTTGCCCTCAAATGGAAATCCCTCTTCTTCTGCAGATGTTCCGCTCTCTTCAGCCTCATCACCGACTTCGTCGCTACCTGAGCCCTCCGCAGTCACCGCGCCAAACTGGTCCTCACCCTCTCTTCTCCCCGACCCAATATCCCCGTTTGTTGCACCAGTTCCCACGCGCGTGGCCTGCCGTCGAGCCTTGCCACCAGCGTGATATTCGTCGCATAGGCGCTCTGTGACTATCTGGAGGAACTCTTGCGCATCCTGTTGTTGGCGGCTGATGCGGGTCCCAAATGCGCGCTCGAGTGTACGGATGAAGGGTTGGGGAGATATTGTTTTCTTGTGTAACGGGCGTTCGTTGAGCCTGTCGAGAATGTCCTTCAGGCCGTGGGTGAGGATGCCTCTCTGCAGTCCCTCGAGCTTGACTGGCTTCGCAGCAGCAGCAGCAACATCCTGGCTTTCGGGGTCCACATTGTATACTTCAGGGCCGTCGAGGAGCCGCCTATGCGTTTCTCTTATGAGATATATGCGCAAATCGGGTAGACCGGCGAGGGCTTGCAGCACCGAATTGATGAAGCAGTCATTCGCCGCGTTGCTGAGGCCCACTACGCCTTTCTTCTTGCTACTAGCTGCATTTGCATCGTCGTCCAAGAAGTAGGTCGGGCCAAATACATAGACCAGTGTAATGGCGGCGAGTGAGGCGCCTGCAGCGTAGGTTGCAATTGTAAGGGGCTTCTCAGGCATTTCCAAGGTTTGCGGCGCCTGTCACTTCCGCGACCGCGGGATTGGACGGAGGTTTGGGGTCGTGTACGGTGGTGTCGCGAATGCTGTACTCGGTCGTGCTAAGGTTGTGCGGCAAGTGTAATATGAGTAAGCCGTAGAGGAGAACTGGCTGCGGCAGATGCCATTGTCTGACTGCTGCCCAGTATGGGATACTGCGCTGGCCGTCACTTGTCGTTTGCTCGTGAGGCGGACGCAAAGTATGCCGAGCCCGGCCACTGGCGTCTTCCGCCTCCGTCGCACCCCCGGGTGTCATAAAATACTTGACATCCAGTGTAAAAAGGCCACTGTAGTCTCCAAACACGCCTACTAGGTGCTGCTTACCCACACTGTCAAGTATTTCATGACACGCGCAATGGCTTCGTTTAGGGGCTCAGCGCTGCTTCCACAGTGCACATCATGTATACGGAGAGTTACACGGCAAAACCTCGACGCCTGGGGCCCGCAGCAGACGCGAAACATCTCCAAGAAAGCCAAAGAGGCGGAGCGCAACATTATCGTGAAACTGCTCAAAGATGTGCCAAGATTTGGCCGCGCAGGTACGATGCATTGGTTGTGGGAGCTTGCCCCCAACAGCTACCACAGCGACTACAACCACCACCAATCGACCACGGCAGCTCACATGGCTAATAATGCAAAGGCTCCTATGTCCCGCTCAACCCCTCCCTTATGCGCAATCGCTGGTTTCCGGCACGCGTCGCCGACTATGTCCCCGCTACCCAGTTGAAGCAGCTCAAGGCACAGGATGCTGACATGGCGCGAGACTTCGCCTTTGGCGTAAGGGCAAACTTGGAGGAGGTGGAGGAAGAGGAGGAAGATCACATGGGGCAGCGGAAGCAATACGTACGGCCGATCGAGATTGCTGTGCTCAGTGTATGGTCCTTCATCCCATCGCCGGAAACATGCATACTAACAACAACAGCCTGAGCGATCCATGGAGCTCTTAGACACTTTCGTCCCGCCCACAATCGACTTCTACCGCCAGCGAATCGAACAAGAAAGCCAGCCGAGAGCGCGAATGGGGGCATCGGGAGCAGCAGACATTCTGACTGCAGTCGCCATGAGCAAGGCCAAGTCATCTCCAGATGCTATATATGGCTCTGTATCAAGTGCAGATCTTGTATCGACTATTAGGGGAGCGCTGGCGCATAACGACGAGGCAGCCCGCGTGATATTGAATGAGGCCGATGTCAAGTTCCTATCCGGACACGAGGAGGGAGACCCGTCGCGTGTAAAGCAATTAGGCACATTCAAGGCCGAGATTCGGCTGCCCGGTTCACAGGAGGCTTTGGTAAGAAACATCCGAATCCGCGCGAAGGAAATGGGAGCTTGAGACTACACCGCCGGCCTCGCCACGGTCACGAGCCGCTATGTTCCGGTGAGGTCCAGCACCTCGGGACATATCTTGGGCCCCTATACAGCCACAGCTGCTGAAATCCCGCACCTTGCAAACAGTGGCTAACGCCTCAATAACAATCACGATATCCCACTTGCATTTTCAATTGTCGTCAATGTGATTTCATTGGTGGGACCCTGACATGCTGTCGTCGCATCCAGGGTAGACCTGATGCGGAGCTGATGAAATGACACCACTGGCGCGGTCGGTAATAGAAGGCGCAAGTAGGAAAAGTTAGCGTTTTGCGGCGAGACTCGGACAACAGGTTACTTGTGGATGCCATCATATGTGGTTGAGCTACGGCATGGCACGAGAAAAAAGAGCCCACTTTAGTTCCGCGATGCCGAGCAAAGCGGCCCCGCCATGACTTCAGAGCGCGGCCGTGAAGCATGCCGGTGTAGCATATCAGCTGTGTTAGTGAGGCGGGTTCGGTGCGCATGCGCTGTGAGGAGAACAACTGAGGAAACTGAGATTGCAACGCAAGTGGGTTTGTCTTCTCAACGTATGCAGCATTAACCACTAGCTGCTGCTGTATTTTCGCTAGACTTGCTGCCATATCCGCGCGGTTTGAGTTGTGGTGAGGGACGTAACGTCACTGCTGCGGTCATTGCACGGTTAGCGGGGTTATTCTGTGGTTCCACCCTTGAACCTACCCCACTACCAGTTTGAACTTTACTAGAAAGCTGAACCATCTCACATCGAAAGCTCTCTCACACCACAATTCATCCACTGTATCCTCGCTCCTCAGAATACATCCAATCTACGAATACAGCAATCATCATGGTTCAAGCTTCTGAAGTTCTCTCTCGCAAGGTATGTCAATTCCGATGCTCGCCCATAGGGCTGAAGCTGATGTATAACAGACTGGCGTGATCGTCGGCGACGACGTCTACGCTCTGTTCAAGCACGCCCAGTCGGAAGGCTACGCCATCCCAGCCATCAATGTTACCTCTTCTTCGACCGTCGTTGCATCTCTCGAGGCTGCCCGGGATTCCAAGTCGCCCATTATGTTAGTATACCTCCGCCGTTTAGCAAACTTCGACTGACAACCACTTTGCCTCCAAATGTCACAGGGCGGAGCTGCTTACTTTGCGGGTAAGGGCGTAGACAACAAGGATCAATCTGCTAGTAGTAAGTAACGCTGCTGTTTGAACTGCTTGCAAAAAATGCTGAGTTTTGGAAAAAGTTCAGGGAGCCATTGCGGGTGCCCACTACATTCGCGCCATTGCGCCTGCTTACGGGATTCCTGTAATCCTACACACAGATCATTGCGCCAAGTAAGTTGCACGCACTTGTCGAAGCGTGATATTGTTCTCTTGAAGTATGCGGTCTAACACTTCACAGGAAGCTCCTCCCCTGGTTGGACGGCATGATGGACGCAGACGAGGCGTATTTCAAGGAGAAGGGCGAGCCTCTGTTCTCCAGCCACATGATCGATCTCTCCGAAGAGCCAAAGGAGTGGAATATCGCGACCACGAAGAAGTACCTCCAGCGAGCTGCGCCTATGAAGCAGCTGATCGAGATGGAGATCGGCATCACCGGTGGTGAAGAGGACGGCGTGAACAATGAGAGCGTTGACAACAACTCACTCTACACTCAGCCAGAGGATATCTTTGAGATTTACAAGGAGCTTTCAGCTGTTTCGCCTCTGTTCTCCATCGCCGCAGGCTTTGGAAACGGTAAGCCACTTCCACTTTCACCCACCTTCCAAATCTTCCAAATCTTCCACAACTTATCCCAGACCACTTCCACACACATTCAACAGCATTATTATACATTACTGACGCTTTATCAACAGTACATGGCGTGTATAAGCCGGGCAATGTAAGCTTGAAGCCAGAATTGCTCCAAAAGGGACGTCTCTCTATCGTGTATGATTTCTTGAGGCTAACAGCGTGTAGCACCAGCAATACGTCAAGGACCAGACCAAGTCCAAAGATGACAAGCCAGTCTTCCTCGTCTTCCACGGTAAGCCTTTGCAGGACAGATGACTTGCGGGTCTCATACTGACTCGATACAGGCGGCAGCGGTAGCTCTGTCGACGAGTTCCGTCAGGCTATCTCCTACGGTGTGGTGAAGGTGAACCTAGACACTGATGTGAGTACTCTCTGAGTCCAGCTTGTATCCGCTCCTATACTGACTTCCAACTCCACAGATGCAATGGGCATACCTTTCCGGAATCCGGGACTACATCCAATCCAAGTCCGGCTACCTCCAGACACAAGTCGGCAACCCCGATGGCGAAGACAAGCCCAACAAGAAGTACTACGACCCTCGTGTCTGGGTTCGTGAGGGCGAGAAGACTATGTCACAGCGCATCAAGACTGCTCTTGAGGACTTCCACGCCGCCGGCAAGGCCTAAGAAGCCTCTGAAGTGCTTGGCTCGACATTGAAACCGATCACTGAGGGAAGGCGTTTGCGGATGTATATGAGACAACGACGAGCATTGGTTTGGAGAGATGGTGTCCCTGTGATGAGATTGGCAAGTGTATCATGTATATGAGTCTTGGAATTCCTAAGATCATAGGGGAACACAAACACAAATAATGAATAAAATTCTCCAACATCCTCTCAGATGACGCAATAAGACTTGCACGTTGCAGTGATATCGATCATGTTTTTGCCGGCTTCATTTATCAGGTTACTATGGATTGACGAACATAATAAATCACGGCAGTTTTGTGTCTGACTAGGATTTGACAGCATGTACAACTGTCGCAGCGGAATTGCGGAGCAGTTGGAAGCGCAGTAATGACGTGGAGCTAGTCGCGATAGACATAAATAACTGCACGCACTCGATAGTGCGCTACGGCGTAAACATCCAGCCATGTAAACCTCTGACAGGTCATCGTTGGTTCATGGCAAGTATTTGTCGTATCATCATGTATTACATAGCGAACTGCAAGTCATGGTTCGAAGATAGCGAGTCCTAGCTCGGTTCAGCCCTACCGGGAATCCTGCATTGCCAAGCATGACATCACATCTCTACGACTATGTCACAATGCCCTTTCCTAACTAGAAACAATCAACGAAAATCATGGCAGAGCAGGTCGCGTGGCAGCTGCCATGAGAGATAGATAAAGTATCGCCTTCCTTTCGCTTCCTTTACCAAACCT